GATCCGCCTCCTCGTCAACAATGCTGCCTCCGTGCCACGGCTTGGTATTGGAGGCTATGAGTGGTGGTCGGAGGCTCTCCACGGCGTTTCCGACGTTGGTCCTGGCGCTAAGTTCGGTGGTGCTTTTCCAGGTGCCACCAGCTTTCCTCAGGTCATCACCACCGCAGCTTCTTTCAACCAGTCTCTCTGGCAAGAGATCGGACGGGTGAGCAAATATTATAAATATTAAATAAAATAAAAACATTTTAGAAAATGAGATTATTAAATTTTGTGATTTCTTTACGTTAAAAAACCACATCGAAATCGACATCGTAGCGGTCAATACACTCGTGTTTGATTAGTAGGGCGCTCTATATTTATTGTAAAAAATATATTTCTTGGAATTTTGTAATTCACATGATTTTTTTACTTGACTACGACATTAGTGTATCGAATAATTGTAGGTTAGAAAAAAAATGCAAAACATACTTTGATTTTGTTACAGTTTTGATATATACATACTAGTATCTGCGATATTTGTCAATTAATATGATGATGGGCAAGCTAGCTAGTTAGACTAGAACCAGTGAATAAAAAAAAAACTTTTTTATCATATGTTGCATTATATATGGAGAATATTTCCTTCTTTCAACAAAAACAAATGTGTATGGAGAATATTATTATAGTTGACATGATTTTAATTAAAAAAAAAGGTGGTGTCTGATGAGGCAAGAGCTATGTACAATGGAGGTGTGGCCGGCTTGACGTATTGGAGTCCAAATGTGAATATACTGAGGGACCCACGGTGGGGACGAGGCCAGGAAACTCCGGGAGAAGATCCTGTCGTCGCCGGAAAATACGCTGCGAGCTACGTCCGTGGACTACAGGGAGACGGCGCAGGTAACCGCCTCAAAGTCGCTGCATGTTGCAAGCATTACACCGCTTATGACCTTGATAATTGGAATGGCGTCGACCGTTTCCATTTCAACGCCAAGGTAATTCCTATACACATTTGGATAACTATATATTTGTTTGGACGTTTTGAGTGCATGTTCAGTTTGAATTATATATTTTCACGATTAAAATGCTATAGATCGTTAAATTAGTAGAACTTCTTTTTTATTAGGTGAAAAATGCTATACTTCTTTAACTTTAGATACTATCATACTAGACATAGACATTTGGAATTTAATTGTGTGGAAACAAAAGAGAACCCGTGAGTCTCTCTATTTCTCTTACAATTTTAAATAGTTTGTAAATTTAATTGATAAATTTCAAATTTCAGTGTCTCCGTTTCTATACATAAAAACAAAAGAAACCATTGAATTTGGTGCTTAAACAGAGAAAATTACGTTCTCAAATTAGAAAGCTCTACTTTTTTATTTTATTTTTGAATTTTAGAAAGCTCTACTTTATATCGCTTTCCGTTATTCATAGCACCACGTAACGAATTGGATGTGGATACGTTTTCTTGCAAGGCTTGTCGTCTTTTATCTCATTTCGTGATTCAGAAAATAGATTTTATCTAGACATGTCTCAATCGTTAGTAGTTAGTTATTTATAGTTCCGTAGACAATATGCTGCGTCACTTCGTAATCTTGCAAAAGACTTTTCATCCGACTGGATTCAAATTCATTCTCAAGTGGGTAAATATAATTATATTTGTTTGCGTGTCACAGTCAGACACAAACAAAACACTTGCCTAACATTATATACCAGCTAAGCCAATAGGCGTCTTAACTTGAGCGATGTGGCATATGCATACTCTCTTATGTAATATAGGTGGAGAATCTTATCCTTATTGGTCATGTGGACCAACTAGGACCAACCTCTTTGCCTTTTATCTTGTTCTTCCAAATATATACTTTAAACAAATAAAGGAGAGATTCGTTTATATTAACTCATAAATGATACATTGATACAACATGCTTTTGTTAATGTAGCCAGCTAATATAGGTGAACGGGATTAATTAACCATTTGTTAAATGTAATGATGGATTTAGGTCACCAAACAAGATTTAGAGGACACATACAACGTGCCATTCAAATCCTGTGTCTACGAGGGAAAGGTCGCAAGTGTTATGTGTTCCTACAATCAAGTCAACGGAAAGCCAACTTGTGCTGATGAAGATCTCTTAAAGAACACTATTCGTGGTCAATGGCGTCTCAACGGGTAAGATTAAAAGTCATCATGATCAACGGTTCAGATTCATTTGATCCTTTTCTCACATATCAGCTTAATATCAATATGTACGTACAGGTACATTGTATCAGATTGTGACTCTGTTGATGTTTTCTTTAACCAACAACACTACACAGCTACTCCAGAGGAAGCCGCCGCTGCCTCCATTAAAGCCGGTGAGTTGTTTTGATGTTAAATTTCAATGATTCAGTCCACATGATGACATGAACATTAATGTTGATTACTTTGATGCTTAAAACATCGTGTCGTTTTTGTAGGTTTGGATTTGGACTGTGGGCCGTTTTTGGCGATCTTCACGGAAGGAGCTGTGAAGAAAGGGTTGTTAACGGAGAACGACATCAATTTAGCACTTGCTAATACCATAACGGTCCAGATGAGACTTGGTATGTTTGATGGCAATCTTGGACCCTACGCTAATCTTGGGCCTAGAGATGTTTGTACACCGGCCCATAAACATTTAGCCCTTGAAGCGGCTCATCAAGGAATTGTTCTTCTCAAAAACTCTGGTCGCTCTCTTCCACTATCCCCCAGGCGCCACCGCACCGTCGCCGTGATTGGACCAAACTCCGACGTCACTGAGACCATGATCGGAAACTATGCAGGTGGATTAGAATCATAAGATAATCCATTTAAGCAAAAAATTTATTAACAAAATATTGGTTTTTTACTTTTTGTCGTTTTGGTTATAACAGGGAAAGCATGCGCTTATACGACACCGTTGCAAGGAATCTCAAGATACGCTAAGACAATCCACCAAGCTGGTTGTGCTGGCGTGGCTTGCAAAGGGAACCAAGGATTTGGTGCGGCGGAAGCAGCGGCGCGTCAAGCCGACGCGACGGTTCTTGTGATGGGGTTAGATCAATCGATAGAGGCAGAGTTTAGAGATCGAACCACGCTGCTGTTGCCGGGTTACCAACAAGACCTTGTGACCCGTGTGGCTCAAGCCTCTAGAGGTCCAGTCATTCTAGTCCTTATGAGTGGTGGGCCCATCGACGTAACCTTCGCTAAGAACGATCCACGTGTCGCTGCCATCATCTGGGCCGGGTATCCGGGTCAAGCTGGTGGAGCTGCCATCGCCAACATCATCTTTGGTGCTGCTAATCCCGGTACGTTACTCTTCCGATTACATATGTTGACATGTTGTCACACTATTCACTATCCTACCAACTCTTATCACCAAAAATGAAATATGATTTTATGTTCTCTTTAGCTATTATCAAACAATAAATCATAGACTAACAATAAATATTTATTTTGTTTATGATAGGTGGAAAATTACCAATGACATGGTATCCACAAGAATACTTGACAAAACTACCAATGACGATAATGGCCATGAGAGCATCTGTAAATTACCCAGGAAGGACCTACAGATTCTACAAAGGTCCGGTTGTGTTTCCATTTGGGTTCGGTTTAAGTTATACAACCTTCACTCACGGTTTGGCCAAAACCCCATTGGCCCAATTATATGTTTCATCCTACAACCTCAACACTGTCACCACTTTCAACTCCTCATCTAGCTCCATCAAAGTGTCTCACGCCAACTGCGGCACATTTCCAAAAATGCCACTCCACGTCGAAGTGTCAAACACCGGTGAGTTCGACGGAAGCCACACGGTGTTCGTCTTCGCCGAGCCACCGAAAAACGGTATAAAAGGATTGGGTGTGAACAAACAATTGGTAGCGTTTGAGAAGGTTCATGTCCCGGCAGGGGCAAAACAGACCGTTCGAGTCGATATTGATGCTTGCAAGCATCTTGGTGTAGTGGATGAGTATGGAAAGAGGAGAATCCCTATGGGTGAACATAAGTTGCATATCGGTGACCTTAAACATACTGTTTTGGTCCAACCACAACTTTGAGGGAGGCGTATAAAAAAAGAAACAAGGAAACCCTTTTAACGAAAGCAGAGTGTTTCCTCTTATTTATACTATATAGTATAGAGAGAAATAGGTTAATTTCTTGTGAAATTACTTACGAAAAGTTATAATCTGTAAAGAAGCACCAAAGGGTCGCTTCTTGGATGCATGTTTTTCTTTAAATTTGTATTTTGTGTCAGTTGCGCCAAAAGTTATTGTAACTAGTGGCTCCCAAAATAAGAAAAATGTATAAGGAGCCCTTGTGAAATGGTGAAACTAAAGAAATATGAAGATAAATGATAAATTTGATTTATACCATATCTTTCTCTCTCTCTGGTTGTTGTATTATTATGTAGTTGATTTGTTTTTTGATGCAATGTTGATGTAGTTACTTGATTTCTGTCTGTTGGCGATAAAACAGTTTTTGATACATAGCTTTTTGAAGGCACCCAAATTAGCAATATCTTCTTTGATTGTTTCCACATCATTCTTTGGATTCCTTACTGTATGATTCATGTGAAAACAAACAAATTGGTGTGGTGGATGGGAATTTATTCGAAAAGTACATTCACTCGTATCTGAGATCACTTTCAGGTTTGGTTTGAATATTTATTTAAGTTGGTTTTGTAAAACCTTTCGAGATCCTTCCTTGGCTACAACAAAACAACTTTTTCGTGTCGAGATCACATTTTAGGTTTGAAATTATTTTCCCCTTGCCAATAAGGTTTAATTGCATGGGAAGTCAATCAATATATGTGGTTTACAATAGTCAATATGCAAAGTAAAAACAGAGAAGAGGGTAACTTGTACTCAACTGCTACTAAATTCTCCTCTGTATTTTTGACCCTCTACAAGAAACTAAACTTTACTTACTTGTACCACAAGTCTTGAAAATTTCCAGAAACGCCGACATAAAATTATATAAGATGATGTACTAACTAAGTTATTGTGAGCTCTAACAATGGCGTTTTCACTAATCAGGAAGCTCCGTGTAGTGGTTACCACTGTCGTTTTTTTGTTCCTGGTTTCTTTTTCAGGTTTGTGTTTATTTTACACTCAAGTATATATTACTTGTGCCAAAAGCAGGCTTTCATTACTATATTTAAGATTTGTAATTTACAGGGATCGCTTATGGTGAAGAAGACGATTCAGAGGCAGGAGGTGGAGGTGGCGGGCCAGGATTTGGCGGTGGTGGGACAGGTGTGGGAGGCGGTGGTACTGGATTTAGTGGCGGAGGGATAGGAGGAGGTGGTACTGGATCTAACGGCGGAGGGATAGGTGGTACTGGATTTAACGGCGGAGGGACAGGCGGTGGTACTGGATTTAACGGCGGAGGGACGGGTTTTGGTGGAGTGGGAGGAGTGGGTGGCAGTGGAGGTGGCGTTGGCGGCGGAGGGACAGGTTTTGGCGGAGGAGGATTGGGTAGCGGTGGCAGTGGTGGTGGTAGCGGAGGTTTTGGAGGAGGAGGATTAGGCGGTGGTGGAGGTGGGGACGATCCACCGGAGATAGTAGCAAAAGCTCTGGAATGCTTAAATGAGAAACACGTAATTATTATCACTTACTTGGGACATAAGAAACTGCAAACCTTATTTTTAATTGCGCACTTTGGTTGGATTATTCAGATTATTATAATTGAAATCACTTATCTAGATGAGAAACACACAATTAAAATCATTTTCGTGCGACACAAGAATCTCGGAACCTGTTTGATGCAATATTGGTTTCAGATTAAATTCTGTTTTCAGTCAAATATCTATTTGGTTTCCAAGATTATTAAGCGTTTAGTGTTAGTGTATATTATTGAATATCTAAAATTTGAAAACTATTTAAGCCATTGCTAAAACGAGAAACAAAAATCAAATAACCACTCTGATATTACATATTTAAGCCATTGATCACAATGCTTTATTTTTTATTTTTTATTTTTTTTGAAAGACAATTGATCACAATGTTTCTCACCAAAAAAATCCCAAATGAAATGCAGATATACAGAGAGTGTGAAGAAACGTGGAGGCTAACCTTAAACGGAGACCTAAATATTCCAGTGGCGAGGACGGAGGAGTTCTGCGAGGGACCATGCTTCTCCGAAACACATTTGGCTTTGGATTGCATTAACGACATTCTTCACCACTTCAGATTCTTTAACAGAGCGACCGTTTACAACATCCGTCAAACCCTCAATTCCGGCTGCAGCTACGGACCTGAACGAGGTTTTGATACTAAATATCGGTTCTTGATCTGGTTTCGACATTTTATTTCGCTCCTCGTTTAATGTCTGGTTACATTTCACATGTAGGTGATTTTAACGTTCTTGAGCACCTCGAAGATGAAGAAGAAAATGGAAGTGAGATGATGAAGTCAAGATCTGGAGCGTTGCTGTGGACTATGCTGTTTACCATTGCCTTTCTTCTCTAAAACGTTTCGTATTTTGTAATCTTAGCCATTATATCGCCTATATATATATATATATATATATATATATATATATATATATCAATATATGTGTTGCTTAACTGAGATTATTACTAGTAACATACATATTTCGATGTGTAAAGTTTGACGTTGTAAACATCATTCTCTTTGCTTGTTCATCTTTTTCTTGTTTTCTTTGATTTGGCGATAATAGATCTGCCTCCTTGAGTAGCTTTATGAACCCTAGTTTTTAGGCAATTTCATATTGGCTTAGTTAAGAGGCAAAAATCAATCAGATCATCAATACTTTCTGTATTGTTTTTGGTCGCTTCGGCTTTAGCTTTTTTTTTTTTAATATTGTGGAGGAGCTTTAATTTTCTCTAAATCAAAGCTTCTTCCCCAAAAGAGCTTCAGACATAAATTTCATTGTTTTGTGAATCGACTTGTAAATGTTTATGTGATAGCCTCCAAATAACGAGAAGGTGCAATATAGGAACACTTTTTGGTTCAAAGAGAGGCTTATATCAAATAACTCGAATCAGTTTTGTCAATAACTCAAAAGCTTCACTCTTTCACCATCAAACTCTTCTTCCTTTCGTTGGATTGATTCGAATATCTATTGAAAAATTAGTTTTTGCAAATTTGGTTTTATGTTACAATATTTTGTTTTTGATTACATTGAGCGCATTGTAAAATAGCAAAGAAGAATGATAAGACCACTAGTCCACAACAATGTATGAAACAGAGTAATTAATTGTCTAGAAACACATGAAACAAACCTCACCACCTTACTTTAAATTAAACATTTGAAGACATCTATGTGAACGAAGTATCTACTGCCATGATAACTAATCCAAATTATGAAGACTAATGGTTCTTGGTCTATTGTTTAGTAATTGAAATAAAAAAAAGTGAATAAAAGCAAATCGTTACCTATCTTCTTGTAACCAAGAAAACAAGCAGAAATGTGTTTTTCTCAAAAAAAAAAAAGTTTGACGTCATCATAATAATATAATTATATATATATATATATATAGTAAATACCTAACTAATGCGCTTCTAGTCAAATGTTTGAATAAGATATGTCCTAGAATTTTAAATTTAAGTACAAAATGTACACTTAATTTTATTGTAAGTTCACAATATACACATAATTTTTTATTTATTTAGAGTTTTAGGAATCTGATTATGAGAGCCAGGATCGCACAGCCAAATTAAATACAGAAATAACATTAATAAGCCGTTCAATTTCCAACCGTTGGATCTTTCTTTTCCCTCCAAAGAGAGTAGATCATATTCCGTTTTTATTTTCCCCAGAAAAACAGAGGAGAAGAAAGAAACAGAGAGAAGAGCAAGCTTCGAAGACGAATCAATGGCGGATCTGAAGAGTCTCTTCCTCATCACGAAACACCCATCAACGACACAGATTTTTCTAACTTCTCTCTTCTTTCTCTCTCTCTTCCTCCTCTCCTCTTCCTCTCTCTCGCCTTTCTCTCCCTCCCTGATCTTCTCGAGCTTCACATCTCGTCTTCTCACGGCGGCGAATTTCTTCTCTTCTCCTTCTTCTTCCACTTCGACTGCTTCAGACACAGATGCGTTCTACTCTGTTTCACCGAGAAGAATCCGCGTCGATAACGAGCCGAAGAAGATGGACTTCGCGAGCAAAGAATTGACTTCTTGCGACATATTTGACGGAAGCTGGGTCTACGACGATTCCGAGCCGGTTTATCCTCCTGGGTATTGTCCTTTCGTTGAAGATAAATTCAACTGCTACAAAAACGGCAGACCGGATTCCGGTTATCTCCGTCATCGATGGCAACCTCACGGTTGCTCGATTCCAAGGTCAGTTCTTGTTATCACTCATGAACTAAAAATTTTCCAATTTTCCTGTGACTCTGTTTTCGTAATTCGATTTGGTTCTGTAGATTCGATGGGAAGAAGATGCTGAAGATGCTGAGAGGCAAAAGACTTGTTTTCGTTGGGGATTCGTTGAATCGAAACATGTGGGAGTCTCTGGTTTGTTCACTTAGGTCAACATTGGAAGACAAAAACAGAGTTTCAAAGGTTTCTGCAAAACAGAGTAATCTCCACAACGAAGGCTTTTACGGATTTAGATTCAAAGTAAGTATCTCATATCTCAGTTTATTGGTTTTGGATCGTTTAAATTCGTTGATGAATGAATTGTGTATTTTCTTTTTGTTTAGGACTTCGGATTTTCTATAGACTTCATCAAATCACCGTTCCTCGTTCAAGAATCAGAAGTTTTAGATGGATACGGGAAGAGAAAAGAGACGCTGAGGCTTGATGTGATCCAACGATCGATCAAGAAGATATACAAAAACGCAGACATTGTCATATTCAACACTGGTCATTGGTGGACTCACCAGAAAACCAACGAAGGGTAATGACCATATAAACATAAGCTTCTTCTCTGTAACAAAAATGCCCTAATTAGTATCTCTTAACGGATTTCCATTTTCAGGAAAGATTACTTCCAAGAGGGAAATAGAGTTTACGAGAGATTAGAAGTGAAAGAAGCTTACACTAAAGCTCTTCATACATGGGCTGATTGGGTTGATTCCAATGTCAACACCACAAAAACCAGAGTCTTCTTCGTCGGTTACTCCTCTTCACATTTCAGGTAAAGATCATTTTCTTCCATTCCAAGCAATATCTGTTTCACTTTCGTTTTTGAGTTTAGGGTTTTAGAGAGTGGAATAGTTTTCTTTTAGCCCAAGCAATCTTTATTGTGATTGCAGAAAAGGGGCGTGGAACGCGGGAGGGCAATGCGACGGAGAAACAAGGCCGATAGAGAACGAGACGTACACTGGAGGATATCCATGGATGATGAAAGTGGTGGAATCAGTGATCTCTGATATGAAAACGCCTGTGTTTTACATGAACATCACGAAGATGACTTGGTACCGGACCGATGGTCATCCGTCGATTTACAGAGAGCCAGTGGATGTCCGAGGAACTTCTTCTGCAGCCGGGATGTTCCAGGATTGTAGCCATTGGTGCTTACCTGGAGTTCCTGACTCATGGAACCAGCTTCTCTACGCTACTCTGCTAGTTTCACGCGGTTCCGTGCCTTACAAGTCACTTGGAACTCTCTCGTAAGATGATGTTTTACTTTTTTTTTTCTCAGTTTTAGCAAATCGTTTGCGAGCTTTACTTTCCATTGTTCTTGTGAAACATAGTGAAATAAAAATCCAAAATCCAATGTATGTAAGAATATCTAGAAGCTGTACCATTTTTTAACCCTCTCCAAAATTGGTTAGAAGTTTCTCTTATTTAATCTTTTGTTTCATTTTTACACAGAGAGAGAGAGATAATTCCACTGATAGTGATAGTATGATTTTGCTTTCCAGCCAATGTATTTTCATTTTACTTTCCAGCCAGTTTCAAGTTTACGACAAATGTCTTGCAATATACGAAACAAACTATTGTATATTCGCCACTGAAATTATTAGAAACGAAAACAATCAATAAATTAAGAGATATTTGTTAAATATCATAGGTAAATAAAAATGTGGAGCTAAAATTATTTAAATGTATTGGTAGTAACTGTAAATAAAAATGATTAAATTGTGGGTCGCTATTGCTATCGTGAACGACTACCAAACGAACACAGTCGTAGTCATTTGCAAAATAACGTGAGCAAGACTATAGAACTGCGTTAAAAAAAAGTTAGAGTTCAGATAGTTTTTGCTAATATAATGTTTTTTTTACTCAATTAGCTAGCTGAAGTAGTGGGATTATAAATTTTTCATAATATTTTAAAGATAGTTAAAAGACTTTTTAAAAAACTTGTGTATGAATAATGAATTTTATTCTTATGGGTTGGATGGGTTGTTTTTAAATAATAAATTCATTTCATTTGGAGACTTTTGTGTATGAATAAGACCTTTTGTTTTCACTAGGATAATGAATTTGGAGAAATGAATGTAAAATTTATAAATAAGAATTTCCTTGGCTAAATAAAATCACCATGACGCTAGTTTTGCAAAATATACAATTGCAATGAAATTGTGAAATTGATCTTTGAATGTAGAAGTGTCTGGAAAGAAACGACAAGTTATAATTTATAAGTAAGGTTACATTCATTTCTGATGAGACTTGAGAGATTTGATGTAAGTTCTCTTGATATCCTTCGTCTTTGCAGGAAGGCCAAACGTGAATTCTTCATCCCAAATCTCAACTTAGTGGGCAAAGTTCAACTTCCAGTCTTACACTAATATAATAAGTAATAACTAACTCTTTTCTTCACTCGACTAGCAACTCAAAAGAGAACTTACAGAATTAATCAGTGTTTTACAAAGCATAAACACTTGATCCTTATTCTTGCTAGCACAATTGGAAATTTAATTTGGGATTTCAACAAAATAAAATTTTAATTTGTAGACAAAATAATTTTGCTTTCCATATGGGGTACAAAAAGTGTATACATTCTAATTGGAACAAATCCTTGGTTCAAAAGTCTGATGTGATTTCGTAAATCTGTTTGTATGTAGGGAAGGGAAGCATACATGGATACTGACTGATGGAAACAAGATCGTGATTGAGCTTAGAGGCTTTTATGAAAAATCTGAACCTTTCTTAACAGAAGTTTGGAAACAGCTCACATCTTTCAAACCATTGACTCAACATTTTGATGTAAGCTTGTAAATCTGTTGTCCTTGTGATTTGTTTTAGAGATTGAAATTCCAATTTCTCCTTTCAAGTCATCAAAGAGAGATGTCTTAGAGAGTTTTATACCAAAGATCATGGAATGTGGTGTCCAAATATTCAGTGATTCATTCACTACACCATCATTTTCAATGGAAGACAAATGGGAGGCTTCAATGGAAGAGAAATGGGAGGCACTTAATGGAATCGGTTTTGGTGATACTGAGCAATTCAATATGTCTTTCTCAGAGGTAAATATTTTCTGTTAGATGACTCACTTTTGTCCCTTGATCTCTTTCGCATTCACATATGAACTTAATTTGCACAGATATGTGGCATTAACTTTCGAAAAAACTGTGGTACTTCCGTATGGTTCTCAAGTAATAAACGTCAATGTGAAAAAAAAATCTGAAGCTAATTCCTTGTCCAAGGTAAGAAAGTTGTGCTAGCTAACAGTGTCAATTGCATTGTTGCAAGAAATAATCAATTGTTTTAGTTAACAAGATTATAGTTGTTTTGTGATATATCTTGATATTTGTTCTCATCTGAGACTCTTCTTATTTCCAACTAATAACACTATCGTACTCCAGACTTGAACCAAAAAATGTCGGGTATACTGTGAATTGCGAGGCTAATATGGAAGGAGTTAAAGGCTTATGCTTCAACGTTCTGTCAGATCGACATGGCCCATGTGATTTGGAGAAACGTATTCGCTCTTTCATCCAGAGCATCAACTTGGAGGTAAGACCGTCATTTAACTTGAGTACATTTAACTGAGTTTTGATAATCAATTTAAATTGGTATTAGATTGTTGATGAGATGTTCAATTACTTAACAGTTGTGTCTTTTAGGTAAAACGATCAATAAATTAAGAGATATTTATTACTCTCTTGGTAAATAAAATTGTGGAACTAAAATGATTTAAATATTGTAAATAAAAATGATTAAATATCGACCTATCGTGAACGACTACCAAACGAACACAGTCGTAGTCATTCATTTTTTTTTTTTAACATCAACAGTCGTAGTCATTCTAAAATATATAACGTGAGCTAGCAAGGCTATGGAACTGTGTTAAAAACAAAATTATAAAAAAATAGAGTTCAGATAGTTTTTGCTAATATAATGTATTTTTTCTTACTCATTTAGCTAAAGTAATGGGATTTATTGGGAGATAAAATTACTTAGAGTTGCAAAATTTTAAAAGTTGATAAAATTGTTAAATTTATAAAGCGTTATTGATAGATTTGCATAGAGTTTGTATATTTAAGAAATCTATCCAAATATTTGATTATTATGATTTTAAAAATCTAAGGGTTATAGGTAGGATTTTGAAAATTTTGTTTCATGAGTTAAATTGTTTTAAATTCATATCCTAATAGCAAAGATTTTAATGGATTTATGAAATAATAAAAACACAAACTTTTTGAATAACAATGAATTTTGTATGAAATTTAAAAAATCATCAAACAAATAACAGTAGATTTTAGTAAGATTATCAGAATTCATAAACCAATAACGACGGATTCTTAAAATTTATCAATTCTTTGAAATTCATCTCCCAATAACTCCCCTTAATTTAATAATCTTTGAAAGATAGTTATAAGACTTTTGAAAAAAACTTTTGTGTTAGAATATAGTGAAAACAAAGATAGTGAATTAGTACACAAGCAGAACCGATAAATGTAATAAACGGAAGAGAAATGTCGGTAATCGGTATGGCTGTGATTATGTGAAGCACATCACGATCATATGAAACTGAAAGGCGGACACAAGTTGGATCTGTAACCCATTGCCAGTCAGTTGGACTTAAATACGAATGCTAAAAATAAATACAAGTGAATATCCCGTTCGAAGTTTAATACTGAGAGAAGGGTATCAGTAAAATAATTATTTTGGAGAAATGAATGTAAAATTTATAAATTTGATTTTTCTTGGCTAAAATCATCATAAACGCTAGCTTTGCAGGATATGCAATTGAAATGATTTATATTTGAATGTAAATCTGTCTTGGAATAAACGACAAGTTATAATTTACAGGTAAGGTTACATTCATTTCTGATGAGACTTAGACATTTGTAAACTAATCAGATTTTTTTGTTAGCCTCTTGATAGCCTTCGCCTTTGCAGGAAGGCCAAACGTGAGTTCTTCATCCCAAAACTCAAATTAGAGGGCAAAGTTCAACTTCCAGTTATTACATTAAATAGTAACTAAGTCTTTTCTTCACTCGACTAGCAACTCAAAAGAGAACTTACAGAATTAATCAATGTTTTACAAAGCCTAAACATTTGATCCTTGGTAGTACAATTGGAAATTTAATTTTGGGATTTCAACAAAATAAAATTTTAATTTGTAGACAAAATCATTTCGCTTTCCATAGCTATGGGAGTACAACAAGTGTATATGTATGCGGTTACATGCAGGCCATGTCAATGAGAACGATTGGTTGGGGTTATTGATTGCTCAAGTGCTCATTTGCAAAGCAAATCGTATTTATATCAAAGGTCAGATTTATGTAAGTTGGTGAGAGGATCGCAGGATCCTCATGGACCTGCATGGCCATTATAACCCCCCCTCTTTATACATTTTATTTATACGAACGGACCCTTACGCGTGGACCCAAACAAAACATTTCAACAAATTTTACATACAAGAGTCGCGAAGTATACATAAATATACACCACACATATTAAAATTAATTTGAATAATGCGTATACTAATACCAAGATATTCATATTCCAGTGGTCTGAGTCTAGAATTTATGGTGCATAATATTTATACAATAAAAAGTTAGCCTCAACGGAAACTTTCGTCGAAAAGTGACTATACATCATGCTGAGATTAACCGACGATTCAATAGGATTTTCAAATATTGCCTCACGATCCTAACTCTTGATTTCGATTTCTATACAAGGTAATAATATGTAATGTATATTTATATAGTATGCATATAATATATTTTAATGAGTTAAGAATCGGTGTGTACATTCAATATGATGGATTGTGCTATAAATTTTACAAAGGAATAGAGGCGAAGAGACAAGGACAAAAAGAATTTAGAGCAGTGCCTTTAATGGCAAAGCTTTAGCTCGTTGTTACTAAAGAGACTCGTGATGTCTACGTGACTGGCTCATAACATAATGTCATCATCCTTTTTCTCTTCACTCCTTCAACATTCAATTAATATTCATTTTTATATTAATATATACATACATATACGGATATACCTTAAGATATTATGGCCAAACTTTAATTTATTTTTTCTTCATGACGTATGAACATATGCACCACGATAATTAGTATGAGCTGAGGTTGTTTTATTTAAGTTTTCTACTTTTTTAACGAGACAGCTAAATAGAAGTGACAAGGGTAAAACTATATGATTTACAAACAATGTCCTCATACTTAATTAGCAATTTTCCATATTTTATATTTTGTCAACATTACTTCTCAAACTCAGTCACTCGCAAAAAAATTTACAACACAATAATCTCTTTTTTGTATATATCTAAACCAAATTGTAAACAGACAAAAAAACTGTACAATATGTCGGTCTACATGCAGAATATAGTATAACAAAAAACAAAATTTAAAAATTCTGAGACAAAATAAACTAATAAAACAAAACAACAAGGTAATGTATCACTATTGTCTATAGGATACAATCTTAATTAAATTTCGGTAGTCACAATGTACGCGAACGATTTTGACAAGAATTATATTTTTCCTTTTCATTCAGTCAATTATATTTCGGTAGTCACAATGTCACATAATAAATTTATCCATCATTCTCACTATACCACAAGATTATATTTCGGTAGTCACTGTCTAGTATTGCAGTTAATCTTATGGCATTTTCTAATTTTTTATACATAATTAGAAATAACAGCTACAAAGACTAAGTTGTTCTTCCATACGCACATTCTTTCATCTATTTTGTTTACAATGTCAGGGAAAAAATCTTATTATTTTACCATTTGTTCCCAATTCGGTAAGAAATAAGTAATAACTATTGACGGAGCTGAACTGTAAAAGAGGTACTAGTGGAAGAAAAAATGATCAGATAAATGTAGGAACACGATTAACACCAGACTGAAAAGTATAAGCAGTACATATTGACCAAGAACACAAGAAAGTCGTTGGAACCACCTACATTCTGGACGGTACCGGAATTAACCGATCCATATAACTATTTATTCAACAATTAAGCCAGAAAATAAATTTTCCCTACCACAAATGACAATCAATACATGAACATGCCCACTTATGAATATGGTCCAAGATCTTCCACCAAAGCGTCTCCATATTAACATGCATAGACATTGTCGCCGACTCCATAATACTCATTAGACGTGTTCGTTTCATTGACTCTTATTCTGATTTGATTCGGTGTTGCACTAATGTTGTTTGTCCTAGAAATATCTGATTTGAATCCGGCCGAATACATAAACGTTCTCACATTTGTAATTTAGCTAGCGCTTCAATCAAATATCTTATATTATACACACGAACACCATTTATTATAAACAAATGAATTAAAACTGTACATGGTAAATTGCAACATTATAGATTTCATTAAAACCAATTGCAAAAACCTCTTGAGGAGAAAAACAAGTGAACAAAAGAACGTTGCAGACCAGTGCCGGCCCGTAGTTAGTGGTGGCCTAAAGGAAATTTCAAAATTATGTGGCCTTTTCCAAAAGATTATTTAATAATTAAACATGTTAATAATAAAATTTAAAGAAAACGTTAATGGGGGGATTCGAACACACTACTTTAGAGAAAAGAAAGGAGCATTTGACCAATGAGCTAAGAAGTAATTTTGTAATATGTGGCCTAAACTTTGTATATATATTGTGTGACCTAAATCTAATGCTTCATCTGCCTTATGGGCGGGCCGGGCCTGTTGCAGACACTAAGACGACACACTTTCATTAAATGCATGTACAAGTAGGTATGTGCATATATATTACATGGACATGGATATGCAAGTACGTATGTAGGTATAAACGTATACATAGTAATAAATATCTTGTAGGCACGGAAAAGTGTAGAAAGAGGGACCAAAGGTTAGAAGGAGAGGTACGTGGAGTGTCTTTTGTGCGATGGTTTTGAAGATGGACAATGCATAACTTTTAATTCCACCAACGTGGTTCATTCCTTCACCTATCCGACGTCGTTTTCAAACTTCACTCTCCCTTGCCCTTTTGTCCTCTCTATATTAATCACCTGGATGATTCTCCTTTTCACTCACTCACTCACTCACTCACTCACTCGGTCCAAAAAGTGTTCTCTTTTTGTTTTGTTCTTTCTCTTTCTCTTCTTTTGAGAGAAGAGATCGATCGAGAAGCCATGGGAAGGGCTCCGTGTTGTGACAAAATAGGGTTGAAGAGAGGGAGATGGACCGCCGAGGAAGATGAGATCCTCACTAACTATATCCAAACCAATGGTGAAGGTTCTTGGCGGTCTTTGCCTAAAAAAGCCGGTATGTAAATCTTCAAAAATCCGGATTATATTTTTCCTACATCTATAGAGATCACTATTTTTGTGATTGTTTCACTTAAGATTTGCGGTCTTGCATTAGATTCTGTTGGATTAGATTCTAAATTCTAATTAATAGAAGAGCGAACTGCACTAGTGTGATATTTCTATATCAAATAATAAAAAACATTTTATATAAAATGTAAAGGATTGTTGAGATGCGGAAAGAGCTGTAGACTAAGGTGGATAAACTATCTGAGAAGGGATTTGAAAAGAGGAAATATTACGGCCGAGGAAGAAGATATCATCGTCAAGTTGCATTCCCTTCTCGGCAACAGGTAACCAATAATCCAACTTAATCCACGTCACCTCGATCACAGATTTACATAGTACATCGTATTATATTAACAAATTGCCACTGTCTGAGTAGTGACTGTAAGGCGGGGTCGCATACAGTACTATTATTTACACGTCTTGTCAACTTAGAAATGGTCAGACTCCGATCCAACCGTCAAAAATAAATGCAAAAATGAAAATGATAACTTTTTGTTTTATGTACTGCTGTGATCTTATGACCATCGTAACAATGCAGCGGTTGATCGCTGTTGGAACGGTCCAACTTTTTGTTTTTCTCATAAAATCTAATTAAATCCATCCATTAAGAAAAAAAACTACAAATGGATATATCCTATTTGACTTTTTGTCAATAAAAAGCATTGGCGTTATGCTGCGATGGGTCTAACTGAATTGATTTCCTTAATTAATCCTGTCTTCATCTGTGTTGTGTACAGCCATGATTGTTACTGGCTATCTGACCACCGTAACAATCCATTTTCCTTATTTATATAGTACGGATTATTTTATTTTATTTTCTAGAAAAAGATGGCCTTAAAGACTTGAACTAATTCTAATGATAAGCCAAATCACGTTAATTTAATTGATTTGTCCTCATTTGCATTGTTTCACAGGCATGTTTGCGTACAACTAATTTTTTTTTTTCTTTTTTTTAGATGGTCGCTTATTGCAACACATCTACCAGGAAGAACAGACAACGAAATTAAAAACTATTGGAACTCACATCTCAGCCGCAAAATTTACACCTTCACTGCCGTTTCCGGAGACGAACACAACTCAACCGCAGATGATTTATTCCTGAAGAAACCTTCCGGCTCTGGAGCCAAGAACAAGAACAATGCCAAGAAGAAGAAGAAGAAGGGAAGAACTAGTAGGTCATCCATGAAGAAACACAAGCAAATGGTGACTGACTCGAAATGTTTCACACATCCAAAAGAGCTAGAGAGTGAGATCAGTAACGCAGGGCAAAACAGTAATTTTGAAGGACAGCCTTTGGGGCCTTATGAGTGGTTGGATAGTGAGATAGAGCGGCTCATGAGTACTTTCGTTTGGGAATGTACTAGTGAAGATGCTGCGATTAAAGCGAATGATGAAGAGTTTGATCGGAACAAGGTATGTGAGAGCGGGGACAATAGTAGTTGTTGTGTGGGGTTGTTTGAGGAAGAACAAGGAAAGCTTGGTGACATAGAGGTTGATCATGTCATGAATGTTGAAAAAGAAAGAGAGGGAAGTGTTTTGAGTTCAAATTATTCAAACGAAAATGGTGATAAAGATTGGTGGGTTGGTCTATGTGATTCTTCAGAAGTTGGAGTTGGGATTGATGAGGAGTTGCTTGATTGGGAGTTTCAAGGTAGTTTGACTTGCCAAAGTGATGATCTCTGGGATCTCTCAGATATTGGAGAGATAACAATCGTTTGATATTATTAGCAAGTGGATATGGTACACGAGAAAGCGTACTAACCCAATAAAACATCGATATTTTGATTGTAAAGTATAGTGTTTTGTTTGGTTATAAATTTATAATGGATCTTGAAGTTATGTAGTAGTTCGTACGTTGGAGTGTTAAGAGTATTAATTATGATATATGTCAAAATGGATCCAAATCTATGCGTCAAACGAAGTCTATGATTTTATTCTGAGTTTTAAGTTGAATCTTTTGTAATTTGTCAACAATTTTTTTTTCTGTGGAAATGATTGTCAGACAGATGGTTTTTTTCTTTCTATTGTCAGACAGAATAGTTTAATTATTTTTCTTTAATTATTATTTTTATTTCTGAATTGAACGATCAATGAAATCTATCATTAGGTTTAATATTTTGTTTTTTGTTATTACTTTAATATTGTTAAATAATATTTTGAACTGAAATATCACCTAATTTGAATGTCATTTAGATCAAAATTTGGTTAGTATTCGTTTTAGTTTCTTTAGATTTGTAAATTTAAATGGTGAACATATGTATAAATTCAGAAGGAATACTTAGCATTCGATTCAGTGTTTTTTTAGTTTGAATGGAAATATTAAATTTAAACTAAAAATGTATTTTCATATACTTTACAAATAGTATTGGCTGCATTCATGTTGTATTTCTAACACAGATCTCTGTGTCAATCCACTAATTATATGTTCTTAAAAAATATTATTTTAATATCTTATCGATTTGTGCTGATCTAACTTGAAACCATATAAATTTTTTAAATTATCGGGTTTCTGTTGTATTCCAGTAATCAGCCAACCATGGATCCAAACATATCATACATTCTGAATCTGTCCAGAATACTCAGAGCTTGGTCATCAGTTGGGTGATCCCTACAAACAATTTAAAGAAGCCAGAAGCATATGTTCTGCGGCTACTCTCTAATGAGGGTGAAGGATCCTTGTGCTCGGGTAACATGGTTAGATGTTGATGTTGGTCCAAGCTCAGTTTTTTCAGTTGATACAAAATCGTCATCATATAACTGCACTTATAGCTTACTATAACAAGGACCAATATGATTATCATTAAATTATTATAACTAGCTAAATTTAATTATGCTATTTTTAAATGTTTTGTACGAAAAGAATGATCCAACTAGGACCATTAACGAACGCTCGTCACATTATGTATTTTACACATCGATGTTTAATGGACACTATACCATAACAATCTTCGGTACTTCTTTAACAAAAAAAAAAGAAAATCTTCGGTACTTTTAAAAGAAATCTGAAAAGGAACCTTCGAATCTTTGGGCTTTAAGCAACCTTTGGCCGAAGCAATTCTACTATTCTCCTCTACTTTTAAATTTATCTATCAAATATACCCACCTTTTTCTTTTCCTCCAACTTTCAGTGCCTCTCATATATATTATAGATGTAAAACAATTGAAAGTATAATTAGTACTTTCAAGACATGAAAGAACGATTTTATCTATGAGACATTGACAAGAGGCATGTCGAGAACAAGAGTACGAGCTGTGACCCATCATGATCTTGTTCCAAATCCTAAAACTACCGACCTCAGCAGCAAAACCGGTATATTCATCGTTGTTTTGACCATAATCTTTGGCCTCTCCTGCTTTGTTCTCTGTCTCTATGCCGAAGCCACGAGATCTCAGGTATATTTTAATAGATGTATATATTAAGTTTCTCTTTTATTTTGATCATCATATTTTCAAAATTAACCACTTATCAATATTCGAGCATATAGAAACCAAGTAAAAAAAAAATACATTATTTTTTCTAGATAAAAGTACATGGTCGGTCCAAAATATGTTTTCAAGTGACTCGCATTTCATGTAGGCGACATGGGGAAGCAGCACGTGCGTGTACAACGGTAGCGGGAAAGCGCCGTTGTTGTGTGGTGCGATTGCGTTTGTGGGACTAGCAGTGGCGATGGTGGGCTTGCACATGTACTTGCTTATCGCAGTCACCACATCGCCGCCGCTAGTTCTGGTTACGTTGGAATCTGACTCTATTCCTGCGAAGACGCTCACTTTTCAAGCAGCCTTCTTCTTCGTCTCAACATGGTAAATAAGTAGACTTATCATCACGCAACGATTAAAACTCGACGAATCCTATAAAATTAGGATGTCCTCGCTATTTCCATTTTGTATTTTCTTAGCTTTGCACAGTGTTACTAGTCATAACCTAATTAATTAAGTTAGTAATATACTATTTTTTGTTCCTTAAGGCTTTGTTTTGGTGTTGGAGAGGTTCTACTGTTGGTGGGACTAAGTGTGGAATCAGGACATCTAAAGAACTGGTCTAAGCCAAAACCTAGTTGTATAGTAATTCGACAAGGCTTCTTCTCAGCTGCGGGTGTGTTCTCGCTTCTGACCGTCTTTCTAGCGACGGGACTTTACCTCACGGCTCTTCAAGCTCATAAAATCTCTAAAGATCTCGAAGATACACATAGAGAGATCCTTGAAGTATCAGTTCTTTACGCATCTCCTCCAAGATCGCCCACGAATCGGCTGGCTACGGTAGCTCGTGAAGGTCCTGCTACGGTTAGAGATGAGCTGGCGTCTTTGGAACATCTTGTTTCTTTAAAGCAATTTGCATATATATTATAGTAGATAAGATTAAGATATACTAATTAACCTCGTTAATTCAGTGTAACATTCTTTACGTTATACCAATTTCCTCGTGTAAATAAAACGAAAATTTTATAATGATCATTAACCGCATGACATTTATAGTATAAGTTGCTTATTTGTTATATCTGGATCACAAAATGATCGATGATCGGAAATACTATGGGATTAGAAGCTCGTTAGTGGAAATATTAACCATGCGTACTGTTAGTCAAGTTCTTGGTGACATTTCGGTCTTTCCATCATTGTTTTCTCACGGATATTTGAGAGTATATATATATAGAGTTGATATAGAAGTTTTTCAGGTTTTAAGTCTACTTAGCTATGTATTGCTTTTTTTGAAGTTTTGGCTTGGGGCTATTAGAGTTGTTTTCTTCAAATGTAGTGGAAAACGTATACAAAGTTGCTCAAACGATTACTTGACTCAACTTACATGGGCTTCTTGTATAATTTTAATGGGTCACTAGGCTCGCTCATTCACGTTAACAAATTTTAACTCGACGTATATTTTAGACATTCAGAAAAGAGAGAGAGGGTGGTCCAGGAACATGTATGTGGTTCCATGGGAGACCAGACAATGAGTCCCTTTCTCTCTTACTCTGTCAATTTTAAGCCGCGCGCACGATGACTTATCCTAACCAATACGCTGTCCAAAAAGCATACAATCTTATTATTACATTTCTAAGATATGCCTTTATCATTCGTTTACCTTTTTCGGCTATATATTGTCAGTTTGACCAAGAAATTAATGATTCAACATTACACACAAAAGCACTACATCTCTATTTGGAACCATGCAGAATAATAATAGTATATGGTCTGAATACTATCTACCTGGCGTAACTCCTTACCACTCTATATTGTTTCTTTCTTTCTCTTTATAATCATATGTATTAGTATCTCATATTTTCAAACATATGTATCGTGTGAGTTCAAAAACGCGTCTTTTCTCTCGAGTGTGCGACTGAGTGCGACTAGGGTTTAGCTTCTCATTTGCGCCGCCGCCGGTGAGAATCTTCTCCTTTCTCCCTCCTCTTGCTTTCTCTCATGGCTCTGTTGTTGTTTGCCATTGTTCGCTCCGCCGCTACCGTTTCCTCCTCCAGATCCAGATCCAGAACCGCCGCCGTTTGCTTTTTCGCCTTTAGATCTGCTCACGAAGGCTCCTCCTCTTGAGTCCCACGACCCTGACGCTCCAGCTCTCTCCTCCAGCCATTCCGCCATCTCGGGTCGTCTCTCCTCTCCACTCACTCACTCCGCCTCGTCGTCACCCCACCTCCCCGTCTCTCCGTTCCACTCTCGCCATGATGGTGGCCGTTTCAGGTTATCCTCTGTCGAAGTCGCCGGAGCCTTTGTCCCTTTGTTTCGAGATCCCACTGCCGCCTGCTCAGATGCCTTTCGCTCAGAGTTCATGCCGCTTAGTGGTTGCTCATGTGGGTAGCAGCTTCCAGATCTACCTGCTTCTCTGGTTAAAGTCTTGTCTCTCCTACTTACTCTCAGGCTCGCCTCCGATAGATATGGTCCCTGTGACCTTGACTAGACTTTGCCTCAGGATTAGACAATGGAATGATTCGCCTCCTTTACCTCAGTATGAGGATATAAAGCTCTCCCTTAGCCTTCGTTTACCTCAGTATGAGGTTGCTAAGTGTGTTGTTAGGCTTCGTTTACCTCAGGTTGAGGTTCCCTTACCTCTGTATGAGGTTGTCACTCAGAATCTCGTTTCTCTTTCAATGCGGTCTGTTGTTATGTTCGTATTCTTATATGATGAACCAGGTTCCCGCTTTAGAAAGATAAGAAATGGAGTCACCATAGCCATTCATGACATGGGCTGGTTTATCTTCGAGAACTCCGAAGTTCTCCTCCTACATATATTGTGTTATGTTCTATCAAATTCCTCTCTTGGTGGGAATTCCTTTATTGCAGGGAAAAAGTTTTTCTCCGGTGTTACTAGGTTTGCGGTCTCATCTTGTATGGATTGCTTGTCTTTTACCGTTGAATTTCCCTTGCTGGTCTGTTATGTTGTTAGCCAATTGAACACCACTGCTATTATAGCAGTTGGTATAGTCTCGAAGACTGCCGTTGGCGCAGTGGAGGATCCAAGAAGCTTCAAGTGGAATGAAGTCTCTCTGTTATCAGGCAAGACTTTCATATCCTCTCTTTATGTATTTTCAGCTTATGTTGTTTCTTGTTTAGCCTATTGCATGGCAAACTTTCTGGCTAAGTCCAGCTTGTACTCTTGTTCTGTTTACTCCCTCGTTGCAGGTTGAGTTATAATATTACGCATCGTTCGCCCAAAAAAAAAAAGTATCTCATATTTTCACTATATATAATTTCTTTTCCAATTAATAATCTACGTACTTAGGATATTAGCCAAATGCATCTAATGTTGTAAAATTAATTCAATGAAAGATACGAACCATGGATTTACCATGTTTTCAATGTCTACAACTAGTGAAGCCACCGAATCAAGTTACATTTATTATACCAAGTGGTCGATTTCAATTTGTACGTAATATTAAAAGCAGCAAATTGGTACTACTACTATTTACATAGCTCCAACAATTAAATTTTGAGGACTTTTTTTAATGTATTCGCTTAGTTATACAAATGCAAATTTTTCCCAACAAAAAGAATTCTGGAAAACTCGAATATGAAGGAGAATTTTTCCCCACATACACCAAAAAAGTTAAAAAGCAAAATTCTTTAGAAATGTTAATCGACGGCTACGATCTAATTTAATACTCGTGAATCATTGACCACTCTCGAAAAGCCGTACTCTGCTGTACTGATGATCATCACCGGTCAAAGTGGCGCGCCATTTTTTCATCAATTCACACACAAAAGCGAAAACCTTTTCCTTAAAAATACTCTGTTTCGTTGTTTTGGCGGGTGGCTTCATCTGATAATAAAGGAAGAGTCGAAGGTCATTTTCGTCATTTGAATCAAAATGCTAGGGTTTAATTCGAGCCGATTTATAAAAATCGCCTTGGTTTTTCTGATACTCCTCCGTGCGTCTGTCGGTTCGCTTCTTTAAAAAGTCTCTCTTCTCTTCTCTCTCCGACACTCTCCTGTTTTTTTGCTTTCTAACTCCTCTCGGTTCGGTTCGGTTCGGTTCTGTCTGCCTGATCTTGTGTCCTTTCAAGAGACGTGATCTTCTCAAACGCTAAACCCAGATTCTGATCCTCTATACATTCTCCTTTCCTTTCCTTGATCTCTGTTTTCAAACCCCTAGATTCTCGATCGCAGCGATAGCTTCGATCACGAAATCAGAAGTGGAGAATGCTAGATCACACCGAGAAGGTGAATGATCTGCTCTTCCCATCTCTGTTTCTTCCACTGCTTCTCCTGATTCTGGCGATGATCGTTTAACTTAAAGATAATTGATCTTCTTTGTTTCAGGTGTCCTTGGATTCGGAATCGATGAAAAGAAGAGCTGGAGATATGATCGAACAGAGCAAGAGTAGTAGTAACGACAAGAAGACTTGCGCTGATTGTGGTACCAGCAAAACTTCTCTTTGGCGTGGTGGTCCCGCCGGACCAAAGGTGAGTCATAAACCCTAATTCTTCCGATTTTGTGGGGAAATGAGTTTAATGATCATTTGGTCTGATCTGATCTGTGATATGTTTGTTTTTTTTCTTCTATGTAGTCGCTTTGTAACGCGTGTGGGATCAGAAATAGGAAGAAGAGACGAGGAGTGGAGGACAAGAAGCCGAAGAAATCAAATTCCGGCGGCGGCGATCTCAAAAGAAACCCTAAATATAGCGAATCACTAAAACAGAGGATAATGGATTTGGGCATGCCAAAGAGATCAACGGTGGAGAAGCAGCGGCGGAAGCTCGGCGAGGATGAGCAAGCCGCTGTGCTTCTCATGGCTCTCTCTTATGGCTCAGTGTACGCTTAGTGGTTTATAGATCGCACCATTGAAGACGGTGGCTAATAAGAAATCATTATGAAAAGATTAGGGTTTTCTTGAATTTGAAGAGCAATGATGATGACTAACAAATCAAATGTGAGATTTTCGTCTTTTTTCGTCGGAAATTGTTTTTTTTTTTTTTAGCCTTTTCGTCAAATGTTTGTTTTTTGTGTGTTTTTCAATCAACTTTTTTATTTTCTTTTAAATTTTGGGTATCTCGATGCTGCGAGTTGGACATCAAAGAGTTTTGAAATTTGTAAGAAGATGAATTAAGAAATATGTTTGATGGTAGTTTATTTAGTAGTATCATTATTGATTTCTGATATTATTTTAAATTATTGTTCTGTGTGAACATTTGTCTTTATTAGGACAGGAATGGGGACTTGCCTATCTGTTAAGCACACACTCTTGTCAAGTCCAAAAAAGTATATATATTATTATATCGACAAAGAATAATATAAAACAGTTAACGAAAAAAAGCTGTTTGAATTTCGTCAAATGGTAATGTTTTGAGTTTGCCCGCTCAATTCATTGTGCAGCCACTTTTTAGATTTCTTTCCCTTTCTGTTGACTTACATTTATAGTGTGTTTACTGTTTAGTGCTAATAAGCATTCGTTTTAAGTTTAACGTTGGAAATTTTATTTTTTCGTCAATTCCGTGAGCTCCAAACCATTCTAGAAGTATTAGTGGTTAAAAAATATGCAATTATCATATCTGTACACAATGATGAACTGTTGATGATAATCACGTTATTATAGTGTGTCGCAATAAAGACCATATCATTAATACATGTCCAGGAAGTAGCTAACACATATCTTGGTCTGGCCGTATGGAAAATGTTTTTCTTTATTCATGCGTAGTAGTCAACCCAATTTAATGTGCTTCTTTTATTATGGAAAACGGTGGCTAATACACATGCTACCGTATTCATTTACACGATTACAAAATTACAATTTTTTAGACGTATTTTTGTAGTTTTCATACAAGAAGAAATTGAGACCAAAAGCTGGGCTGAGGAAAACATAAATTCCAGACTTGAAGTCCAATAAGAAAAATTATTTTAGGTCCATTGCTGAAATATGCACACTCACGAACATAAATCGTAGAGGGCGTAGCCCAAAATGATGGTTTCAAAATATTTCTTTACAACCGGAGAATTTAGACGATCTTGAACTTTGTCAGTACGGCTCTGTAATTTGGGTCCATCACCAAACCTGGGAGTCTGGGACTAGACACTACTAGGACTGTTATCCAACTCCAATTCGTTACCTTATTTGTACTCTCCCAAAAAAGTATATGTGGCATTCGAATCATATAGTAGATCTTCGGGTGCCAACTTTACTAACTAATAACTATCCACATATTACGCGTATATTATCTCACTCATAGTTACATATTTGTCTTTATCTTATACTCCAATTTATTTAGTTGCATATTTTATACCATGTAAAATATGAAACATGTTATAAGCAACATTATATTGAACTATATCTATCAAAAAGAGTGAAAATGAAATCTAAAATCTTATACAAGTCTCCCACAATTTCACGAATTTAATGTTTTGAATAACTACGACCACATATTGAACTTACGAACACTAGTAATCGGTAGTAAATAATTGTGCGTGAACATTAATTTTTGTTAAAGAAAATGTGAAAGTGCTAGTTGTTTAACTTATTTGAGAAAGGTTACTAGAGGAGATGATTTTTTTTTCCAAATAAGCTAGTATATATAGCAAACGTCTCCTAAAAGTAATTTGCCGTACAAGATATCCAAAAATTACGGTGCCCACGAATGGTAATATTGAAAACGGTGTGGCAAATGGAAATAGCATTTGGCATTTAATTAATTCTGAATGAAACCCAAACCCTTCGTACCGATTTGATCTTCTACGGTTTCTAAATGGAGTGACCGGTAAGCAAGTGCACCGGACGATACCGAAAATGTGTTTGGGTAGGTGCGGAGAATGTGGTTGGTGGTCCCATCATGACACTCTATTAAAGACACGTGCTCTACAGCTAATATTTCCTCCTCTTTCTTCCCAAATCGCATTCACTCTCTCTTTTGAAGAATATACAAGCGCTCGATGATCTGATAATACAAAAAAAATTGTGAAGATGATGGAAAAGAAAAAACATAAATCTAGGAGTTCAAATGTAAGATATGAGAGGGTCCTAACCTCGTCGATGTGTCCTTATCAACATTGTTACAATAATTCAAACACTGAACTCTTATTGTGATGCTATTATCGGATTAATCTAGTTGTTCAAAAATCGTAATTAAGGTTAATACAAATTATGTTTACAACTATAACTTAATTACGAGCTTCTGTTTAATTAGCTTACCTTAATCATGGTGTGACCATTTTCAGTCGTCTGGTCGTTTTGACTAAAACTAAACTTCACTAGATAATCACTTTCAAGTAAAATACCTACTAGGGTTATGAAAAAAAACTTGAAATTGTTAAACTAAATTTTGCCTGAACTATAATGATAACTGAGTTCCTATTGAATACAAATTTGCGATTATACATACACAAAAAAACCTACATATAGCATGTTAGAACTTTACCACTTATAATAGGATACTATATATAACAGAAATTAAAACAGATAATTTGCGATACTATATTATTTATGAACGAATGTTTTTGTTTCTTTACATTGATCGACACCAACATAGTTTTGAATTTTTGTAAAAGGCTACAGATCCTCCACGCTATTGATATCAAGCTTACTCACCGAAATTTCTCTATTATTTGAAACAGTTGTTAAAGAAGAAAAAAACGTTTACTTTCTCTCAGTGAAGACTTCCGTCATCTTCACGTCTACTCTTCCAAAGCTGCCACGTCATAAACCAAAGAACCAACGATATACATCCACGTGTGAAAGCTTGCAAAACAGTCAAGCCCCACTATAATGACCTTTTTTTCTTGCCCAAAATTCTTTAAATTTCCCCAACCCTACATGCTCGTCGACGCAGCCGCCACGCGATCGCTCAAACTAGGCCACACCCATGGGTAATTTCGTAATCTTCAACAATTCCGATGATTACATGACGCATTTACCCCCGACATCCGCGTATTTCCGGTGCTTTATTACAAGACCTTCGGTTAAAAGGTTAACGTGTCGGCGTCACCTTTTCCTCATTTTCACTATTCATTTCTTTATTTAAAACACCTTTTTCTCTGCTGTAAATTAACTAAATTATTTAAAAATCCTCCATAAAAAGAAGAACACTCCTCCTCTTGAATGTGCTTCTTCTTCTTTCTTTCTTTCTCACTCTTTTATCTCTCTCATCTTCTTGCTTCTGTAAATTTCCACACTTAAAAAGAAGCTTCTGAGATCGAGTTTATTTCTGACAATGAAATCAAACCAGTTATACTGTTTGTCTTCACTTGTTGTTGTACTTATACTGTCAGTGACTTCGACAGTGACATCAAAGGACGAGATTGTTTCTTGTACAATGTGTTCTTCGTGCGACAATCCTTGTAATCCAGCCCAATCATATCCTCCTCCTCCTCCGCCTTCTCCTCCACCACCTTCACCATCAACCACCACCGCATGTCCTCCGCCTCCTTCTCCTCCGAGTTCCGGCGGCGGTGGCTCTTACTATTACCCTCCTCCCTCTCAGTCCGGTGGCGGGAAATATCCTCCTCCGTACGGTGGCGGTGGTCAAGGCTATTACTATCCTCCGCCGTATTCAGGAAACTATCCTACGCCGCCTCCGCCGAATCCCATCGTCCCTTATTTCCCGTTTTACTATCATACGCCACCACCAGGTTCTGGCTCAGATCGGTTTATGGGTTCTTGTTCTATTTTTTTTGCTCTTTTCGCTGTCTTCCTCTGTTTAGTGTGACGGAAAATCGTCGGGATTAGTCGGAAATTTATGAAGAAAATCGGAATAAAGTGGCAGATCGGTAGATCTACAATAGTCTCTGAAGGTTTAGGTATCTTTGATCATGGAAACTAGATATATTGGATCAAATGAATGAACATCTTTTACTTTCTGTTTTAACTTTCTTTTTTTTGTTCTTGACAATTTGTATTTAATTTTTTTCTTTGGTAATTAACATTTTAATTACTCGCTACTCAGAAAATAAAGAAGTATTTATTACTTTCAATGTGTTCTCTCTTTTTGATGTGAGGTTTGATTAGTGAATTCCACTTTTAGTGGTTTACACTCAATTAGTTCATTTTAGCACTATTTTGTCGGTTGAGCTTTGTTTGCGGTGAAAATACAATTTATATATCTCACTACTCGTTAATCAACAAATTCTGTCGTTTTAGGCGACTTAATAGAGTAGTAGTCAAACAATTACTGTAACAATATCTACTGATCAGCTCAATTCACGGCAACTAGTATCTATTTAATCATTGTATTAGTTTATATGTCACATGTGATTGTCGTTAAATCAGATTATGAGAAATGACATTTATTCAATTATTGTGAAATCGCACCGTTGGAAATTCGATATACACATGCAAGAAAAAATGAAGGCCAGCTTTGCTCCAACACATCTTTCTGTGTTCCCAATAGACTAAATTATGCATCGATTAGTGTTTTTTTCTTCTTAATAGAAAATTACTCCCTTCGTTTCTCTGAGACCATGAAAAACCCAAATAATATTTTTTGTATATGACTTTCATTACTAACCTTGGATAAGCCGTGAAACGTACAGAGTACATCGGCCATTATAATACGAATAGCCAAAATAAATAATTATTTAGGTAATGGCAATTAACCAAAATAAATTGTTGCGGCAGTGGGAGAAAGATCAATGGCCTGTCTTTTCAATAATTGGTTTTGGATTATTTTAGTATTGTTGGTTTGAGCTGAGAGACGTGAATTGGTAAGATGCTAAAATGTTTCAGAAACTCTGATTAGCTTTGAGGATTCGGATCATTTGATCAAAGGAAGCATGTGATGTTGACATTCGCGTGGATTAAACTAATATAGAGAGATAACTTTATTTTTCTTTAAAAATGTTAAATTTACTGATCAGCATAAAGAATGTTAAAGGTATAAGTATAACTGGTTGTTAAACTATTAGATAAGGTGGTTTAGTTTGGTTCAAGTATAAAATCAGAGCTTATTGTTTTCTTTGGGTTTGGGGCAACCACAATCTCAATGTCAGTCTGCTGTGATACGCATGTCAATCGGGCAGACCGAACATGGGTTACATGGCTAAAGTTTAAGCTCTTTTTTTTTCAACTTTTTGTTAAAAGAAATTTTAAATTAACATGCGCACCAATATCACATATTAACTCTGATGCCATTAAAATTGGGATGCTTAAAAATTAAACTAGGGATAGAAAATTTATTGGTTTAAAGTTTAAACAGATAGATATGCTGGTGTATTTGATATATAAACAATTAACATGGAATAATAATTCTAATCAAGTTTTAACATACAAAAGATTTGGGACCTGCCAATTGGCCGATTCACATTGCTAACATCTCTTAGATATATGTTGGCATATTGTTTGAATGATCAAGTCATGCAAATGTTGTGAAAAATAAATAATTTTAATTTGCGTCCACGACTAAACGATTTTATACTTCAAAATCAACCCACCAACGTGCATGACACGAGTCCACAACCCAAAACCTCTCGACGTGCGTCCGTGTATGCTACAACGTTTTACCATAACCTCCTAAGATTATAGACTCGCGTTACACTATTTGTTTCAAAACTAACAAAATAAAACAAAAATCCATCTTCATCATTTGGGTTCTGTGATTAGCTTAATCAAACTTTTCTTTGGAGAAAGTCACAATGGGCTTTTTTCTTCCGATTTTATTCGGAGTTTTTCTTTTATTCACCGTTACACCACCGTCCCTGGCTCAGCTTCCTCCGGCAATAATAATAGCTCCGGCACCGGCGCCTACTCCACCATCGGAACTATGCAACGGAATATTCCTTTCCTACACATTCAAAGTCGGTCGCAAGATCCCTCCAAACGACACAACCGATCAGCCATATCGTTTCGAGTCAGTCCTCACGGTTCTCAACAACGGCCGTGAAGAGCTTAAAGAATGGAGAGTGTTCGTCGGATTCCGCCACCGCGAGATCCTTATTTCCGCAACCAATGCCATAATCGTCAATGGAACGGAGCTCCCTGCTCCGGTAGGAAACGGCACCATCTTAGGTGGCGATCCTGTCTCCGACCTCAAAACGGCCATTCAAACCGCCGGTGACTTAAAACAGATGACGGCTAGGATCGTACTCGTCGGGACTCAGTTCATGGTGACTCCTCCGGCGATCCCTATGCCATCCAACATATCGCTTGTTAACGATGGCTGGCTCTGTCCTGAGCCAATTCCTTCTTCTCCGCTAAGTAAATTCCATTTTCTTATAGTTTTTTTTATACTTCATATTTCATATGATTGATAATTATTAATTAATGCTCAAATATTTGTTTAAAATCGGACACACTCATTAGTCTTAAATTTTTTATTAACCGGCTTGATCAAAATAAAAAATACGCTAATATTTTTAGTTACATAAAAGACTGATTTTAAGAACATTGGTGATTGTTACAATGCAATAAAATTATCATATAACAATGCGATCAAATTTTAAGCCTATAGTGCTATGTTACTGACTCTTAAACGAATTTAAATGGTCCCATTAGGCAAAAGAGAGATAATGACGTGCTGCAAGAGAGACCCGAGCATTAAAGTCAACACAACGATCACCAGCGACAAGTTCCTTCCACGACAATCCGGAGACTTGACCATAATGTACGACGTGGTCCGATCCTACGCCCAGAACTACCTAGCCGAAGTAACCATGGAGAACCACAACGCACTAGGCCGGCTCGACCACTGGGAGCTAAGCTTCGACTGGAAGCGAGACGAGTTCATACAGAAAATGCAAGGCGCGTATCCAACGGTCGTGGACGCCACGAAATGCATCTTCGGTCCACAATCCAAAATCTACGCCGACCTAGATTTCGCCGACGTTCTCACCTGCGAGAGACGTCCCATCATCGTAGACTTGCCTCCGACCAAAGCAGAGGACTCCACTCTAGGCAAAATCCCTTCTTGCTGCAGAAACGGTACGATCTTGCCACGTATCATGGACCCTTCAAAATCAGCCTCCGCCTTCACAATGCAAGTCTCCAAAATGCCTCCCGATTTCAACCGGTCCTCTCTCTTCCCGCCGCAAAACTGGAAAATCAAAGGGTCTCTTAACCCGGATTACTCTTGCGGGCCACCCGTTCGGGTTAGCCCGACTATGTATCCGGATCCGAGCGGTATGCCTACGAACAAATCGTCTTTCGCCAGCTGGCAGGTTGTTTGCAACATCACAAACCTTAAAACCGAGACCCCGAAATGCTGCGTTTCCTTCTCCGCTTTCTTCAACGACTCCATCGTCCCATGCAACACCTGCGCCTGCGGCTGCGTTTCCGAAACGCGACGCACGTGCAGCGCCGAGTCTCCGTCGCTTCTCATTCCTCCAGACGCTCTTCTCTTGCCTTTCGAGAACAGAACGTCTCTAACGGTTGCGTGGAACGCACTCAAACACAAGACCTTGCCTGATCCGATGCCGTGTGGCGATAACTGCGGCGTCTCGATTAATTGGCACATGGCGTCGGATTACAGAGGCGGTTGGACGGCGAGGATCACGATTTTCAACTGGGGAGATATTGATTTCCCCGATTGGTTTTTGGCGGTTCAGATGAAAAAACCGGCGATTCGTGGTTTCGAGAAAGCCTACTCGTTCAACGCGAGTCTCCTGAGCGTGGACGGAGGAGTCAACAACACCATTTTCATGGAAGGACTTCCGGGTCTGGAGTATCTCATGGCGGAACGAGATGAGCAAGATCCGAAGAAGAAGAAAGTGAGGGTTCCGGGTAAACAGCAGTCGGTAATACAGTTCAGCAAGAAGCTCACGCCGGGGATTAACGTGGCGGAACGAGACGGGTTTCCGGCGAAAGTGATATTTAACGGCGAGGAATGTTTGCTTCCCGATGTGTTTCCGATTGCAAGTGGTGGTGGTCGGAGAAATGGGTTTACGATCGCGGTTTTGTCGATTCTCGCGATTTTTGTTGCGGCGTTTATAATTTAATTGTAATTTTTCTAGGGCTTATACTATGTTTATTCTTTTCTTGATTGATAAAATTCGTTGTAAAATAAAATTGATCTTTTGCTCGATTGTTTGAAAATACCAATATTGTAGATTTTTTGTTTTGCTCCTTAATACAACGAAATTTGGTTCGTTTGCTCTTGTAGTATCAATGTCTTTCTCTACGGTTAGAGTCTTTTATAAGTCACTAATGTTTATTTTTGTTGAGAACTTTCATTTTCATACTTCGTTTTATTTTTAAACTGGGATTTAAAAAAAATAAAAAATACCTCAACTATATTACACTAAACAGAAAAATGCACAAACGATCATTTAGCCAAAAATTATTTGCATGGAATTATGTGGTGAGACTTTCATAGCCTCAGATTTTATGACGTGATTACCATGATTGTAACTTGTAAGCATAACTTATCATTATTCTCTTTTAACAATTTTTTTCTTTTATGCTTTTTCGATCTTTAGGTTATATTTAGATAACCGTTAGTATTTTACCTATTCAATCTTGTTTTAGTCAGCTAGATTTCCTGACCGTAATCTCATAAAATAAAATAAAGAATATCAAGAGGAAGATCTCTAGTATCTTTTAATAATTTCAAACTCTTCGAGCATCCTATATATATATTCTTCCACAGAAGGTTTCTATATAAACCCCCATGATCCCATCGTTTACATTGTCTTGTTCTGAACCCTTTCACTTCTTCCACTAAGTTCCATTTTGTTTTTCTATTTTTAAAGCTATTTTTGTCTTGTTTTAAGCGAAAGGTCCCTTGACGAATAAATCTGCGGAATTTTCAGTCTTCATGTAGATTTCGCAATGATAGAGAAAGGATGCGTCAACATAAATCGATAGGAAACCTTGATCAACATTATAATGATCATTGACCTATCGTTGATAAGTTAGCTTGCTTTTGTTTTTAAGACTAAGAATGTTGAGGTTCTTGTGGATCTTTTACCTTTGGTTTCTGATGTTTGTTAAGTTTCTATTCCATTTGGGGTTTAACGTTGACGAACTTGAAACATTTTCAGTGACTATTTGAGATCTTTCCTTTGTTATCTATTTACGAACCATATTCTTTTGGCTTCGCGTAGAAAACGATAGCAATCTAACAAAAACCACCAGTCGGATAAATTGCAACAGACCGGGAACTCAATGACCGAAATGTGATATGATAAAATCAAATCCGGAGATGTAATAAATTTACACTATCGGACCTTAGTCGAAACCAACGAAGGATTCATGTCAAAACTTCTTGGTGCCGACTTAGAATTTGATCACGTTGGAGATTATTGTTATTCAAAGAAAATCTGGATTTTTTTTTTTATATTTTTGGTGGCTTATCTTTGTTTTTTTAAAGTTGCATGTAAAAATGTATTCGAGAGTAACGTTATATGTTTTAGCAAAAAAAAAGGGTTACGTTATATATATGAGGCTGTAATAATTGTTTTTCTTTTTCTTTTTACTGGTTTTATATTTTTAAAATATTTGCGTTTTTTTCTATTTTGGTTATATTCTTGGTAAAACTTTCTGGTCATTGGTTATTTAGTGTTAGTTCTTGGATTGTGGAGAAAACAAAACTAATATAGATATCTCTCAGGCCTTTATAATTTATTAGGTTGCTCACTTTACTGCAAAGATCCCGCCCGTAGTGAGTTTTTAAGATCAGCCACAAAAATCGGCTAGTTGGTTTGTTTAGTTGTAATTTGGATCATCTCTTGTTTTACAGTATATGTAGTCTTTAAATTTGGAAAAATAAATAATTTTCAACCTTATGAATGGTATCTATATTATATCTTTGAATTTTTTATTCCTTTCAAAAAATATTCGATTTTTGGTCAGTAATGTATTTACGTTTTAAACAACGTTTGGTGGTTTGCACACGAAAGTTTGCATATTGTTTTTTCTTTTTTGGTAAAATAGTTTGCATATTCTTATAACTTTGAATATGATGTCTCTTCTTGAATTTATCTATGCAGATGCAAAGCAGGAATTGGCCAAACTAATTGAACGAGAAGAGTTCAGTGAGAATATATAAAAGGTATGAGCTATTTCGACCACAATGTTAGCTGACTAAGATATATAATTCCTTTATAGAAGAACTGAAACCACCGATAAAAGATTTCATTTTTGCAAATTCTTATTTCGGTTGAGTAAAGAAACCAAACTGTTTACATGGCTTGCATCGCAAGCAATGCATGCTAACACAAGTATATACAAAAGATAAAAAATAAAAGATATCACCTAGAACATATATTAAAACATAAATCCTACTCCTTTAAACTCTCTGTTACATCATCTTCCTACTTGTCTTCGCTTTCCATGCTTGGCCCCGATCTTGACCCATCCTAATATTTTCTTGCAGATCACGATCTTGGCTTAAACTTCCAAAAAACTATTCTCATCGGTTAGGTTAACCTGTTGCTGTTCACGGAGTAACCATTGTTGTAGTCGAAACCTCCACTTACATCCACCATCGTCATGGTTTCTTGCTGTACAAAATCATGCACACACACACACACAACGCACTAAAGATATGGATCTTCAAAATGTATTCAAGAATTATAAAGGTCATAAGAAACATAAGGCTCAATACCTGATCAAGACTATGCGTGAAAGATGAAGGAAACGAAGGTATATGCAACATGGATGGTTCATGAATTTCATGAATGTTCATCATTTGTTGTGGATTGGCTGACAAATGGTTATCGTTGGTAAGAATCGTAGTCGGCATCACCGGCTCCTGCAAGTGGAACAAACTCATCTCTTCCGAGTTTTGTGTGAACCAGCATGTCAAGTTTGCAACCCCAGCGTCGTCGTCTTCGTTATAAACTGCATTATCTTCTGTATTTTCAATAATTGCGAACCCTGAGGCTTGATGGTGATGCTGGTGATTCATCACCACGTTTCTACTGGAAACCGCGACAGAGACTCCATCATGATGATGATGTTGTTCGAGAGGTGATATGAGCTGCACAGAAGACGAGAGTTGAGGAATGTCATTGATATGATGTGTTGGGAATTGGATATTTCTTCCTCCGTAGAAGTCGATTGCTCCTTCTCCATAAATTCCCCCTTCTTGCTGAGTTATTAAAGATACATTTTTTTCGTCTCTCTCGTTTTGATGATCACTTTGCTTCTTCAGATTTAGCCTATATTTCTGCACACACAATTTAGAAGGGAAAAATGATTAATATTATACTCAGTCAAACTATTAATACTTTCAACTTAAAATATTTGTATTAGTCTTCTTCAGTTATGTTATTTAGATTCTTAGCGCCGGTAACCCTCTAGCTATAATCACTTAATGAACTCGGTGAGTTATAGTAACATCCATAAGACCATACTCTATACATTCAGGAATTTGGTTCTTATCTTTGATGGTTTGTTATGTGTAAAACCAACAATGTTAAATACTTTAATTTCATGTTTTGAATTAAAACAGAAAGACTAAAATGCTACAAATCATATACATACAATGTTTCATTGTTTTTCCTACATGTAATGTCCAAGGTTTGTAATTATTCATTAACACGATTAGTAAAAGAAAATCTTAAGCAAAAACGTCTCAACTCAATTTTGTTTCTTCTTTTACGTCTTACGAGTTCATCAAAATTCACTCATATTCTTAACTAGCCAAAAATATATCTAATGCCAGTAGCCGATCATTGACCATATTTGGCAGCAGAACTGGCCATTGGTTAGCTAAGGAATGCCGTAACTTTGCTATGTGTGTACTATCAACTCAATCATGTCCTTGTTAGCATGATAACATATACATTATTATCTTGCCATCTATGGCTATAAACTACGAATGAATGTCATATAAAAAATTTATCATCGATAGAATATGTTTTTTTCTTGTTGGAAAAATTTCAACAAATTCCTTGGCCATATAATGGTCACAAACTAAAAACTAAAATGTTTGTGGCCATTGGCTACGAGATTTGTGTAGTCAAGTTGTAGCCAATGTCCCCGATCATTGGTGACCATTTGTTGCCTTGTAGCCACAGAGAATGGTGGATAATTTGTGGCCGCAACCATGGGTTATTATTAGTCGCCAAATTGTGGCTCTTGGTTTTGGAGAGTTTCATAGACAATCGTAACATATTTGGCACCGAATTTTAGTGTCGAATGCATGACTAGTTAGTCACGACACTGTCTACATTCAAATCTAAATCCATATTTCAGGTGCAAATTAATGTAAGTAACCTCTTTCTCAATAAAATAAAATAATATTAAAGTATCATATACACAAGTATTTCGATCCAAAATATTTATTGTATTAGAACCATGTTTATTAAACTTTTGTTTGAGAGTTTTAATAATTTAAGAAAGAACCAAGTAGAAGAAATGTTACCTGGAGATGGCTGGCTACGTTTTCTCGAGTGATGCCATCAACATTCATCCTCTCTAAAATTTTCTTCGGAACAGCTTCTGCATGAAAGCACATTGTTCAAACATATATACAGCAAGAAAAAAAGAAAATGTTAATAAATCTGAAATGGTAAACCCTAGTAGTAACTATGAAAACTAATATGTGACTCACTTGCGGCGCCAAGGTATTCCACAGCTTCCATAAACTTACTGTGAAGATGTTCGTCCCACACTACTCGCCTTTTCTTGGTGGTGGAATCACGATCATGATCGTTCTGGTCCTCGTCGGTTTCCCCATCAAGGTAAATGCCTCTTTTTCTCTTGTTAGGGTTTCTTATGGTGGAATCCCCCACTGAGGACGATTTCTCGGCCGCTGCTTTCTCTTCTGCCTCTCCGGCCACCGCCACACTCCTCCTTACTTGTGTCTTCTTTGCCACGTATTTGAACATCAACCGCAGATCTTCGGGTCTTAAAGGTTTCAAAAGGTAGTCGCAAGCACCGTTCTTCATCCAATTGATCACCGACTTCACTGAATCGTCTTTAGATATTACTGCAAGAATCAAACAAGCTTTTTAAAATTTTGTTTTGGATTTTATTTAATCAACTTGTAAAATTTTGCTTAAAGGAACACTCTAATTGAATATTGACAAAATAAAAATGATTTTTTGCTTACTAATGATTGGAAGATCCAATTCAGATCCAATTTCCGAGATTAACCGGAATATTTCACCGTCTGAATTTTTTGCTTCAATGATAGCGACGTCGAACCTATTCCTATGGTTGCAAAGTAGAAACATAGCTTTCTTCTCGTCGTTGCATCCAGTCACTGCAGAAATACATATTACTTAGGTCAACTTCTGAATACCTAAATTAATCAGAAATACACATACTGATTTCATATGGAAATCATAAAAATAAACATCACTAATTAGATCAACTTCAAAAACTCCTAAAAATGTTAATCAAAATAGCTACCTTCGTATTGAGACTCTTGGAGATATTTCTCCAATTCCAGTAGATATTGGGGATCTTCATCAAAGACTAACACTCGCAAACCCTCGGGGAACTTGCTGGAAATCATATCGGATGAGTTTGGATGATATCTACTTGGACCACCACCGTCGTCACTAGCCGGAATCTCACAGTGGTCACATTTCTCAGCCATATTCGACGACTGAGAGGCTCATAAAACGCTGCGTGATTTTCTGATAGAGTCCAGCTATTTTGTTGACGATGTTTTCTCCCTTTTAAACCATTTTTTTTTTGTTGGATATCATCGAACAATATTATTAAACATTTTTAATTAGAAAACATTTGGAAGTGGACCCCAAAACCCATATTAATTAGTAACAGAATTTTAGATTGCGAGAGACTTGGTAAATCTTCGGCTGCTGGTAAACAAATTAGAGTAATAAGATGGAATAAAAAGTTTGATAGAAAATGTATGAACCCACAAAATCAGAGTAAAACTTCTCACTTCTTTTATATGGAATACATTTTTCAGCTGAAGAAAATCTAAATCACTTGATAACAAAAATGTTTTTACTCTAAATACTGTAGAGATAGATTAAATTGTTTTACTCTGTTTTACTCTAACTTGTTTACCATTCACACCTTTTATAAACCACATGGTAATCCATTTAACAAATTTAAGCTTTCTATATTTTTGGTCTAATCAGTTTTGAGCTTGAATATTTAAACTCTAAAATCACTGTAACTCATCATTGTAGCTATTCAAATTGTAACTAAAATAATGTCAAAATCCTTTCACAAAAAGTAATTAAAATGTCAACCAAAACAAATAAAATTTGGTTTTTCATTTCACTTTTATATACTTCAAATTTTTTAAAAAAGGATAATTTTATGTTACTTTATTATATTGTTGACGTTCTTCTTTGGTCAAAAGTTAAGAAATGTTTTAAAATATTTATGGGATTTACCAATAGTGTGGAAGTAAACATGTGTATATAATCAATATCTAAGAGAATGAAAAGTTACAACTAATAAAACGAAAAAACAAAAGAACATAAAAATGTATCTGATTCGAAGATAATATTAGCTAGAGGGAAGAAAAGGTGGAATTTTGTTTTACTCAGAATTGGCGCCAAGTTAAAAAAAAATTGCGGAAAATTTTACTTGAAACTTTCTAAAATAACGCTGCAATGTTATCCCTCTAAAATTAATTTTCCTCTCTTTATTTATCTACCCTTATTCTCATTTTTTTTCCCACCAATACCCATTGTTTGAGAATTATGTCAATAAAAAAGGTTTAAAAAGTCGTTATGAAATTGAAATTTTTGTTGTTGTCAAAGGCTTTCCTGAAATTTTAACTAGATATTCTTAACTCCAACAACCTTTATATATGGACTTGCAAAAAATTTGTTACCGTACTTGGAAGAATTATCAAGAAAACGTCGTATTTTTCCAACCTCTTTTATACTTTTTATTAAAAAAGTGAAAACACCACTTGGATAAAAAAAAGTAACATGGAAAAAGAAAAGAGAAAAAACACATGAGTGAACTTAGATTCGTATTTTTGGTCGAATCAATTTTGAGCTTGAAGAATTAAACTCTGGAATCACTATTATTCATCATTGTGATCATATTTGTAGCTATTCAAGGGTGCGATCATACGAGCACTAAAACACAAATTCTTGTGTTGCACCTCTTTTGCACTCCAAAACCTATTTAATCTAGTTTAAATTAATTATTTTTCTCCTCAAAGTTCAGTAATACATTAATTACACTTTTTTGTAACATCTCACTACATTAGTCACATTTGTTATACAAAAGTTTGGTTTTTGAATATATTTTACATTCAATTAAAAGAAAAAAGCTATTCAAATTTGTAACTCATGTTAGTATTAATTAAAATAATGTCAAAATCCTTTTACAAAAAGTAGTTAAAAAATGTCAACCAAAACAAATAATCTATGGTTTTTCATTTCACTTTGATATACTTCAAATCTCAACAAAAAAATATATAATTTTTTTTTTATTATATTGTTGATGTTCTTCTTTGGTCAAAAGCTAAGAATATGTTTTAAAATATTTATGGGTTTTACCAATAGTGTGAAAGAAACATGTGTATTTAATCATTAACTACGAGAATAAAAAGTTACAACTAATAAAACTGAAGAACAAATAACAGAAAAATATATCTGATCGGAAGGTAATATTAGAGAGAAGAAATGGTGAAATTTTCTTATAATTTGGCGCCAGGTAAAAAAAATGCGGAATAGAATACTTGAAATTTTATCTACTATGTTATCCCTCTAAAAAGTTTTTTTCTCTTTTATGTATCTACCTGTTGGACCCAGATTCCACACCTGGAATCTAGCCCGTAAGGGCCCATTACCTTGATCCAAGATTGAAGTCCAGGCCCACTCAAGCCCAGCAAGAAGACCTCGAGCCCACCAAGCGACTCCCTCGTAAGCCAGTTAACTGCCATCCGAGCTATTCCGGTCGACGTAAAGACGAGCTCCAGCTCGATCAAGGACCAGGTCGGCACTGCGAAGAAAGACGAAGTCAAAGAAGATCTCCTTCAAATCCGGTCTGGTCCGAGATCACCGGGATCGTTAGCTGCACGTGGCGAGATACGCGGAGGTGGATCGTAGCTGATTCTGGAGCTATAAAAGGAGCTTGACAGCAGTCGGATCAAGGGACATCTTACATCTTCTTCCGATCATTTAGACCTAATTACTATCATACTTTCCTTGTATTCACCTTTGAGCTTAGTTCTTTCTCTCTTCTGAGAATTCATTGTAACCATTTTCATTCGTTTAATACAATTCCGTTTAGCCAAATCCTTGCTTACGATTCATTCGACTTACATCAAAATCTAGCCCTAAATCTCCCTAAGTTTCTTCCTTGCAAAACCTATAAATTTCGAGTGTGGTTTTCATAGCCCACATTTTGGCGCCGACTGTGGGGAGGAAACATAGATTTTCTTACACAAGGGTCGAACCTAAGCCAGGTAAGAGCGAAAATGGATACTATCCGGTCGCAAACCCAGGGATCTAACTCCCAAAACTCGATCCCATCGGATCAGATCACCTCGAACATCAGTAGCAGCCAAACTGCTGATGCATCGAGAGATCAGATCGCGTCGAATGTTGGTAGCCGCCAAACTGCCAACACTTCGAACACGCCGATCACATCTGCTACCGCCTCCACTGGAGTGCAGCTTAGCACTCCACCTCGCGTGGAACCAGTGGTGATCAATCTCGCCACGCCGGTAGCAACCCCGAGCCCGATTCTACCGAATCTGGGTTCGCACACCATCGAGAGACCTCTCTCTCGAGTTTGGGTCAGATCGGAAGATCCCCCAACAACTGTGACTCCACAGAGTCGGACTATTCCTGTTCGACCTGCATCTGCGACGCAAACTCCTCCGCGAGCTAGTCCAGATGATCTGGCACAGATCAAACAGCTTCTCACCAACCTGGTAAACGGTCAGCGCGACCACGAAACTAGGCTGGAGAGACATGAGAGACGCCTCGCTGAATCTCGAAACATCACTAGCCCGCCTCCGCGGACTCAGCTCGATTTTTCGACGATCTACGCATCTGGCGTACCTCAGGCGCAATTCGTTACGCCTTCGCGACCTCAAGTCTCTCAGACTTTCGGTCCACCGCCGAGCTCGCCACCAGTTGGCATAAATAACATACGAGCTCGCACCCAAGCGAGACGAGAGCTCAACCGAACGTTCCGCTCTCATCTCCACCCCCAGGGCCACCTGGTACCGATCCAGCTAGGCCTAGGTGGTTTGGCGCTTCAGCTTTTGCCTCGAGCTCGCAGGCAATGCCTCAGTTTGAGAATCAGCTAGGCGCACATACGGTTCACAGCCCTCCGCAACAGCGCGAGAGCACGTGAACGGGAATTATCAACAATTCCCTAGCTCGAACGGTCAGCCCAATCGAGCTCAAGTTCCAAGGAGCTAACGATTCACAAATCAAGCTCCATATCCGATTCCAGCTAATCGGAATCCAGCTGATCCGTAACCTCGTCGACAGCGAATCTTTCGAAAGATTCCAAGATCGCACAGACCTCGCGTTTCAGCATATGAGCTCAATGTTTCATCAAGCAACGAGCTCAGCTCCTGATATCGACAGAGTGATTAAAGAGTCTAGACGAACTCCTTTTTCACTCAGGATCAAAAGTACCTATATCGAGATACCAGCAAGCTGCGTATCCCAGAATACTCTGGTAACAGCGATCCGAGAGCTTACATGCGAGCTTTTAACCTCGTCGTATCTCGAGTTCCTTTCTCTCCAGAAGAGATAGAAGCAGCCTACTGCAGGCTCTTCGCTGAGAACCTGATCGGACCAGCTCAAGAATGGTTCTCAACGCTGGACGAAAACTCAATCGATAATTTCGACCAGCTCCAATCAGCCTTCCTAAAACAGTATTCGATCTTCATCGAATCTAAAATTACGGAAGCAGACCTTTGGAGACTTTCTCAAGGTCCAAAGGAATCACTTCGATCTTACATTGACAGATTCAAATCAGTCAAAGCTAAGATCACAAACCCTAATGAGGCAGTAGCTCTACTTGCCCTCAAAAACAACTTGTGGTACGAATCGAAATTTAGAGAAGAACTAACTGTTCGACCTACAATTTCACTAGATGACGCATTACATCGCGCATCAGCATTCGCAACTCTCGAGGAAGACACAGCTCTCCTCAGAGAAAAGTACCTCAAAGGGGAGCTCGCATATGCTCCACCAGGTGCTAAGAAAACTGCACCAGCTAAACCACCTTCGCAGAGTAAAGGACAACATTCCTACTCTATCGAAACTTCAGCTCCCATAAAGAGCTCGGAGGAAGAAGAGAAACACTGCGATATTCACAATACAAACGGCCATTCCACAGAGGAATGCCGTGCTAAAGGCAAAAAGTCTAGCAAAAAGAAGGGAAAAAGCAAAACAGCTGAAACCGCGGTTAAGGCCGAAAAGCCAAAACCCAAACCAGCTAAAGACTCCGACAACGCACCTCAGAAAAGAGAACGCGAAGTCGAGGTCGAAGCCCCCGATTCCCCTCCTTCTAACAGGAAAAGAATCGACCTAATCTTCGGAGAGCTCAGCCTTTGCGGCGGCTCAACGAGATCCGTGGTCACCCCCCCACCCGCTCCTAGAAAGGCTACGAGCTCTAGCTCACACAGACCTCCTAGACTTGTCGGGGGGATAGAGCATTCTTACAGAAGCTCGCCTGTTACATCACCTACCTCCAGACCCGATACTAAGAGCATTGCGATCTCTTGCTTACGCAGACTTCACAAGCTCTCGGGGGGAGTAGAGCCACCTACCCCTAAACGAATTGACTTCATTTGCGGTGGCTCGAAGATGTGCAAAGACTCGATTAACTCGATCAAAGCACATCAGCGACGGGTCGAGTCATCTGGACAACCACGTCCTCTAGACGGACCTGATCACGAAATCAAATTTCGAGAAAGCGAAACACTCGCACTCGATAAACCTCATGACGATGCACTCGTAATCGAGCTCGCCGTAGCCGGATTCGAGCTGACCAGAGTCATGATAGACACAGGAAGCTCTGTAGACGTGCTGTTCTACGATGCTTTCAAGCGAATGGGATTCGAAAACTCCGCACTCATAGGAGGCCGTACGCCCCTAACTGGGTTCGCAGGAGAAACGACCTATTCCATGGGAACTATCCAGCTCCCAATCAAAGCAGGTGGTATAACGAAAACAGTTGACTTTGTGGTCGTAGATCGCCCCGCGCCATTCAATGCCATTCTCGGCAGGCCGTGGCTCTACACCATGAAAGCAGTTGCATCCACTTACCACCAATGCGTCAAGTTCCCTACACCTTGGGGAACAAAAACAATTCGCGGTTGCCAACGAGCTTCCCGAGATTGCTATATGGGCAGCTACTTGCGAGCTGAAAAATCGCCAGTATAGCAATTACAGAAAGAAGAGGAGCTCGCGATTCGGCAGATCAAACATGGCAAAGATCCGACCGTCCGCGAACCTCGAAAAGACTTGGTCACTCAGGTTTGCATCGACGAAACCGACCCCGAAAGGCGCGTTGGTATCGGAATCGATCTCGCAAAACCTATCCGTGACGAGCTGATCGCCTTCCTAAAGGAAAACATCAGCACATTCGCATGGTCCACCGCGGACATGCCCGGGATTGACACTAGGATCACGTCTCACGAGCTGAACGTAGATCCCACGTTCAAACCCATGAAACAAAAACGTCGAAAACTCGGCCCAGATCGGGCTAAAGCAGTAAACGACGAAGTAGACCGACTACTCAAGGTAGGCTCGATCAGAGAGGTGAAATACCCCGACTGGTTAGCTAATCCTGTAGTTGTCAAAAAGAAAAACGGAAAGTGGAGAGTCTGTATCGATTTCACAGACCTTAATAAAGCTTGTCCAAAAGACAGCTATCCACTTCCTCATATAGATCGCTTGGTCGAAGCTACGGCTGGTCACCAGCTCCTATCCTTCATGGATGCGTTTTCTGGGTATAATCAAATCAAGATGAACCCAGAAGATCAGGAGAAAACAGCTTTCATAACAGACCGAGGTACTTACTGCTACAAAGTAATGCCATTCGGGCTAAAAAACGCGGGAGCTACATATCAGCGCCTCGTAAACAAAATGTTTGCCGATCAGCTCGGTAAAACAATGGAGGTGTACATAGACGATATGCTGGTCAAATCCTCTAGGGAAACAGACCACGTCGCACAGCTCCGGGTATGCTTCTCCATACTTAACAAGTACGGCATGAAGCTGAACCCGACTAAGTGTACATTCGGAGTTCCGTCTGGCGAGTTCCTCGGTTACCTAGTAACTGAACGCGGAATCGAGGCGAACCCGAAGCAAATCTCTGCCCTCTTAGATATGCCTTCTCCAGAAAATACTAGAGAAGTACAACGGTTAACCGGTCGAATAGCAGCCCTTAATAGGTTCATTTCCCGGTCAACCGACAAGTGTCTTCCATTTTACCAGCTCCTCCGAGGAAATAAAAAATTCCTCTGGGACGAAAAATGCGAAGAAGCTTTCAAACAGCTCAAAACTTACCTCAGCGAACCTCCTATACTGGCAAAACCAGTAGAAGGAGAACCGCTATACCTTTACATCGCGGTCTCGCCTGCAGCGGTCAGCGGGGTCTTAGTTCGTGAAGAGCTAAACGAACAAAGACCAATCTTTTACGTAAGTAAATCCCTGATTGATGCCGAGACTAGATACCCAGCTATGGAAAAACTTGCCTTAGCAATAGTAATGTCCGCTCGCAAGCTGCGACCTTACTTTCAATCACACACAATCGTGGTGATGACCTCGCAACCATTGCGAACTATGCTACATAGTCCAAGTCAATCTGGACGACTAGCTAAATGGGCTATCGAGCTCAGCGAATACGACATCGAATATCGAACTAGAACCTGTGCTAAAGCCCAGGTACTAGCTGATTTCATGATCGAGCTGGCACCGGAAGCCAATAACGATACCACCCTCTCTAAAGTTTGGACACTCTTCGTAGATGGAGCCTCGTCCAAACAAGGAGCTGGCGTCGGAATCAAACTCACATCTCCAACCGGAGAAGTGATCGAACAATCGTTCAGACTCGGATTCGTCGCCTCTAACAATGAGGCCGAATACGAGGCACTCATAGCCGGACTCCGACTCGCAATCGGGATCGGCGTGAATGAGATCAACGCATTCAGCGACTCCCAGCTCGTTACTAGCCAATACAGCGGCGAGTACGAAGCAAAAGAGGAGCGCATGGAAGCTTATCTCAAAGTAGTTCGAGATTTAGCTGGACAATTCAGTAAATTCGAACTAACTAGGGTGCCTAGGGGAGAGAACACTTCGGCTGACGCCTTAGCTGCTCTCGCCTCCACTTCGGACCCAACTGTAAGACGTGTGATCCCAGTCGAAGGCATAGATAAACCTAGCATCGACATCGCACTCAAGTCTGACAGTATAAACGCAATTACCTCGCGCCCGTCTACTCGTTCTCAAACTAGACAGTCCCAAGATCCGGGACCATCTAACCCGGAACCTGATTCCGAGGAAGAAGAACCTGACCAAGATAGGCAAAAAACAAGGTATATCGATTCGGACTCTTCGCAAAATACGCAAGAGTCCACGATCCATACCGTCACACCTGGAATCTAGCCCGTAAGGGCCCATTACCTTGATCCAAGATTGAAGTCCAGGCCCACTCAAGCCCAGCAAGAAGACCTCGAGCCCACCAAGCGACTCCCTCGTAAGCCAGTTAACTGCCATCGAGCTATTCCGGTCGACGTAAAGACGAGCTCCAGCTCGATCAAGGACCAGGTCGGCACTGCGAAGAAAGACGAAGTCAAAGAAGATCTCCTTCAAATCCGGTCTGGTCCGAGATCACCGGGATCGTTAGCTGCACGTGGCGAGATACGCGGAGGTGGATCGTAGCTGATTCTGGAGCTATAAAAGGAGCTTGACAGCAGTCGGATCAGGGGACATCTTTTACATCTTCTTCCGATCACTTTAGACCTAATTACTATCATACTTTCCTTGTATTCACCTTTGAGCTTAGTTCTTTCTCTCTTCTGAGAATTCATTGTAACCAAATTCATTCGTTTAATACAATTCCGTTTAGCCAAATCCTTGCTTACGATTCATTCGACTTACATCAAAATCTAGCCCTAAATCTCCCTAAGTTTCTTCCTTGCAAAACCTATAAATTTCGAGTGTGGTTTTCATAGCCCACACTACCTTTATTCTCATTTTTTTTCCACCAATACCCATTGTTAGAGAAATGCATTATTAAAAAAAGTTGTTATGAAGATTGGAACTTCTTTCATGAACTGCTTTTTGTTGTTAAACACTTTCCGGAAATTTTTACTAGATATTCTTAACCAGTTACTTTAACAACCTTTATTGAGAACTTGCAAAAACTTTGTTATTGTACTTGGAACAGTTGGAAGAATTTTTGTTCTAGATAACCTCGTATTTTTCCGTCATCTTCTCTATTTTTTATTGAGAAAATTGAAAAACATACAAGTTGGATTAAAAAAGTAAGACGGGAAAAAGTAAAGAGAAAAAATCACACGAGCCGCAAAAAGGCACACGTGTGAAAATGAAACATAAACGGCGGTACAACAACACCACTTGTTCGGTTTGGTCAAGACTGTAAATTACCAACAAACTCCGATCCACTCACGAGTTCTCTCTGTCACAGCTCTTGCTTCCACTCTCTCTCTCTCTCTCTCCCTCCTCCATCGTTCTAGGGTTTCGTTAATTAGATTCAGTTTCTTCCTTATCTCGATAGTTTATGCTGTAAATTTTGCATTTTTCTATTCGTAACCTTTGACAGTAAAGAGGAAATGGAGTCTAATTCGTGGATCAATTGTCCCTCCTCCGTATTTTCATCATCTTCTTCTTCGCGGCGTTACCAATCTCGACCAGGTTCTATTTTAATTTCACTGAATTCACAAAAGTGCGTGGCATATATTGAATATGCAAAGTTTCTTTCTTTTCTTTGTGTGGTAATTTTAATGGTGAAAATAACTTTTGGGGGCAGATTTGTATTTGGGAGGAGATGTAGAAGGAGAAGACGAATTGAAAGCAGAGTTTATCTGCCCGTTTTGCGCAGATGAGTTTGATATTGTTGGGCTCTGTTGTCATATTGATGAAGAGCATCCTGTTGAGGCCAAGAACGGGGTAAATCATCTTCACACTTTTTTACATTCTTTATTTTGAAGGTTGTCTTGAAAATTGGAAAAAAAAAATTTTGCTTTTTTACGCCTTGTTTAGCTTAGTTAAGTGAGCATTGTAAGAACAGAGTACTTAAATGGACAACTACACCAATCTGCTTTGCTTTTTGAACTTAGGTGTGTCCTGTCTGCACGAAGAGAGTTGGTTCGGACATCGTTGGCCATATTACGACGCAACACGCCAACTTCTTTAAGATATCCTTTTGAAACTTTAGATCTTTCTTCTCTGTTTTTTTTTTGTTTTGCTTCTCTTATAAAGTGTCAATTTTGGTTTTCCTTGATGTGTGAGAGAGAGATTTTACGTGCAGCGAAGGAGAAGGTTGCGTAGAGGTGGATATAACAGCTCTGCCTATCTTACGCTTAAGAAAGATCTTCGAGAAGCAAACTTACAGTCTCTTGGTGGATCTTCCAGTTTCATTACTTCATCCAATTTAGACTCTGATCCTTTGCTCTCATCTTTCATTTTCAATCCACCTCCGGCTAAAGAATTTGCTATTCCCATCGCCAAAGGAGACTCGGTTGATAAAGTCTCGCCTATTGACACTCCTAAAAGGTATAATTCCGCACTGTATTCTAAAGAACAAACGTTGCTTCGGTTTTGTTCTTCATATAAGAGTTTTTCTTATTCATTTACAGCGAAACTCGACAAGCATCACTTTCAAACGAAGATCAAGAGAAGGCGAGGAAGAGCGAGTTTGTACGGGGCTTGCTTTGGTCAACCATGCTTGAGGACGAGTTCTAATCTCTCACGAATAACCTGGCAGTGGCAAGGAATCATTTCACTAGCCTTTCAATGTATGTGGCTAAGCCTTGTAGTGTAAGAGTAATATATGTTGTAATCGAAACTACTTGGGAGAAACTCTTATGTTCATAATCAGGAAATGAAAGTAATTAGCCAACACTTAAAACTCTTTTCATTATTATAACCTGTTAAGAGAGATTCATATATAAGCCAAGCTGTGTTCCAGATCAGCAAACAAATTGTATCACAAAAAAAGTGGTGCATCTCAGCATTACAAACACTCCTCACAAATATCACTATTATATGCCTCCTCAAATCCTTATTCAGGGAAAATTCAAAAGACTAGTTTCAGTAGAAGAAAAGGGACCGATAAGACTACAATTCACACAGATCTTCTGGAAATGAAACATCAGAGACTCTTAAATCGCCTGGAAAAACACGCAAGAGTCTAGCCAGTAATTGATTGTTCTTCAGTGTAAGAGAGACTTTATATGTGAAGTAGATAATGGGTCTTTTGATCAGACCAGAGCCAAATCCATGGTCAAGAAAGTATCTTTCATTTTTCACCTCATTTGTGGACTATTGGAGGTGAAGAATCTGTAGTCTGGATGATCGACTTGCAGACGCTTGAGCCATTTGTCCGCAGCTTGTAGCAAAGAAGACATCTTTTGGCGCTCTTCATCTCTGTTTGGATTCCATACAGATACTTTGAGCTTATAAGATGCTAGACCAAAAGTAGGCAACGGTAGTTTTATAGACTGCTCTAAGTCGCTAGAGCCCATAGAACCTGCTCCAACATATACACAACACTCTGTAAGATATAACGCTGGTTGAGACAACCAGGACAAAGAGACGATATAATGTTAACATTAAAAGCATATGTTTATTTACTCTGAGGAGGTGATGTTGAGAGAGAGTGAAAAGTTAGAAAGCAGGCATCGAGATTTTGTAACGTTGGACCAACCGGTATTCTGTATATTGGATACCTACACACCAACGATTACAAAAGATCACCACTTTCAGGTGAATACACATATATTTCAAAAGTAACGATCTCAAGACTCAGAGAGGGTTAACAGGAAACATACCATGACACAGAGACCCAACTTGAAGGAGAAAGATCACAGCTCCGATACGTCATTAGCTCAGGAAATCTTGACGCGAGATCCAAGACCTGGTGTTTGAGCATATTTGTTAAGATAATCGAAAATAAAACACCACAAGGAGCTTTCTTTGCTTAGGAGAACATATTACTTTGTTAGCCAAAGGTTCTCGACCAAACGGAGGTTCATACTCCAAGTACTCGAAAAGTAACCGTCCCTGAGGATTGCTGATCTCAGTCTCTCCACTTGACAACGAACCAGCAGAGGATTGATCTCTCAGACTAATTCTATTCAGATCGCTGACACTCAAGTCCACCGCACTCTGCAGACGCTTAGACGACTTGTCAAGCCTACTGTTGCTGCTTCCTTCACTACTTCCTTCTTTCTCTTCAACTGAATTTCTGTTACGAAATGCAATAATAAAAAAAACTGTGAAACGGAAAATCACAAGACTTCGGAGCAACGAAGCAGAACGTTTCAAACAACTAACCTGTTGGGCCTCTTTGATGGGTCTACATACAACTGAATCCCCGATAAGTAAGGCACATAGTACTGCACAGTGGAGTCGCTCTCTTGCATTTGCAAAGGAACACCAGCACCATATGCACTCCACTCCGCAAATGACTCCCACAGATCCTCCAGAACAAAATATGAATTGCACTCCGATTCATGGGTTTTAACTTCCCTCCTGCTCCTCTGTAAAAAACGAATTGCAACAATAAGCAATGCTCAAACAAAAGGGTTAAACAAAAAACACAACTTTCCCTAAGCCCCACACCAAATCACATGATAAACTCCAAGATTGACCAAAAGTCTCATTCCAAATTGCTAGATTAACAAGTTTCAAATCAAACAAAAGCTCTTAAATTCTTAAGTTTCAAATTAAATGATATAACATTTCCAACTTATCAAGCAAAAATGATTTGAAATCGACTAACCATGGGAAGAAACCGGGCAGGAACAACGGGGGTGGTGTGCTCCAGGAACCGATCCAAGTTCGACCCGTCGCTTGGAACCCGACCCGACCCGGAAGAATCAGATGAGCCGACGCATACTTCCGACCCAGAAACCACCCGTTTCTTACTCTCCGTCGGACCAACAACGCCGACCCCTTTCCTCGTCCGTGGCGGCGGCGGCATCGCGGCGGCTGCAACAGCCTTACGCTCCTTATCCATCAACACCTGCTCCTCCTCTTCCCGACGCAGCTTCTCCCTCATCTGCTGCTGCAATTGCGCCTCCTGCTGCATCCTCCGCATCGGCGGCGGGTTGTAGAACCGATTCTCTCCGCGGATCGCTGTGCGTGCGATTGAAACTCCTCCGGAACCCGACATTGTGCTAATTTTGCGAAATCGATCGCTCAGAAAAATAAACAGATGAAGCAAAATCGAACGAAACCAAACCAAATAAAAAAAAGAGTGAAATTTCTTTTTCCCCGGCTAAAATGAAGAAGAGAAGAGCAGAAAACGCTTCTTGGGTCTGTCTGCTTGAGTTCGAAAAACTCCGAAGTAAGTCTAGGGTTTTAGAGATTGGGAAGATGAAGAAGATTGGGAATTTTGATTATATTATTTATCACCAAAGGGAGAAAAAAATCATGGAAATTTATATCAATTTCTAGTGGCATACACTCATTAGTAATAAAATATTGATAAAAAAAAAAAAAAAAAAATTAGCTGAAACACACAGCAGAAAAATTAATTTTACAGATGTGGCGAAAAGAGGAAGATGGTGGGAAATTGAAGGGGTGTTTGTGTTTGGTAGCGAAAGGTTTCGTCCCTTCCCACTACGCAGCTCTTCACTATTGGGCCTGTTTTCCTCTATTAGGGCCCATTTCTCTAATTAGGCCCAAGAATGTAACTTTTAAACTTGAAAGCTTTGACTAAATGAATGTGCAAGAGCAATAGTAATCTGTAACAACAAAACAAACCAAAACTGATGATGAAAGAAAGATCTTTTCTTAAGCCATGTGAAGAAATCTCCACTGAACAAAATTTCTCTTTAAGGTTACACATGAATGAAGAAATGAACCTGTACAGATGTATAAATCTCACAAGCTGCAAACAACAATGAAAAACACCAACAATGACACTGTGGTTTATTTTGGGAGGAAAAGAAAAGAATCTGACCTTTTTGCTAACTTAAAAAAACAAATATGATGAATCATGGAGACGTCCTAAAAGGATCTTCCTTTTTTTCTTTTGGTTTTCATTAGGCCTCTGCTCTGCCATAGAAACTTTCAAAACCGATCTTCAGCTCCGGGCACGGTTCAGGGACCACAGACTCCGAAGAACCATCAACATAAGAGCATCGCCAAGAATCATCAGAGTTGTTCTTCATGGACAGAGAGATATTCAGTAACAAAACCGAAGTGAAAGGAGACTCTTTCGTTCCAAAGAAATCTCCTGCCACGCTTATGTTTTCACCAACAATGTCATTTAACCGGATGTGACTAACCAACGGGAAAGCATTCTCATCAAACTCTGAATCCGGATGAGTTCCAAAGCTACCGTTAGCTAGAAACGCAGTGCCAATGTTAACCATATGAACGTCCGAAACATCGATCTCTTTCATGTAACCGCCTCTTCCTTTGGTTGTTAGAAACGCAAGACCGGAGAAGGAGTTGTGCATGTGAGCGCCACTGACCTCCACGTCAGATATTCCACCAGACATTTCACTGCCAAAGGAAATGGACGAACCAGAAGCTCCTCTGAGGTAAACGTTTCTTATCTGTACATTCGCAGTTGGTCTTGCGTACGAGATACCGTATTCGTCCCAACCACTTTTTAGGGAGATTGCATCGTACCCCATGCTGATGCTAGAATCTTGAATGCACACATTATCAGAAGAATCTGAAAACAAAACAGAAAAAAACTCAGTTTGAGTTTTTAAGACTGCAAGAATTGAGGACATAAGAGCTTACTTACCAGGGACAATGCCGATTGTATAAGGAGATTCTGGAGAAGTATTAGCAGTTACTTTGTGAATGTACACATGGCTGCACAATATTTAGTGATTACAGTCAAGATTATGAACAAAATTTTCTAAACAAAAACAAGAAGAGGATTTTTCAGGCTATGGTTTTTTACCTACAGTAGACCGAATGGATAGTGTAAGCAGGAGCATTCAAGAAGGTGAGATTAGAGACGATGACGTTTCTGGAAGAGACAAACTCGACGAGATGTGGTCTGCTGTGTTCTAAAGATTGAGAGTTAAACCGATCCCACCAAAGCAGGCCTTGTCCATCTATAGTACCGTTATCACCTAGAACCAATGAAATATGGAGTTTTTAAGTTTAGCATTAACGATCAAAATTGAAATGAAAGGAGCTCAAATCATGTATTACAGACCTGTAACTACTACATCATGTAGCTTATAGCCGTTTATCAGACTCATGTATCTCTTCCCTGGTAGATCAATGCCTCTTCCATATGATGGTAATGGATCCACGACGTACCAATGCGATGGATCCTTCATACAGAGACAAAATGAGAAACAGTTACACAAATGTTCTGATTGGTAACTAACAATGCAGAATCATGGAACAGAGCTATAATATTTCCTTTGATAATTGGAATTGATCTTGCTAAGTGGCACTTTAATGATTCACAAAAAGAAAAATTGAGATTGGTCCTAAGCCACAATGCCTAATTACTGAAACTGGTTTTCTACAAATCAAATCCTTTCAACATGAATAATGGTAAAGCAACAGAATTTGATTCAAAGTTTCAAACCACAGACTCTGATCTTACTCATTGGAGTGATCAAAACTTTAGAGTTTAGACAGAGAGAGTTTTCACAGACCTGTGAGGCAAGAATGACGGCGTCTTTCTCGAGAAAGAGAGTGAGATGACTGGTGAGATTGAAACTTCCGGTGAGCCACCGTCCGGGAGGGACATAGAGCTGAGCACCGCCTTTATCGGCGAAAGACTTCAGATAGAACACAGCGTTCTGAAACGCGATTGTGTTCAACGTTTTCCCATCTCCGACAGCACCAAACTCCAGAATCGAGACACTGTGTGGCCTCGTGTTTGGTCTCCGACCAAGATCGCATACGTTTCCGGCGCCGTTACTTCTCGCGTATATCGGAATCAGACTGCTCAATGCCAGCAGCAAAAATAGCGCCACCTGACAGAAAAAATACAGTAAAATCTTAATCAAGAGAGACTAAGAGCTCCGAGTTCAGATCCGAAATCGGTACATAATCAATCAAGGAAGCTAAGATTTTCTAAACGGATCCATCGAAATGACGGAGACCCAGAAAACATGAGAAATCAGTGAAGCAGATATTGATGGATTCGAGTTTCGAGTTTCGAGTGAAAATTTAAATCAATCAATTTCGGACAAGACAGCAAAGAATGACAGATGACTTGAGAACTAAAACAAATAAGAACACGTACTTACTGGCATCTTTATTTGTAACGAGAAAGCTGTCAGAAAACGAACAGAAAAAAGCGGAAAATAAAGACGAGAACTTTTCGCGCCAAATGCAACCCGACAGTGAGGAAGAAGAAGTAGAAGAGCGAAGAAGAAGAAGGAGAAGAGTTATGACCACAGAGACAAGAGAAGCTTTTTTTTTTTCTTTGTGATTGAGGAAACGGTATAAATGATAGAAAAGACGAATTATTGTGTTTTTTTTTAGTATAAAATAATTTCCATAAGAAAAAAGAAAATAAGTAAATAAGGTAGGAAAAGATTAACGCCAAAATGACAGCCTTTTTATGCGTTTGAGTATATAATTATTTGGGCATATAAAGAAAAAACAAAATGGAGAAAAATAGAAAAACATGGCAGGTGGAAAAACAAAATAATTTAGAAGAAGGTAGATGAAAATTGAAAAACAAAAGAGTAATTTTTCATCAGCGCTATAAATTTTGTCATTAAATTCCACTTTTCCACTAATTTGCAATTAATACCAGTTTGGCTATAAACAGTTAAGAATAATCGTAACGTATTATCGCCGACAGATCTTCTTCACACCGGAGAGAGAGAGAGAGAACGACATTTTTTTCTTAAAGAAAGAGATGGGAAAGAAAAAAAGAGAGACAAAAATGGTTGTCTGAAATCGATCTTTTTGTGTTTTTATTTGAAGTGTGCATGTGTTTGGTTTCTTTGTTGCAATTGTTTTCAAAATATAAAATGATTTTTTTAATGTTTCATATTTCTAGTGTTTTGTTTTTATTATGTCTTTTTCATTGTTTCGTCGCCGTCAGTGTTATTGTTTACACGTCTAGCTCGTCGGTCCACAACTCCACATTGATACATCGATTTGAGTTCTCTATTGGTTATCAATAACAATGCGATGTTAATTATTTAATAATTTAGAAATTAAAGTATAGTTCAAGAGCATATGGCACAAGATTTGGGAAAAAATCTTACCAGTTAACAGATATGGCACAAGATTTGGGAGTAATTAATTAGTTAAAAACTTTGATTAAAAATGTGTAAACGACTTGAATAGTATTTGTCTATATGGTAAACGATAATTTTAGCTTTTTGACATGTAATTACAGGCTTTCGAAACAGTGAATAGAGCTCATAATTTATTTATTTTTTCACTGTCGAACATGTCCTAATCTTTTGGTACAACTCATGCCACTTCAGTAGCTAAACGTTTTTGTGATGTAAATGCTTTTTCCTTGGGTATCTAAGTTCTAAAAATTACACGGAATGTTTTTAGACTGACGTCGCTGACCGAACATTCTAAAATTTTATTTTTACTTAGATTCTTCTTATTTTTATAGAAAAAGTGTTTGTACTTATAACAAACTAACAATTCGAAAAGCTCTTTTGTCAGAATCTAATAAGTGTTTCAGTCCCAAAACAAAGATATGATGAACATATTGTTTGGAGGACAACAATATGCTAAGAGAGTTTTATGTATAATGTAAATGTTCAAGAACGAATATCTTAATTCTTTTATATAGTTCACATACAATATATACAAACTAAAAAAAAAAAATTCTGCCAAACTAAACTTTTGAAATTTAAAACATGATATTGAGAAGAAAAAAAAGAAACAAGAGAATTAAATTGAGTAGAGTTTGAAACTATAGGAAGTGAAGCAGTAGATGAGGGAACAATAAATAAGAAAGGAAAGAGTATGGGAGAGAAGAGAAGGCTCAAAAGCCATGTGGCTGACAGGGGAGGCTGAATGGTAAATGGGTCCCACTTATATTCTACCATTTTCCAATTTGCCAGCCTGTCATTTTGTGTGTCTTTTCCTGAAAAACTGTTTCCCTTTCTTTTATTTCATTCATTCATCAAAGTTATTATTTATATGATAGATCAGTTTTGTTCTTTTGTTCTTTTCGACGTCAGATAGTTTCAATTTTGTTTTCTGATAACAATCTTACTGATAAACATAAAATAATACACATGGGACAGGGTTGAATATTTGAATACAACTAAACAGTCTAAAACTCGACATAAAAACCCAACTATCCCAAATCTAAAACAGAATCGAAATCTAACCGGATTTGGTTCAAACTCACAAGTGACAGCATTAAATTTTTTGTTGACTTATTGAGTTTGTGATCATTTTCACACTTCGTACCTGCATTTTGGTGGTTACTATGTGAATTAGTTTGGTTTCACTAATAAAAATCCGGTACAGTTATGTATAGTTATGTATATACGAGCTTGAAAATAAAATAAAATCAAATCAAATGCAACAACTTTTGCAAGTCACAGTTAGGTACGTTGATGAAAATAGAAGCGAAGCTGTTCAGACTAAACCCTCACTTTTCTTTGAAGCTTCAAGATACTCTTGAAGAATCAGAGTCTCTCGTCTACTGAATTGCAATGAGCACAAGTTTTACACTGTGAAGCTGAGCTACAGAGGAGGGATTCCTCGCGTGTGGGTAATTCGTGTGACACAAGAACCATAAATGATAAGTCACAAGTGATAACAAAGTTCTTTATTAATAATTTAACGTCACAAGAACCACAAACAGAAAAATACTCATTATGTGCTCAACGCCAAAGGCCAAAAACGCCTTGGCTTTCTTCTCTATTTGAAGAAGAACAGAGTTGTCGTCTCCAACAAAAGGATAAAAAGAGATTCCTTCTTGAACAAAGATTCATAAGAGAGGCTCTGGTTTTAGAGAGGTGTGGGCTCAACGAGGACTTCCGTAATCTTCTTCTCCAGTTCCTTTGGTTCGATCCACAATGAACTCTTCGCATGCAGTAGCTCTTCTTTCTCTTTCTTCTTCTCCTCTATTCTTTTCCCCGTCATTCTCCACGCCTCCAGCTTCTCAGCTCTTTCTTTCATCTGCATTTTTTTCAAAACACGAAACCGGTTTACAACTTACAAGAAAAGCACACAAGACCACTACTACTCCAAGCATAAGGAACTCGAACTAGAATCAGAAACCTGAGAGTAGTTACTCTGCAGACACGAGTTCGTAAAATCAGTTTATGAATCAGGTGTGTACAGTGTTCTCTCTCTACCTACAGATCAAACAAATGGAACTTCCTAACTAATAAGTTTCACTGCCCTCCAAAGAATTCCCAATGAAAGCTTCAAGATCCATATTTGAAGGCCAAAGGTTTAACAAGAACAGCAGCTCATATAGAGAAACCATGATATGGTCACAGGATTCATTAAAACCTCCACTTAAGGTTAAGCAACGATTATCCAATCCCTTGGTCATACAATTTCATCAGCTCATACAATCACAAAGCATAATCACCCTAAAGCATAATAAGGAAAACTACACCTTGATTCTCAACATGGCCAACAAAACCCTTTTCCCCATTTATTCGAGTAATCATCTCACACTAAACTAACTACTTGACTAAACATTCCAAGTCTATATGAAACCTATACAAGACAGAGGAATTGAGAACAGAGAAATGTGAATGTACCAGGGTTTGCCTAAACTCTTCCTCAGCAATCTTGCGTTCCTCAGCCCTAACCTTAGCTGCCTCAGCCTTCAACCGCCGCCTCTCCTCATTAGCGGCTTTTTCAACCAGCAATCTAGCCTCATCCTTACGCTGCTTCTCGACACGAAGCATCTCAATTTCGTGTATGTACTCTCTACGATACACTTTCACCTTCTTTGCGTAATCTCTCCTGAGCTGTGTAAGCATCCTCTCTGCATCTTTGGGATCGTTCGGGGTTTCCCAGCTGCCGAGATAGCTCTCCGGCTCCAGAAAGCTGTGCGTCTCCAGGTGGTATCTATGGTGGGTGGCGTCTGATGAGAAAGACTTGACGTAGACGATCATGGAGGCGTTCTCGCTCTGTGAAGCTCCATGCCTCACAAGGCGGCTTAGTTTATTGCAGAATGCCATTTTACTGGATCTGATTTCTACACAAGAAGGGGAAACAAAATCATCTACAGATTCAGATTCAAAACACACAAATCACACTGGCACATCCGAAATCGAAATCAGTGTTTCTCCGCCAAAGGAACAATTAAAAATTCCGGTTAAATCCTGAGCGATCTTGGAATTTCTACGTTTGAGTGAGAATAACTAGGGTTTATCGATCTCTGCAGTTTGTTGAAGTTTCAGATTGACACAAATCTTGGAAATGGCAGAATACTTGCGTTTAGAAACGAAATGTGAAAGTAGTATTCGTGTAAGAGGAGGAAGCTTACCTGAGAGGAAGGAATCGACGGCGATCAGCGAATTCCAGAGAAAGAGAAAGAGCGGCGCGGCCAGAGCCCAGGAAGCACACAGTAACGGCGGTGAAACGTTAAAAAAAAATCTGGGCGTGAAGCGTTTTGGCCTTTTAGGGCTGGATAAAACAAAAACAATATTGTATATTTATTTTGTACATTTGAATTTTATGTCTAGATTCTATAATGTAGCAGATGGAGATTAATAAAAATTTGCTCACAAAAAAACCTACAATTCTTCTGTTAAATTATTGTTATGCTGCTGAGTTTAATGTTTAATTATTTGTCTTCTATTTATTTTTTTGGGTTAATGTTAATTATTTTGTCCACTGTTTATCTAAAATTGGCAGAGGAAAATAATTTTGACAAAAACTTGATGAATTATCTTTACTTGTATACATGATGCAGTCAAGTTCTAAAAACGAAAAATAAAATTGGTAATTACCTCCAAGCATATTTCAAGGTGTCTATTCAATTTCAATATTTTGTTCACACAAAGTTAGTCTTTTCAAGAGTATCCATACTAGTTAACTCTTACCTCAATAGCATATGTCATTTTGATAAATTACACACCACTACCTATTATAAGCTGTCTTTTAACTTGCGCTTGATTATATGTACTCATAAATCAAAGCTTATCATTTTATGTCTAAGCACTTCATTAAAGAATATTCTTCAACTAATTTTAGAAATATCAAGGATTAGAGCCTTCAAGTTCCAAAGCCTCCTCTGTTCTTTTATTTTTGTTTAGGTCAATAGCCTCCTCTGTTCCATTAGTTACAAGGCCTATGTGATGGAGCTAGAATCATAGCAGCACTAATACCCATATTACAAAATAACCAGTTTTTAGATTTCAGGTTTGTTGACCAAAAAAAAAAAAATTTAGGTTCAAGAAACTAATCAAATATTAGCATGAGCAAATCAAGAACCAAACACCAACCAAATCTTAATGTGATGATGAGTGCAAATAAGTTTATATAATAAGATAGTTCAACAACCAAAAAGCGAACAACAAATAGGAAACGAATAATACTTCCCCTCCTACACACCTTTACCGTCTTCATCATCACAGTCTCTACTGTGAACCCACCACAAAAGATTACTCAGAGAGTTTCCATTGTCAAACTTGTTCAACCCTCTGATCTTCTCGATCGCTTCATCTTTGTCGTAAACACCTTCCAGAGCATAAACGAACCCTTTCCATCCTTCTCCAACGTCACCTCTCTGCAACGCCGGCAAAGTCCAACTCACGAGCTGCTTCACGAATTTCACATCCGAGAACAGAATTTCCGACACCGGAAGTAACGGTAATAACTGTATCCCAAGCCGACACTCTCTCCAATCCTTAGATCCGAACCATAGGCCACTGTCTCTCTTCGTCGACCATAAAACCCCAACCATACGATTCTCTGCCGTGAAATCTTTCGGGTAAATATTGTCATCTTCCTTCACCTGCTACCACCAAGAGAGAACGATAAACACTAGTCAAATTTAAAGCTAAAGAACCGATTGTAGCATAAACCGGATTAGTATCTATGATTTATGTTATGATTTAAGTTTAAGTAAATATGCTTTGTACTAATTTCCGCTTAGTGTTAGATTTCACTTTGATTTTTAGATACAAAAGTAACTATTTAACCATCTAACTCCCAAGTGTACGATTTTTAATACGGTTCAATCAAACCAAAACCGCGCCAAAATGTTCCAATAACCGTAACAACGTTTATCGCTAAAATAGTTTGTTTTACAAATCAACCCCTAAGAAACTAATGTCTTTGACATTCTGCCCAACCTAATTCGAAAATACAGCTGAAGACCCAAATAAGGCGCCACCAGCTCTATGTCGCCGTAAGCTAACCCTAATAAAGCGGCGGAGTAATAAGCATTCACCGCCTCACTCGTGCTCTGCTGATTCCGTCCATCGGCAAACACCGATAACCCACCAGCCCAAGAGTGGAGCTTGAACAGATCAAAGCATCTCAATCGCGGGAAATCGAAATCGGAATTATCATCCCCTCGTCTCCCCAATGTCATGAAATCCGCCATTAGAGTGTATGCTTGAGGTCTGTATCTCTTTCCCCACAAAGGATCGATCTTAGCGAGCACAGCAATCGCATAGAGAAAGTAACCTAGATGATAGTGATGATTGTTGTAGATCCCAAACCCGAAATCAGCTCTTGAATCAGTCGATCCTTGCTTCGTGATTATGCCTCCCCATTTAGATTCATACACAAACCCGTTTGGTTTTAAACTCCCATCTAACCACGGCTCAATCATCTTCTTCAGATACCTCCTAATCGTCGGAATCACATCGAGATAACAAACTTCCTCGGCGATTACAGCTAATCTCGCCGCTCTTGCGATCAATTTACCGTAGAAATAGCTAGTGACCGGAGCTGTAGAATCCAAGGCGTTGACGTCGCGGATGAGAGCAGAGATGATCTCTTGGTGCGAATCTTCTCTGACTCCATTGAGAGAGTGCCACGTCACCAAAACAGGGTCCGATTTGAGAACCCATGAATCTCCGACGACGCCAACCAAATCGCCGTCGATGCTGCTGTACCTGAAATTATCGATTACGGCGACTGAGCGATTCTCGTTTGCTATAAGCTTGAGATGAAGAGGATGAGCGAGCATCAGAAGATCTCCATTGCCTCTCGTCTCCCATTTATACTCCAGAGCAAAGGGATTTGTGAAATCGGCGTCACCGGAAACTGGGTAACAGCTACTGAACAGGTCGAGAATCGATTCGAAACCTGGACTCGAACCCGGTAACAAGGCGATCCGAATAATACCGGAAAACCCACCAAGGCAATAAATCGTGGAACCGTTGTCTTTTTTAGTCAGATAAATCGGCGACGAGGCGTAAATCAGCCATGCCTGACTGTTGTTGAGCTTGGCCGTGTACTTTGTCGATTTGCTATTTCCGGTTAACGACAACACCACGTGGCTCGTAGAGATTCTGATGGAGTTGCCGGAGACAGAGAAGGTGATAAACGGGCTTCCTCTGACGAGGAAGAATCTGAGATTGGACGAAGGGAAATCGAGAGTGACACCGAGGTCGCTGAATGAAGTAATGAGATGAGTTTTCCGGGAATGCGGGTCGGGTCCTTTTGACCCGGAGATGGTGATGTCGGGTTTGAAAACCTCGTAGAGGAAGGCAGAGGTTTGTAACAAAGATGGGTATGAGATAGAGAGAGAGGAAACAGATGGATTGACGATGTATGGGTGAAAATACTCAGCTTGGTCGCCATTGTAAAGAGTGAAGTTTTGAAAGAAAGAGTTTGTAGGGAGAGGGCTTGAGAGGAGTTCGTCGCTGAAGAATCGAGATGGGTCGGGCAAAACAGAGGATTCCGATCTCGGGAAGAGAAAAGGAGCGTTCTTTGGTCTCGAGGAAGCCATTTCTTGAGGATGCTCTGGTTTCGCTCTCAAAGCTTTCTCACTACTGTTTCTTGTCTCTGTCTTTTGAGTCTTTTAAAAAGAGATTGGAAGATGTATCAGGAAGAGGAAGCGTTGTGTTTTTTTTCTTCCAAGAAACATGTACCCATGCAAGATACCACGTGGCAAATCTATCTATATAACTATAGTCAATAGATCTCCTCAAAACCAAAAATTTATCTTTGTTACTGTTGGCCATTACACTTGAAAAGTCGAGCCTGAAGAAACTCGATAAACTAGATTAAAATGTAAATCTCACGTCAGAAGAAAAGATGAATTTATTTTAAATTTGAATGACCTTATGATTTTTCACATGTATAATTGAAAAGAGGCTCAACAAAGTGACAAACCATTCGTTATAGCTCTAAGTGATCTTATTAATGGAGTAAAAAGATAAACTAGTGTGTGGTTATAAGTAAATACACTATAACCCTTAGTTTTTAATTAGTTAAAGGTTGAGTTGGAAATCGCTAAGCCATGAAGACCACCCTTCATACTAAGCCTCTCTCGCTGCTTCAGATTCGTCGCATTAATACGGTTAAGATTGACGTCGGTGAGCGTTATATTCTCACATGCCGCGAGTGAGCTGCATCTAAGAGTCACCCCGAACTCAGTGTTATACGTTCCTCTTACGTTCTTGAACTCTATGTTGCTCAGTTTCACCATCGATGCCTGCGTGCGTTTTCATTTCTTCATATTTTCTTTTGTCACAAAACTAAAAAAGAAAGCTATAATCATATACTTTAATTTATTACTTACAAAGGTGGTGTTGCAGCTATCATGAGGGCAATACTCTTGATCAATGATAATGGGGTTGGAGACGTTAACCATCACAATGTCCTCGAATGTCATATAACCAGCTTGGCTCGGTGCAGGCGAAGAAGGCCATGACTTGATCCGAACTCCATTATCAGTTCCGTTGATGGTGCAGTTTTTAACCTTAATCCCTCTCACTTCCTCCTCGTTCTTGTTCCTCCCCAAGCTCCCAATACTGCACCAAATCAGTCACCGCAAAACTTTATAGTAACATCCAATAAAGTAGGAGTAGACAAAGAAAATCGCAACCAGTAAATTGCATTAAACCCGAATTGACATAGCTTTATAAGCTGAAACCGAAGAAGGCAAAATTTTTGATACAAATTCTTAATATGATCATATTAAATGAATACTCAAATTACTGGTTTGAGTTTAATGATCAATATGTTTTAATCATTGATATATACTAAAATTCCATCGATCAACGTTTTTTTTTTTAAAATATGTTGGTTTCTATAAATCCGATAAACTATGGAAACAGAATCGAAATCAAATTGTGAGTTAAAGAATGAAAAAAGAAGAAGATGAGAGTATTATGGTCTCAGCTTACAAACCTGATTCCATGGCCTGGACCACAATGTGTGTTGGAAACGAGCACGTTGAGGCTCCCGGTGGAGATGGAGATGCAATCGTCTCCGACTCCGATGTTTGAGTCGGCGATTTTGATGTTAGAAGAGCTGTGGACGTGAATCCCGTCGGTGTTGGGACTGTTCCACGGGGAACTTAGAGTGATGTTTTGAACGGTAACGTTATGAGAATAACGTAAGTTCATATGAAACCCTTTCGAATTTGATAACGAAATGTCTTTGACGATTGCATTTGTCACATTGGCCAATATTAAAGACTGTACGTTTGACATAAAAACACATTCATATAAGTAACTTATACACTAAAAATATATACATAGTCATCACACGTCGCAAAAATATTTACTAACCGTGATGAGTTTGTCACATTTCCAGGCCCTCGCGCAACTTGTTTGATTCCAGGCTTCAACTTTGCCTTGGCCGTCTAAATTAGAACCTCCGTACACTAAGATGTCGTTTAGGTTATGAAAAGTAATCCATTGATTAAAACGAAACTCCTTAATGCTCGCTGGAGCAACTAGCTCTCCTCTCATCTCTACTTCCATGGTTGATTCACTGCGACAAGGGCCCAAGAAGTCGATCGCACCCACTAGGTATTTTCCTTCTGGGACGTAAAATCTTGTTCGTCCCTGGTTCTTGCAAGCGGCCTCCCATGTATCCTTAAATGCCTGTTCAATTATATTCAACTTGTAAGTGTACAATGCTTGAAAAAAAATTATGCAAACCATATTATGTAATCATTTTTGTATCTTAAAGTAAGAGTAAATAAATTGTGTAAAAAGAAAGAAAAAAAAAGTACAGTATGTGGAGAAATGATTGTATATATAAAAAAGAAGTCGATAAACTGACAATAGTGTCGTCTGACTCGGCAGCGGCGGTGGCTCCGAACTTGGAGACATCAAAAACTTCATATTGAGATGATTCATCAGGACTCGGCATCGGGGCTGGCTCCATTTGTGCTTCATCATATTCTTCGAATCTAATTCTATCATAAGAAGCTAATATTGTCTTTGAAGAAACAAAGATCAAGAAGATGATCAAGAACTTAACGACTATGATATAATTACAATTAGTCATCATTGTCATGAATTCTTGTTAGATTTGTGTGAGCTTAATTTTTTTTTGGTTAATGGCCTATACTTATAAGAAAAAAGGTCAAAAACAAAACCTCAACTTACCAGATTTAGCCAAAAAGAAATAAAAAAATTCAAATTTAAGTTGAACTAGTCGAATCTGACTACATTAGTCAAATAAAACATTTTGTAAGAAAATTTGAAGTCTGACTAGCTATATAAATAGAATTCTTCCTATTCAACATAAAATTAAATAGAGGAATTATTCAATTGAGGATTTGGGGTTATGTATATTAAGATGGTAAATCTTCTAGTATTCAAACATGAATTTTAAAAAGTCTTTTAAAATCTAAAGTTATTGAATATGTGGATTTAAATGTATTTTTAAAATCCACTGTGAATGGAAGGGGTGATTTATATTAAGATGATAAATCTTATATTATTCAAACATGATATAGAGTCTTTTCAAATATAAAGTTACTGAATTTGGAACTGAAAATGTATTCTAAAATTGACTGTGAATGGAAATAATAATTCAAGTAATGGATTTTAAAAGATTTAAAGAGTGTTAGTGGAGTTTCTTAGTTCGATATATGAAATTCAAAATCTCTTGGTTTAAGATAAGATTTTTGAGTATTTTAATTATAATCATATCAACTTCCTAATTCACGAAAAATCATCTAAATATTCACTAAAAATAAAGTATTTCCATATTTTTCCAAATGCTAGATTGAATATACATCCTTAGAGTTTCTTGAAAAATAAAATAAACAAGTTAATCGTTATTTTGGCCCAGGTAAATTTGAAAACAAAATATCATATTGCATTTTAAAATATTAAATAACACATTAAGGGTTGATAACAAGAAAATCAAAATTACTGACAAAATGATTTATTCGAAAAATCATATTTCTTAATGTTCTTGTCTACAACTTTCTGGTATTATTTACACAATCCTTTTTATTTCATTTAAGAAATGCTTTAACGAAGTCCGGAACACAAATAACTAAATAACCGTCATCGTAATAAGAGAGTTACATTAGCAGGGTTCTCAGTGAGAACTTCTCACTCTTGCTTTTTTTTTTTTTCCCAAGTAGAAGGTAAATTTGCAAGCAACAATTTGAAAATTTGATGTTCTTCTTATATTAAACTTACAAAACTTTTTAAACCAAAAATGTTGATATACTATATAAACGGTCGACTTTGGCGGGTTTTCATGTGTGTGGAATTGGTTTAACGAATCACCGGCTCGTCGTATAGGGTGAGATCAGAGCATGGCACTCCGATTGGGGCGTGGCTTTCACGTGCCGGAGGCCCACCACTGCGGGCGATACGCTCTAAAGCCGGATTAAGTGTAGAAGAAGAAACTCGCCCATGGGTTTTTTATTCATTTTTGGCGCCAAGTGTCGATCCTCTTCCTCCACTTCTCACCAACTTACAATGATCCTAAAAAGGGCGCCTTTCTTCACTCCCATCCATAGACTGGAGTGGTTTCTTCTACAATCACATCTCCTTCTTGGGTTTTTTTTGCCTTGCAAGTGTTTGTGCTTTTGCCTCTGAGACGAAATCATGCCAACCGGTAGGTTCGAGACGATGCGTGAATGGGTTCACGACGCCATCTCTGCTCAACGCAATGAGCTCCTCTCTCTCTTCTCCAGGTCTCTATCTCTCTCTCTCTCTCTCTCTCTCTCCCTCTCTGCTTTTGCCTCTGAGACGAAATCATGCCAACCGGTAGGTTCGAGACGATGCGTGAATGGGTTCACGACGCCATCTCTGCTCAACGCAATGAGCTCCTCTCTCTCTTCTCCAGGTCTCTATCTCTCTCTCTCTCTCTCTCTCTCCCCTCTCTCTCACTCAATCTGTGTTACATATATGAAATATGCATGATTCTGCAACTGCAAGTCTCTGTTTTTAGTTGCTGATTTGTGAATTGACTTGACTTAAAATGCGAAATATATTTAGCTTTTGAAACTTTAATGAGTAATTCGAGAGTAGAGCCGGTTTAGATCGTTTTCCTTGCATGCATGGTGTGATTACTGATTAGGTCTCAATGGTAATGGCTTGGTTGCAATATGTATAGATATGTAGCTCAGGGGAAGGGGATTTTGCAGTCACACCAGCTGATTGACGAGTTCCTTAAGACCTTGAAAGTTGATGGAACAACAGAAGATCTTAAGAATCGTCCATTTATGAAAGTTCTCCAGGCTGCAGAGGTGAAAACATAGCATCGGAATGTCATGTTCATAGTATAATTTTTTATCTTTGATGTGTGATAATCTGAAGTTTTTTTTCACATTCAGGAAGCTATTGTTTTGCCTCCCTTTGTTGCCATGGCTATTCGTCCCAGACCTGGTGTTAGGGAATATGTTCGTGTGAATGTGTACGAGCTGAGCGTTGATCATTTAACTGTTTCCGAGTATCTTCGGTTTAAGGAAGAGCTCGTCAATGGCCAGTAAGCATATCCTGTTTGCAAAGTTTTTTTTTGTATGTATATATACTTCTATGCTTGGACTTGACTGCTTATAGTCTCAACATTTTTCATCAGTGCCAATGGAGATTATCTTCTTGAGCTTGATTTCGAACCGTTCAATGCAACGTTTCCTCGCCCAACTCGGTCTTCATCCATTGGGAATGGGGTTCAGTTCCTCAATCGTCACCTCTCGTCCATTATGTTCCGTAACAAAGATAGCATGGAGCCTTTGCTTGAGTTTCTCCGCACTCACAAACATGACGGCCGTGTTAGTTTTTTTTCACTACATTTTGACGTAGTTTGTGCAATTAGTATACAACACTGACTCTGTACTCTGTCTGTATAATGTAGGCCATGATGCTGAACGATCGAATACCGAATGTCCACACACTTCAGGAAGCTTTGGCAAGGGCAGAGGAGTTCCTTTCTAAACTTCCTCTGGCTACACCATACTCTGACTTCGAATTCGAGTAAGATCTTTCGCCATTCTCTGCATCTCTGTTTGTTCGTATTTCTTAGCTAATTCCCTTTGGTGAAGACTACAAGGGATGGGATTTGAAAGGGGATGGGGTGACACAGCACAGAAGGTTTCAGAAATGGTTCATCTCCTTCTGGACTTGCTCCAGGGACTTGCTCCAGGCACCTGATCCTTCCGTCCTGGAGACGTTTCTAGGAAGGATTCCTATGGTTTTCAATGTTGTGATTTTGTCTCCGCATGGTTACTTTGGCCAAGCCAATGTCCTGGGTCTTCCTGATACTGGTGGACAGGTAGATTTTGTCAGTATCTTCCACTTGTGGGAACTTGGTGGATCTCTCTAATGATTCAACTTATATTCTACTGTTGAGATTTTTCAGGTTGTCTACATTCTCGATCAAGTACGTGCTTTGGAAAACGAGATGCTCCTTAGGATACAGAAGCAAGGACTGTATGTTATTCCAAAGATTCTGATTGTATGTTTTCTTGTCTGTTCTTCTTTACTGAAAACATTTGGCATTTAAGTTTCAGTTTTAACTTCATGTTTTCATGCTGGCTTGTTTAGGTAACAAGGTTGATACCCGAAGCAGAAGGAACAACTTGCAACCAGAGGTTAGAGAAAGTTAGTGGTACAGAACACGCACATATTCTGCGAATACCATTTAGGACTGAAAAAGGCATTCTTCGCAAGTGGATCTCGAGGTTTGATGTCTGGCCATACCTGGAGACTTTTGCAGAGGTTAGCACATACTAGTAGCCAGATTTCCATGTAACTTCTGCAGTTTCTTCTTGCTTCTTCATTCAGATGGGGTTAGCTTAAAGTTAGGGAGAACTAAAGTATATAGTTCACGTTACTTTTTTTTTTGGTAACTCAGAGGGGACTATAGTTCACGTTACTTGTATGTGAATAGGATGCATCAAACGAAATTGCTGCGGAGTTGCAGGGTGTACCGAATCTCATCATTGGGAACTACAGTGATGGAAATCTCGTGGCTTCTTTGTTAGCTTGTAAGCTAGGCGTCATACAGGTTTATGCTAACACTTCTCTGTAATACTAAATTCAGTTTTGTTCCATCAAAGAGTTATTAAACTTTTGTTCTGAACTCTCCTTTACCGTCTGAGATGCAGTGTAATATTGCTCATGCTTTGGAGAAAACCAAGTACCCTGACTCTGACATTTACTGGAGAAACCATGAAGATAAGTATCATTTTGCAAGTCAGTTCACTGCAGATCTAATTGCCATGAATCATGCAGATTTCATCATCACCAGCACATACCAAGAGATTGCGGGAAGGTAAAAAAATGTCATCCGATATTCAACTGCATGCTGTTGTCCTCTGCAATTTTGGTTTGATGCCAGCAGAAACTGTTTTGCTTTGGTCACAGCAAGAACAATGTTGGGCAGTACGAGAGCCACACAGCTTTCACTCTTCCTGGCCTTTACCGAGTTGTTCATGGAATCGATGTCTTTGATCCCAGTCTCAGGTTGTCTCATCTTCTGCCTACAGTGGAGCTGACAGTAGACCATAGATAGACACTTCCATCAATGTGCGAGCAGAGGAAGAGAAGGTCATCACATTCTGTGGGCTCTCTCTTTCATCACTTCTAGTTATGCGGCAATAAACTCAATGTCTGGTGTGTCGCCAGTCTCTGATGTTCCCTCCCTTCTGTGATTGTAGAACTGCAGGTCATGGGTGTGTACACTGAGATTGCTTCGCTTTCTGGCTCACATCACCACATCAATATTATATTATACGTGTTGAGGAACATCCGGTCTTTAAATCTCATTTGCTATGTGTGATACAGGGGGTATTACGTTAAGCTCGGACGCGCCATAGCTCAGTGAATGCCTCACTATATTTATCACTTTAAAGCAGTGGCATGTCTTTTCACAATGTGGACGCTCCCACAGAGGAAGCCAATCGTCTTCTCCATGGCAAGACTTGACAGGGTGAAAAACTTGACTGGGCTAGTTGAGTGCTATGCCAAGAACAGCAAGCTGAGGGAGCTCGTGAATCTTGTTGTAGTCGGTGGCTACATCGACGTGAATCAGTCCAGGGACAGAGAAGAAATGGCTGAGATACAAAAGATGCACAGCCTAATCGAGCAGTATGGTTTACATGGTCAGTTCAGGTGGATAGCTGCTCAGATGAACCGTGCTCGGAATGGTGAGCTTTACCGTTATATCGCAGACACAAAAGGCGTTTTTGTTCAGGTAACATGAAGATAATATTAGCTCCCTTGAAAAAAATGTCAGCATTTGGAATTAGTGTAAGGTTTACAGACTCGTCTTTATCTCTTTTTCCACCGCAGCCTGCTTTCTATGAAGCTTTTGGGCTAACAGTTGTGGAATCAATGACTTGTGGTCTCCCAACTTTTGCTACCTGTCATGGTGGACCCGCAGAGATCATTGAGAATGGAGTTTCGGGGTTCCACATCGACCCATATAATCCAGACCAGGTTGCAGATACTCTGGTCAGCTTCTTTGAGACATGTGACACTGATCCAAATCATTGGGGGAAAATCTCTGAAGGAGGGCTCAAGCGAATCTATGAAAGGTTGTACCCTTTTTTCTCTTGACAGGCTTGGTAAAAGAACTTTAGTCGCTTGACCAATATGATGGTTGGTTTGTGCATGTTTAGGTACACATGGAAGAAGTACTCAGAGAGGCTGCTTACGCTGGCTGGAGTCTATGCTTTCTGGAAACATGTATCTAAGCTCGAAAGGAGAGAAACACGACGTTATCTGGAGATGTTTTACTCTCTCAAGTATCGTGATTTGGTCGGTGTAACTCAGTCTTCTTCTTCTTCTCCTCCTCTTCTTTTGATTTCTTAGCCTGCTTTACTTTACATGAGACAATTATTCTGTTTGCAGGCGAATTCAATCCCGCTGGCAACGGATGAGCCTTGAACAAGCCATGGTTGGATTCTAGTTGCTGCTCTCACTCTCTCTGTTCAGTTTCTGTTTGTGTTGTCTTGGATAAAGCTATTGTCATGTTTTGTTTCCATGAGTGGTTTGGTTCTAGACTTGTTTTCAGTTGTTTTCTTGATATCAGTAAAACTATTGTGTCTGATTAAGCTGAGTATGAGATTCTCGGTTGTTTTCTAGATATCAGTAAAACTATTTTGTCTGATTAAGCTGAGTATGAGAAATGGAGAATAATGTGGCAATTCACTTCCTGCTAGATATTTACGTGGCAATTTGTGGATCCTGCAAACTAGTGCGTGCCTTATACGGCGAGATTTGCAGTAAATTCATATTCAGATTCGTAATTTCTGAAGGCGACTATTTTCTACGAATGTCATCTCATCTCGGTTTCGTCTGAAAAACCTATTACTACGTAACTTCGGATACCATTTCCGTGAACGCAAAATATAAACGCATCCTCTTTATTCAAAGCAAAAGTACTTTTTTTTTTTTTTTTTTTCAACTTCCTTTCTTTATTTCCTTTCCAAAAGAAGCGACATTTAGGGCCTGATTGGTTGTGGCTATAGCTTTGATTTTTTTGCTTTAGAATTTATGTTGTAGAATTTTTTGCTGTGATTGTAGATTTTAGTGCTGTAAGATTTCTTATTGTAGATTGTGACATTAAATATAACATTAAAACAAAAAAGATAAGTTATAGAAACAATAGATTAAAAAATAAATGTTGAAAAAATAATAAGGAAAGAGAAAAGAGAAAATTCTAAGAGCACTTAATTTTCTGCTCTAGAAAAATTGCTTTCCAAAGCCACGGAATTTCCATAAACAAAAAAAATTGCTCTGCGTTTCAAAAATAGAAAAAGATAAAATGAGAGCTTGATTAGTAATTTTGGATTGTTGTACAGAGATTTAGTGCTCTGGAAAGCAACCACAGCTTTTACCAATCATCCCTTTAGAGTTACAAAAGTGGAGCTTAACAAATGGAAAGAAACATGTGTTTCAACCCCGTACAAGTACTTTACACATACAAATATTTAATAACACATCCTCTTTTCTTCAAAGCATGATCAGTTAGCTTATATAGTCATAGCCTTTATTTTAATACTCTTGTCTGCTATGAGAACCCTCTTCAGCTCTTCTCAAGCCAGAGTGTTCTCCACACTTGCTGAAAAGTTTTAAACCACAATACAATTTGTAGATATATAATTTTTTTTTAAAACAATTGTAAACTATTTAACCTAGTAGAAAAGAGTTTATAACATTTACTAATATACAGTGTAGTTTAATTAAAAAAAAAAAAAACAGAATTTTCTTCTAGCTTGTATCAAATAACTCCTCGGTTTGTAAAATCTTCATAAAAATAGTCATATGCTCTTTGTGACTAGTAAATGCGGGGGAATAATGAATGGCAGGAAGGGCCCAAGAGAATTCCTTGCTACTATTAAATGTTCGGCAATGGATCTTGGGATACTCAAAACAAACAAACAAATCCCCTGTATATTGTCCAAATAAGAAATCATTTAAAAATTTAAAATTTCAGAAAGATACTGATGATCATGACCGAATAATAAGCAGAAATCATTTACTACAGTGTGATCATTCGCTAATACAAAATCTAGTTTAGTTACATACGTGTGTCTTTTTGTTGTTGAATAGATAGATACTATTAGTTCGAAAGTATTTGGGATGTAATAACCGAAAAAGAAAGTGGAAAGAGACAAGAGAGCGAAAGAGCGTTTAATCAAGCAATCAGCTTTTCTGCAACCTTTTCTCTCTCGAACCCCTAGACCAACCCATTTCCGCCATTAAACCCTTCACACGCTCCTCTCACAAGCCACAGTGAAAAAAGAATGTCCAACAATTCCCCAATTTTCCCCATTCCTCATTCTCAACATTTCAGCGACTATGGCTTCGATCCCCAAATCGACTACTTTCAGGTTTCCTTCTCCTTCTTCCCTGCTTCTCTCTGGTTTTCAATTCCATGTTTTTGCTTCCGTTTTTGTGTAATTTTATGAAATTTTCAATTTTGGTTGTATAATAAGGTTTTGGAAGAAGCGAGGAAGCACAAGAAAGAGAATTCGTCGAAATCCTCCATTGACACTTTACAATTCAAGCTCGAGAAACCTATATCGAAGGAAGACCTGATACGAACAACTCTCCAAAAGAAGAAGCGTCGTTGGTTCTGGAAGAAAGCTCTCCTTGTTTTCAACTGGCGGAAATGGCCGGCGATCGGAAGACGAGGAAGCCATTACGCCAGCGACGGAGACGGAGACGGAGACGGAGACGATCGCGACGTACACATGGCGAGGGCTAGGAATTTTCGGGCCGGAGCCGGTTCGATATCGGGTCGGTTTACGTGACGGAGAGCTGGAGCGGTTCGAGCACGCCGTACCGGACGGTAAGACCATCGTTAACGGTGACGACAGCGATTCCGTATCTGAGTCTACGGGAGCTTAACATGGAGCGGCAGCAGAGGATCGGTGCCTCTTCTATGTCGGGTCCCGTTTACTTGGTCACGTGATGATAAACATCAGTTTTATAGAATCATAGAGATGGAAGAAGAAAAAGAAAGTAACAAAAGCTAAGATTTAAGAAATTGTAGTTCGATGTTTGGAGTGGTGTGATTATTATAATTGCAACAAAAGCTAAGATCAGGGAAAATTAACGAAAAAAACAAAAATTTGATTTTTGGGTCTAGTGGCTCTAATGTTTTACAGTTACCGGCTAAAGGAGTATACAGTTACCTAATTTAAAATTTAATATTGTTATTTATTGTTGTCTTTGTGTATATTTGTAGTGTCTGGATTGACATAATTTTTATTTTGAAAAAAATTCAAACTATATATTATAAAACACGGATTAGAACATAAATACACGAGGTCATTATTTAGATTGTACTCCCTCTGTCCCATATATCCATCCATATACATCCATTTTTTTTCAGATCATTTTGTCCAACTGCTTATAATATGGGATAGAGGGAGTAGATTTTAGTTTTTTTTACAATTTGTTTACTAAGTGTAGTTATTTGTAGTTACACGATCATGAATATGATTTATTTTAAACTTAAAGCATGTGAAAAAATCAACTTGTCGAGTTTTGAGGTTTAAAAGTTATAGAAAAGGATGATTGCTATGTGTTATTTATGACATATTCAAAGGAGATCATCGTCTTGAGTCCATGATATATCTTGAAATTTTTGAAAAGAGGAATAATAAATGAAATGAGTAGCATGTGACAATCTGAATCGAACATGGAGTTCTTATCTTAGTGAAACATTGTATCATAAATCTTGTACCCAATTAGCAAGGCGATGATAAATCATAGACATCGTTGTTTATTTTATTGGTACCATAATCGAGACCCAAGACAAATTAGTTTTTCACGTTTTTTTATTTCAATATGGATTATACAACTTTCTTTACATTTTATGTCGACAAATTTTATGGTTGGTGTTGAAGAGGCTACTCGAGATGTAAGGCATTCTTGAGCTTAGGTCCGAGAGCAATGACTAGTACTATATAATGGATGCCTTTAGGGTTGGTGTTGAAGAGTCTTCTTGAGAAGTACGGGTTCTTTGAGGCATTGCATTCCCAATCTGCCTATGCTTGTGGCTTGTTTTCTTTACGAACTCATATGATGTTCCCTAGGCTTGGACATAACCCGATGGCTGAGGATCTTTGATGGAAGTTGGGAAGTTGCCACAACCAAATATCAAGTGTAGCCAGACGCGTCTCCTCATGTACATCATTAGGCTTGACAATTCCAGAATCAGTTTCACTCTCTAATCCTTTCCCCTTTTTATTTCTCAAAAGAGTGTCTTCCTTAGTGGTGGAGAAGTTGGCCTTGATATTGAATAGCAACTGTTACAAGACAGTTAATAGAAGCTTTTCAACTTTAAGAAGAACAAAAAAAAAAACTAATTGACTACAAATACCTGTTTGAGAGATCCTTTGGATGAGTCATAGAAATATTCACATAAGAATATATTATCTAATGTGGGATATTGACAGTGTGAGGGAATATCTTGTTTCTCCCTTACTTCACACTTTCCCTCTACAGTCATTGGAGGAACAACAACTATGTCCAGAAACCCAAATTTTTAAAAGAGAAATCAACATTTTCATTTCTAACAATTAATGTATTTCCAAAACGCTCAAAACATGATATCTGAACAATCTTTCCCATACCAACAAGTGCTGTGACATGTAGAGAACACTTACTAGGAACAAACATAAGAGTTTTTATTACCTGAGATCGAGATCGACACATTCACGACTGTGACGATTCGGTCTTGGTCAGGATGGAAGCACATCCCCACCTTACCCGATGGACGGACGAGGATCGGTGATGGAAGTTGGGAAATTGCCTTGCCAGTCTAATCTCCCATACAGTCCCTTCCACTGGTTGTGGTTCCTAGCTGTTGTGTGTGTGTGTATACTTTCTCTTGTTGTGTTATATATATATATCATACCTGTCTTTTGGTCTCCGATTCTCCGTTTTCAACTGGTGGAAGATCACCAATGGTGTCTCTCACAGTGATTGGGCGGAAAGGAGCACCAAATCGAGTACTAGGAACAGCAGCATAGCGCAAACCTTTGGAGAGAGAGATGTTCAGCTTGGGAGTAGCAAAGACATGCATAGGTTGAGGCCATTCCGGAAGAACTTCATCAGGTGCAGCTGCCCAAATAAAAGCTCTTTTGCGAGATTGGGAAACTCCATATGCACCTGCCTCTAAGATCCCAAACCGCACATGTAAAACATCATTTTAAACACATGTTTCAACAAAGAGGCAAAGAGCAACCAACTTGTAACAAGTGTGGAACGAGATAAAGTATTTACCTGGTAACCCATCTCGAGAAGAGAAGCCAGAGTAAGTTTAAATGTTTGCCCTTTATTGAATGACACGAACGTCCTCACGTTCTCTAGAAGAAAATACTTTGGCCGTAAATAATCAGTGTATGATAAGAATGCTAATATCATTTCTCGCTGAATTTTACTCCATGATGTTTGGTCGAACATATTCAAACGAGAAAATCCCTGCCAAATTTCACAGCTCAAGAGTTCTTCACTTTTCAACTAAAATTGTAGACGCAAATATAGCAACAATCTTAAAAATTATATATATATATATATGAAATCCACTTGACCAGGCAGTGGCAGATTACTCTTTTGATCCTCATTGAGTTTAGCTGCCAGATCATTTGCCTCTGTAGTATAGACACACTCATCTTGGTCTCCACATTTCTCCATTATGGCCCTGCGGATAATAATCTCAACAAACTCATCACCAACACAAGAAATAGCCACATTGGAAGAGCAAGCTGTATATGTTTAATCTTGTTAGATATTTCTTACCTAAGAATCACATTACAGTTTACTGGATGGTTTTGCTTAAATGCCTGCCCAGCTGGCTCTTCATACTCGATTGTCCACTTTGTTTCAGTTACACCTTGTACGTAAATTAAGCATGCAAATTAAATATAATGTGTTCAAAGCGTTTTGGTGGATTTACGTGTTGACTGGAGATAATACATACCTGCCTGCTCCAGTCCCCAAGTCATGCCACCACAACCAGCAAAAATATCTAGTGTAGCCAGACGCCTCTCCTCATGTACATCATTAGGCTTCACAATTCCAGAATCATCAGTTTCACTCTCTAATCCCTTTTCCTTTTTCTTTCTGAGGAGAGTGTCGTCCTCAATGGTGGAGAACTTGGGCCTTGATATTGACAGGGCAACTGTTACAAGACAGTTAAGAGAAACAGTTCAACTTTAAGAAGAAGAAAAAAAAACTAATTGACTACAAATAAAACGATTGAAGAAATATGTACCTGCTTGAGAGATCCTTTGGACGAGTCATAGAAATATTCACAAAAATATATTATCTAGTATTGGATATTGACAGTGTGGGAATATCTTGTTTCTCCCTTATTTACACTTTCCCTCTAGAGCTTTGGAGGAACAACAACTATGTCCTGACTGTAGTACAACTAAAAAACAAAAAACAAAGAAAAAAAATTGTAAGATAAACTTAATCAAAGTAAAAAATCACTAGATAATATAATATAGAAATAGTTGTTACCTCTTGGATATGTGAAGCATAAGCCTTCTCTTCAGAAATATCCTCAGGCCTATAAAACTTCTCACTCTTACCTCAAAAGAACTATGTATATCTCATTGGGGACAATGATTTCAGCAAATGGCAAACAACAAAAGCTTTTAACCCAATGTTCTTGCCAGACTTGAATTTTTCACTGCCCTTTTGAGATCCATCAGTAGTTGTGTACTCATTCTCTCTTATCCCAAAGAACCATCCTCTCTCAGGTGAATACAAGCTCTTGCAATAGTATTCCATAAGCAGATCTTTTGTTTTTCTCTCCTCCTCTCTTGTCCTGTCAAGCTTATCTGCACTGTTCTTCTCTTTCCTATAATGATGCGTGTGCCCATGGTCTTGATTGAATCTCAAAATTGACTGTTGCTCTCCGGAAACGTCCTCTTCTTTTGCTTCGCCTTTGTATTTGTGGTTCCATTTTTCAGCATTTCCAAACACCTATACTGAAGCAAAATTTACAAAGGCTCAATGAAAAAATTACCTAAAGAAGAGATATACATACTGAGTTTAAGAAGAAAAACTCAAAGAACTCACAAAATCATCATTGTGACGCAAAATTGAGATAAAGATTTCGGATGAAACTATATAATCAAAACCCTCAAAATTAAGTGATTCTACACTACATCGATTATCTCGACGGGAAACAATAAAGTTCCTCAAAAATATCAGTTAAATCTGTCAAATCTAGGCTAAAATGTTGGAACATTTAGTACTAGGAACAACTAAGGGTTTAACAGTGATTGTAATTTGAAATCGACACAAGACATAATACTTACAGTTTGGACGCGAAAACGACAAGAGAACTGCGAAAGTCTGGTCGATCTAAGAGAGAAATCGAAAGAGCGATTGAAGAAAGAAGGACGAGTAAACGATTTAACTGAGATGGTGAAAGAGTATAAGAGGGTGTGAGATATGAACAACGACGCCGGCAGTATTTATAGACGACGCTAGAAATTTCTTTATTTTTCTAAATGAAAAAACAAAAAAAATGTAATGTCTGATTTGTTATAATATTTCGAATGGAATATTCCAAATGGAAAAATTAATTTATGATGTTCATATTTTCTTCCTTTTTAAATCAATTGAGAATATTTTACCAAATTCGTTAGATTTTCTTCTTTTTTTTAACAACTGGGAATATCATACCAAATTTTTGTCATATTTTCTTCTTTTTATGACAATTGGAATAGATCAGACCAAATCCTGTAAGATTTTCTTCTTTTTTGTCTAACAGGGAAATATCATACTAAACTTTTGTCACATTTTCTTTTTTTTGTTTAATTGGGAATATCATACCAAATTCTTGTCATATTTTCTTTTTTTTTTAACAATTGGGATATGTCAGACCATATTTTGACCATATTTGATCTTTTTTTTTTTTTTACAATTGGGAATATCATACCAAATTCTTGTCATATTTTCTTCTTTTTTAACAATTGGGATATGCCATACCAAATTTGTGTCATATTTTCTTTTCTTTTTTGACAATTGGGAATATCATACCAAATTCTTGTCATCTTTCTTCTTTGTAAAAAAAATTGGGATACGAATAAAACATATAATCTCAAGATATTATTTATTTATTATTCACATTTTTATTTTTATTTAAAATGTGAGATAAGTCTCGTTATAATTTTCTCTACTCTAAATAAAAAACTGCATAGAATCGGATATACGATTTTTGATATTTGTTGGTTTACTGCAAACTATAAAAAAAAAAAAAAAAAAAAAAAAAAAAAAAAAAAAAGTTAAATTGAAAGTTGAAACCTCACCTCATGGTAAGTGGTAACTCAATGTGTTTTGTTTTTTTTAACATGTATAGACAAATAACTATGGTAGAAAAAAATAATATAGTCACTTAAATAGTTATATAACAAACTTAAAATCCTATATTTTTTGTTAGAAAGTATTGTTATATATTCCGACCCCTGTAGTCTCTAGTTCAATCCCACTAAAAAGTTCAAACAAAATGTAAAGGTTTTATAAATGTGTTTTTATTTTGTTAGAAAGTATTATATTCCGACCACCTAATCTCTAGTTTAATCCCACTAAAAAATTAAGACACTTGTAATTTTTTTTTAAATTTAAAGGTACTCTGATTTTTATTTTATTCTTGTTTCTTTTTCTCATTTCTCAAGATCTCTAACTCTACTCATACTTCAGCTCCTATCAATTTTGGTTGACTAGACATTTGGCGCCAAAATTGTAATAGCATATAATCAATGAGATTACTACAAGTGTACAACAGAAGTATGACCTAAAAAACATATGTGCCTAGCAATCTATGGCTTTCTTATCTTGGTTAAAGGTTGAAATATTGCATCAAAAATCAAACTTACAAAGGAATGTTCTGTGATGATGTTCTAATTTTGGTTAAAGGTTAATATATTACCCTTCCATGTAAGTCTTCCGGACATAACTTTACAATATGTAACCTTGTTGCCTCATATTCATGAACTTCTAGCCTTCTCTAGCTCTAACGGCGAAATGTTATTCTCCGGAGACGGATTATGCTCGCCAGAAGTTTCGCCAACTTGTCTATACCACAAAACGAATACCTTAATCCAATTGAACAATTTCCCCCAAAATGTAAAAATATACACATAATATACCTCTGCAGCGGATGGCAATTCCAAATACTCTCCAGGAGACAACCTGTCATTGTTCTTGTTGAGACATTGTCGTTTAACACTTGGGCATTGTCCTGCTCCAGAACAGAGAATTTCCATTTTCTTATGGTTTGGACATAGATTGCTGTAAACAAAAAACACAAGAGAAAAAGGAGTCTTTTAATTACCGTCGGTTTCTGCGAATTCTTCTGCTCGTTTCTTTTCTCGTGTACGAGTAGGAATGCACATTTGCAAGTGAAGAACAGAAGCACAGTAGCGAGGGAGAATACAATGAGGGACTCCACCACAATCACAGATCCAAGAACTGCGACCAAGTGACAAAAGTTTATTACTATTTGAGAAACCAATATTATGTTTGAAACCAAATCAAACTAAACAAATACATTCCATCTCTTTAAATTACATTACTTCCATTCAAATATGTGTTTAATATGAATAGCAGTAGAACCAATCCAAAGTCAAACCATAGTTCTTACATCTTAGGTTATCGTTTGGCCAGATTTTTTAGAAACAGAGTAACCCAGACCACGTACCGTGAGCTGCAAGGGAACTTAAGGGCCTCTTTCTGATGAGGTTCACGTGAGCCTTTGCGTGTAAAGGCAGTGAAATTCTCTCGGTGCAGTCAAGGAAGCATCCGTAGTTCCCCATATCACTCATTTTCAGGGTCAAGACCGCTCCGTTCTCTCCTCCCTACACAAGATTTGTGTTGTTAATGTAAGATATGAGGAACCAACAACATTCGGTTGAATGATCGATGATTGATTTTTTACCTGATGGAGCAGATGTTGCATGAGGTCGTTGCATTGCAGCATAGTTCCACGAAACCTGATCCCACTTGCTTTGACATTCCCTTGTTTAGAAATGGCGGTATAAGTCTGAATAGGCTGCCATTGGAATACGTTTCTGAGCTTTAGCTCTGTTGAGTTTATAAGCTCAGACGGCAAGTTAGCCAGCAGAAACCCGTCAGTGACTTCCACAGAAAACGTTACTAAGAAAAGAGAATCTCCACCTGAACATTTTACATTCATCAGTCCAAAAAAGCATTCTTGCTAAGTACTCAAATGTTAATTTTGTAGTTAACATTACCGGGAAAATTAGCAAGATTTGGATCTCCAACTGAGAAGTTGAATTTGTCTGTTTCCCTGTAAAAGATGAGCGAATCATCCCCATTACTCTCCAGCATTATATACTGAGGAACGTCAATAGACGGTCGATCATTGACCGGTTCAACGAAAACCGGAACATCCAGTTGATTGATCCCATTCTTGTTCCTTGTGGACAGCCGAAGAGAATCAACTCCAGCAAAATTCTCGTTTCTAAGGCAGACAGGACCAAAGGACAAAATATAAAATTGAAATGAGAGTGAAGTTTGAAACATTCTTGTGATTTAACAATGAATATATGTGACTATACCCAAGATATTGAATGGACTGAAGAGCGGGATTGATAACACCTATTTGTCCTTCTAAGATCAAGAGCCTTCCATCTTCACCTCCATTGCAAACTGAAAGTCTTCCACTTGCAGGCTGCCTAAACTGCATCAGCATAGGAGACAGAATGACCGAACCTGAAAGTGCTTGTACCGTTACTGAAATGTTCTCCATCAGGTCTGAGTAGCTTATCTCCAGACCAGAGAAGCCACTGTAATAACATTCAAGAATAAGATTACGTTAGCTGAAAGTGGAATGTTAAGGTAAACATATCTAAGCAAAAGAGAAATGAAGAATACTTGCCCGGATCTAGGACTGATGAGATCTTCAGTTGCTTGCAGTCCTCCGGAAAAAGAGACAAACTGAGGAGGAGCAGTAAAAATAAAGATGTGTACTGTAGCTGCCGCTAAGTTCCCATTGATATCAACTATTGTATAAAGAAAGGAGTCATTCCCCGAAAGATCCTTTATTGGCGTGTATCTAAGGAGGTTTCCATCTCTCAGAAGAGAACCATGACTTGGCTAAGATCCGAAAAAAATCAACACAAAAAACAACAGTTTAAGGTAAAGATTTTCCAAACTATCAAATGATTTAATTATCAGAAAAACATAGAGGAAATGCTCACTTGTGAGAAACCGAGGAGGCTCGCATTGTCGCCAGCAACATAGTCGTTTTCCAGTGGATTGAAAGAGATTGACTCATCTTCCCACACATTAACTGGATCATCATAGGGTTTTGGAAAGTATCCACCTAAAACCATGGCAAAATCCCCAAAAACATGCAAATCAAGAATAACAACTTTTCAGTGAGAGAGAAGAAATGGACTTACTGCTATACACATTAACATCAAAGGGACAAGGTTGGATGTGTTGACTGTCAAAGGATACGCACATTTGGTAAGTACCGACCTCCATGGCCAGATAACTACCAATATATGTTCCATCATTGTTATCGACAAAGTTCCATGTAGTGAAACTTGATGTGTTAGCCGAAGTGATCTCCAAGTTTAACCGATATGGCTGTGAAGGCACAGGATTGTACAAGCCGTCTACCAGAAAGACCACAATCTTATTCTTGATTTCCTTTGGTACTTTTGCATTGAACTGAGTCACACTACATGCTGCCACATTCACTTCGCCTGAGAGAAGCAAGAGTGTCCTGATCACAAACAAGTAGAACAGACATTTCCCTATAGATAGACACTATCAACAAATAGAAGCATGATACCTGGACTTACTTCCTTGATGAAAGGTTGGCCTCCATTGAGGACTATGTTTCCAGATGAGATCAAGATTTGATAAATTCCACTTTTTTTTGGAGTATAGGTTACGTCAAACGTACTAGCTTGAGTCACTAGGCTTCCCAAAGCCTGAAAGAAGGAAACCTTCTTAACTCTCAAGGTCTAATCAGATATGCATAAGCACATATGCAGATAAACTTCTTACTCTTCGGCCATGTCTCTTATACAAGGGGGTAGCACTTCTGTAATTTAATCCAGTCCCTGTTAAACCATTTCACTAATATAAACCACAAGTGAAGATATCATCAGATAATGAAAGTAAGCAAATCAGGAAAACAATTTTTGTACCATTAAGGCTCTCTCTAGGCTGTATGGTTGGAAGAATAGACGATGAATCAGTCTCTAGTATAATTCGGACCTGAAGTCTACTCACTAGGACTGATGAGGGATAACCATAAGCATCTTTCAAGTAAATAGAGAAGCCAAGAGCCTCCCCAGCAACAGAAGCATTGATCCCTGAACCATTCACTATACTTCTTGATCCATCACAATAACCTGTCAAGAAAAAAAGAAATGAGGAGATTGTTCCAAAGAACATTCACCAAAAACGCAAAATGTAGCATCAAACACTGACCTATATACACTGTATACTCATAAGGCATACCAGAGATGCTCTTATTGTGCTCCATATCAGAAAGCGTTAGCAAGAAATTTCCTGGCTCAGACAGGGTAAAAGACATCAACTGAATCCCTGGCTTTACATACTTAAACCGGAAATCAGCAACCGGTATAGACAAACCGGTCTCTTTCTCCACCACATCAGCATCAAACTCGTAGAAACCTGAAACAAGGTTTCCGAATCGGTCCTTCTGGTGTAGCAGCATCTCCATTTTCGAAAATATCTGCCATGTGTTTATCTCTGACTTCCATATACTCACACAATTCGAAACATCCAAAGGCCCTGAATTCACTTGAAGAGGTAATGGACCAGCGTTTAGGGTTTGGCTTTCTTTCTCCACAAGCAACAAGAATTTACCAGCGGTCACGGGAACAAAGTCAATATTGATATAACCAGATTCAATCCACCTGATCTCTGTGAGATTAAGACTGCTAGCAATCGAACCGTTTTCATCGAGAAGAGACAACGAAAACCCTTGAAACTCCATCTCACTCTGGTTCCCAGAGAAGGAGATGTTATTTCCAAACGCATCCTTGGGAAGAATCAAAATCGACACATTCATCCCCGCTTCAAACACATTTGCAAGACCCATCCAAGAAACAGCACACACAGATGGGTACATTAACCCTATTCACAACCAAATACTCATTAATAAAAAATAAAAAATAAAAGTCATTTTTAGTTTTTTTTTTTTCTAAACCATGAAGCAGAGCATCAAAACCGAACCTGGTACGACTTCGAAATCGAGAGACGAATCGAGGACTTTGAAATTCTCTTCGTTTATAACGACGTTGAAGATCCCAACAATGATTGGGATAAAAGAGATCTTCCAAGTGCTAATATCGGCACCAAGATACAGCGAAACCCCAGAAATGTACGAACTGTTGCCAATTTTCCCGTTCACGGTGAGTGTAGGCTTAAATGCACTCTGCGATAGTGAAGCGTTTCCTTTGTTGTCAAAATTTCCGAGAACTTTGATCATGATTAAAGCGATTTCCCCGGATTTGAACTTGTTCTTATCGTCCGACCAACTGAAAGTGAATTTCGGGAGCCCAGATTCGTCTACGATTAAGAGAAACACAGAAAAAAATATAAAATTCAAGCACAGCTTCACGTTGAGTAAATGATAGTGAAAGAGAGAGAAAAACAGAATGCGAACCTGTAAATTGGGAATCTGAGACTGCGGTGAAGAAGAAGATGAGCAGTAGTGAAGCGAATTTGATCGCCATGATAGTCAGAAACCGTTTCGATTGAGGTTTTGGGGAAGAAATTGAAATTGAAATTTGCGCCAACTGCTGTGATTTGATTATTATCTATTGGTTTTGAAATACAATTTTAACCGCTTGATTTCATTATTGCGGTTTAAGGCGGCGACCCCGGTCCTAGACCAAATTACGAAATCAATCTAAACCGATTGTTTTCTTCTTATTTTTCTACGCCTTTTTTTTAATCAGAAAACACGACATGCAATGCACACACCAAACAGGCAAACACCAAGGCTTGCGAGTTGCGACTGCCAAGCTTAAAAGTGTCTGTCGAAAGTTTGTTGTATCGTAGACCAAATTAGTCGAACGAAAGTGTTGATGTAGACCAAATTAAAACACAGTCTTAAGCAAGCAATTTTTTTTTTTTGAAGTGACATGCAGGGCACGGCGTGGTACGAACATAAAGGTAATGAAAGTTTGAGGTAAAAAACGTCACACCATAAAGGTCTTAGTACTTGTTAACAACAAAGGAAACAAAACATGATGCTTCTCTCTCCTTATCCCCCTCCCCACCCATCTCCTTCTGGTTTTCTTCCACTACACCCAAATAGTTCCTTTCTCTAATTTGTGTTACTTACGTTGCATCCATTTTAAACAAAACATAACTAATGTCTCACATACATATTTTCTTAATATTTCTATACATTCTCGACTGATCATTATTTTTTGGCTAATCCGCTAATGATATAAGTTATAATGATGATATTTGTGAGTTGTGACTCTGATGTTTGTATTTTTACGTTTTTTACCGAACTAAACATGCTTGTTCCACTACCAACATGTATGTGAACTTTAGTTTGGATTGGTGAACTGAAAGAAAATGAGAATAATATATTTCCATTTAAAGGTTCCACAAGTCGAAAGTATGAGCTTAAAAGCTTTTTAGTTGTTGTGAGAGATAATGAAGGCGAAGAAAAAGAAGCGAGAAGCCACAAGGACACTATATGATGCCTATTTTGGTATGGGTACACATGCACATGCCTGCACATGTGTTCCGGCCAATTAACTCCTATTTTCCATGTGGTTCGGTATCTCTATATACACTCATGCACCCCTTATATATATTCACGTCATGTTCATAGGCTCATAGCAATCGCATCCATTGAAGTCCTCATCATCCCAATCCATGATCCACTACTCGCTTCAATAATGCAAAGTCTCTTTAGCATTTTTCGGTTTCCATAAAGTTTTACATTCTCTTCTTGTCCAATGAAGACACTTGCATTATTGTGTATATGTTTTGAATATATATATGGCAAAAAAGGAAATTTAAAACAAAAGGTTGAAATTAAATGAGATGTAGATAGTATGAAGAACAACAAAGAAAAAATATATTCTGTTAGTGTAGACCTTCTTCGCATTTGACAATAATTTGATCGACATCAGGTAAAATGACGTTTTTGCCCACCAAGTCATGAGCCTTCAACGACTCTTTGTTCCAATCTGTCTTATAGACAACGGTCAAAATGGAGATTGCACAAGCGATCTGGGCCCCAAGTAACCCGTAACACAGGCCCATGAAGCCTAGACCCCACACAAACGCTAAAACAACTGCTACTGGTGCTCCAACTACATAAAAGGCGTAGAAATTAATCTTAGCCCCTACACGTGGCCTCGCACTGCCACGTAGGATCCCACAGCTTGTGGTCTGAGGACAGTTAGCAAGCTCACAAGCTCCTATCACCGGAAGAACCGCCGCCGTCAGCTCAAGGACAGCTCCGTCCGTCGTGAAAACTCTCCCCCAAGCATTTCGTCCCACGGTGGTCGCCACGAGTCCGAAAACGGAGACAGCCATGGCGGCTCCGACAGCTACTGCCGCCGCCGTCCTTGCCTTCTCCGGCCGTCCTGCTCCTAACTCGTTGCTCACCCTCGTGGAAACCGCTGCGGAGAGCGCCGTCGGGATTGTATACATCAATGACGTCGTTTGTATCACGATGGCAGCCGCCGCTAGCGCCACCGTCGGCTCCGGGAGATATCCGGCTAGGACCGTCATGAACTCGTACCACCACCACTCCAAACAAACCGCTATACAGCTCGGCACCGCAAATTTGACCAGCGTTGACCAGACCTTATCATCACTGGAGTCTCTCGAAGCAGACAGAATCAACGGCGTGTTGAGACAGAGAGAGGAACTGGTTTTGTCGTTGTTGTTGTTGTTTTCCAAGTAGATGTAGCAAAGGAGAAGTGACAAGGAGATGAAGTTGGTGAGAAAAGATGAAATTGCGACTCCAGCAACGCCGAGAGAGATGTAAAATGTGAAGAAAGCGGTAATGGGGAGATGAAGAAGGACGGAGACCAACGTGCACCACATCAAGGGCCACGTGGTGCCTTTACAGCGTAAATAAATACGTAGAGGGTGAAGGAAGCTATTAGCGAGGAGATCAGGCAAAGAGAAGGAGCAATAGAGAGATGCCACACGTGTGATGTCTTGTTGTTGGCGGAGGATTAGCATTAGAGGTTGGAGGTTTAGCCAAAGGAGTGAGATGGGAAGAGAAGCTAAGAGAAGGAGAAAGATGGTTCGCTTGAGGGTCAAGGAAGCGAGTGAAGGGTTCTTGGAGCCGATGGCTTGACCGCAAAGTGGTTCCATACCGGTGGCTAAACCGGAGAGAACAGAGTAACCGGTTATGTTGGTGAAACCGACAGCTAATGCTCCTCCGGCAAGCTCGAGGCTACCGAGACGGCCCATACACACGACGGATGTCATGTTCTTTAGGTAGTTTAGTATGCTCATGGCGGCCACCGGGAAACTTATGTCCCACATTTTCTTCATCTCCTCCACCACCTTTACAATTTTAAATTTAAGTGCATAAATTAATCAAACAATATAAGTGGTTGATATCTGAGAGACTCTAACTGAGGCAGAAGTGTACTGAGAATAGATATCTTAGATAAATTAAGTACCTCGGGCATTGTCGGGTTGTACTTGTGTTGGAGAATTATGAGACGTGAATCTTCTTCGACCACCATTGTTACTGTGTGTTTTGATTGAGATGAGAGATTTAAAATATGAAGAGAAGATGCCGTTTTATATAGATGGAGTTCCTAGTTTGGCATGGTGCGGATTTCAAAAATATTTCTTTCATTATTTGTTACCCATTTTCTTTATGTGGTCCTTGTGATACTAATATTACTATATATACAAGTATAAATACAAACTTAAGTATTGCTTGAACACACACAAAAATAATACAAAGGAAATTAACTAAAACCAAGCCGATTTTTTTTATAAAAAATGAGACGACATAATATCCTATAATATTTTATCAAACAAAAGAATTTCTTGCCAAGAAAGTACGAATCCGGATCTGATCTTGTCGTACAAAAGAGTCGCATAAACAAACGAAAATGTAGGTATGTGGCAATTCTAAACAACAAAAACTCAAATCAGATTTCTTCTCAATATGCTGAGAGCTGACCATCGTAGTACAAACAACAAAGTTTCTTTTATGATTATCTATTTATCTCTTGATTTAACTACCAAAAGTTTAGAATTAACAACACTGTTAAGGTATCAGTTTTTTATAATCATTGTTAATTTTATAATCAAAATTTTGTTAAGGTACCAAAACGTTAGAATTAACTTAAGGTATCAATTCTTTCTAAAAATAAAATCCTGATAAAGAGTTATGGAGCTCAGACTAAAGATATTAGTAGAAAGTGATATGATTGGTCCATCAGTCTAGAAATGAAACTAGTTAGAATTAGGTATACCGCAATGTCTTGTCTCCCTCTCACTGTAATTATCAAACCAAAATCGACTTGAAAATTATGTATACCTTTCCTTTATTTTTTTCCCTTTTCCTTCTTATTCCCCACTCCACTCCTTATAACTGACATTTTACATCTTGTCTCTGCTTACGTGGAAAAATGATCATCATGACAATTGAAAAACAATATACAGTACTAGGGGGTGACCCGCGCTACGTGCGGATTGTGTTAGTTTTATTGTTTTTCCGCAAATTTAATATTGTTTCGAAGATATTATACACATATTACTTAAATATAATTAGAGTTAGGCAAACTTTTCGTTCCATCTTCGTTCATTTTCATCATGTACGTTTTTTCCCGTCTCGTTCGTCTTGTATGTCCCGTCCCGTTCAGTCATATCTATCCCATTATGATTCTTTCCATTTTGTTTATTATTGTCTCGTTTCCTAAATATAATTAGGGGTAGACATAATTCTATCTCATTCCGTTCCTTTTCATCTTGTCATGTTCTTTCCCATCCAGTTCCTTCTGTCCGCCCCATCCAGTCCCATCATAGATTATGTTCATTTCCATTTTGTTTTATCTTTGTCTCGTCTCTAAATATAATTAGGGATATGCAAAATTCCGTCACATTCCATTTCTTTTCATTTTGTCCCGTCCAACATTTATGTCTTGTCCTCTCTCATCATATTTTTTCCGTTCCACCCCTAAATATAATTAGAGGTAGGCGAAATTTCCGTCTTGTCCTATTCCGTTCTTTTCTGTTCCTTTAGATCTCGTCTCGTCTTTAATATCATAAGAAGTAAACAAAATTCCCCTTTTTCTGATTCTATTTTTTTCGTCTCGTCATATTCAATCTCGTCTCTTTTCATTCAAAAATACTATAGAAAAAACAGTGTTTTTTGTATAATATATTTTTATTTTTATAATTATTATTAAATAATAGTTTTTATAGATTTATATAAAATCTTTCTTCTTTTTGTAAATGACTTTTCACATTCTTGTTAAGCCTATTTAATGAATGATAACTATTATAAAAGTTTAAAAAAGAGAAAATATGATATATTAAATGTTTGTGATGAAATGATGAATTTAGAGCCACCCTCATTTGCTGAGGTGGCAGCTTGAGAAGAGAATCACATGAACTTTATATATATAGATATGCAACTTCGATTAGCCCATGTGTGGTGTGGCATTGAATAAAACATGAGAAGTTATTGAAAAAATATGGATGCATTTTATTAGGACAATAAATATTAAGTAAGCTTTAGTGAATTCCTTTTTGTTCAAAAGTTTTAGTGAAGTCTAGCATATTCTTAGTAATCTGTTTTGTATTGTAAAACTACCTCTGAAGTTGTTCAGTGTATTTAATACTAGCTAAAACATAAAATGAGAAAGAGCTCAAAAAGACTACATATATAAATCATATCTTCTATTTTGGTGTGTGTTTGACCTTAATTTTGTGTAGCTTAAACATACTACAACAAACGATAAACTATTAAAATGATAATTAATTTTTACAAACAGTTATACATTTTTTTAGAGATTCTGTCAGCACTAGTTAGTAATTCCCACGCGTACAGTACTAGTTAGTAAGAAATTATTACATTAGATTGCAGATCATATCCATAAACTTTAATTGAAAGATGTATTCCAATAGGACGCTATTTGGCCTCAAAGGAATGATTTGGCATATGCGATGAAGTCTACCTTTTCCTACCATCAATTTTCACACACACGTACGAATCGTGCATGCGTTATATATATATATATATATATATATATATATATATACAATTATATACTGTATGTTTATTAATATACAGGTATATAAAAATGTGTAAAGATTAATTAAGTCGTAAAATACGAGCACAAGAAAATTGTTTAAATCGTGTGTGAAGCTAACTGAAACAGAAGAAACAAACACAAGTAGTAAAGAGAAGTACATAGTGAGAGACAGAGTCGGGATGTTCCCAGTACAAAGGAAATAAAATCCTCTCTCCTCTTCTTTTGCTTTTCCCGCACGTGCCTATTCTCTCTTACTCCAGTCTCCACCGTTGATCACGATGCCCTTCAATCTACACGTAACACATGCATAGACATTTGCCTAACCTATCTGTCTATGCATCGTTTTGTTTGTGATATGAGCTTTGTCTTTAGTTCATAATCTCCCATAGCAGTCCATTGTTTTTGTCATTTGTGCTTTCCTAACTCATCGCTTTCCACTGATCCCCTTTAATTATTATATTGCGTAGCTGTTCACTGTTCATTCTGTTTTGTCATTGATTTATATGGACGAGGCGATGCACCAATTAGACTAAATAATACTACATCCCAATCCCAAAAACTTTGTTATTTTATCAACTCCGATACCCCGGATCTATCCGATATTGACCAAGCTCAAATATTGATCACTAAGTCTATCATACTTCTCTCCTATATCTACTCTAACAAGTTATGCCCTCTACTGACTGATACTGATGATTGTGCCTGTGCGATGATAACTCCTAAACTTTATGTTTTGCTTATTTGTAGTTTATATATACGTTGATTGTACTTATTTTAATCTTTCTCATTTTATATTATACTAAAAAAAATTAGAATTACCTATGACAAAATACAAAATTACATTGACGTCCTATGGTGGGGCTACAGTTTGCGTCTGGAATATAGATTTCAGGCATGTCCATTTTCGATGCCGGACGAGTTGTACTCTACGTAAAGTTAACAAATTATACCATGTTATATACTTTTTCCCCCTAAAATATGGTCATATTAATCTAAAGTCAAGACTCCAGAGCATGTGCAATATCAGTCATGGCTTTTCTTTGTCATCCTTTTCTTTCATCATTATGTTTCTTTCAGGGATTATATTTTCAACTTCGACTCCTCGAACATAAACTACTCTTTCATACTCTGTATTTTTGTTTGTTGTTGATATCTCTTGACGTTAATACAAACCGACTAAACTTCACATAAACACAATATCCTATCAACCTAGTTTGAGATACTGTTTAAATATTCCAAACGTGGCATAAAACGCAACATGCCAAGTGAATCGGTAGAGTGAAAATGAAACATTTCTATTATAAGAGTGATTTATACTTTTTCTCCGGGCTAATATGGTCTCCGAATTAGTTTAATCCACCTATGATAATTCACTATAATTTCTTCCCCTTAAAGTCGTTCCCTACTAGAATTAGTTTGATGAATCAGAAAATCACGACCATTTTCTTTTCCCCGACACTGAAGTTTGATATATTTATCATTTTCTGCTTTTGTTGCATCCATAGTCCCACTTGAATTAATTGGAATCAAAGCAAAAGACTTTTTGTGCATAATTCACATGATTTATGTATAAATGAGTAAACCATAACAGTTTGTGTTCGGTTCTTTTTACACCAAAGGAATAATTTGTAAGTGGTTGTATAATATTGGTTGATAATAAAATCCTTTAAATGGAACCGTGCATGCATAGTTTGACATATCTCACTAGATATAGCACTTAAGTCCTCTCCTTTGTTATACACATCTCCGACATTTATCAATATGCTCTTTAGACCCTAACATAATGCTTTAATAATGGAACACTGAAGAAATTCCTATAATGGAAACACAAATATATTATTCTATATGTTTTTTTCCACATTGTGGCTCAGTAGTTCCTACAATTTGACCAGTTTTGGGTCGAATCCATTAGCCATAACTAATAAAGCAGTAAGTTATGGACAATCTTGAAAGAGAAAAAAAAAAACAGAACAACAGTTAAAACAAAGAGAAAGATGTGTTAAGATTCTTTTCATGATCAAATTACTGATTCTGCTTACTGTTGACAAATTGACTGTATAACGGCATAATAACAGACTAGCAGAGTGGATGAAATGCAGATCAAGTAGATGGACCGACGGAATAGAACGGCGATGCAATTGTCAAGTGAAAAGCATATAAAGCGAATTTATTTCAATTAGTATAATAATCATTATCAGCTTTTGTTAGAATCAACATTTTGAAAGTTTTACATATTCAAATCTAACGATACCCTTGCTTTTCTGCACATATGGGTGTTTGATTGGTTTATGGTTGTTACTGTAAATGTATACCTTGTGTATATCTCTGTTTATGAGAATTTAAATTTGCTCATCGAGATAATTTAGATTGTACATGCATGTGTATATCTCTATTAACTGAATAAACAAAAAAAAAGAGACAAACACATGTAATTAAGGGTAATGGATTTATAGCTAAAGAGATCATCTATCTACAATTTGTAAATTTGTTCGACTATAAAAGTTATATATTATCATTGTCGTGTTCTAGTAAAAAAAAAGAAGTAAAGCCTAATAAACAAAAGGAGATCAACAGAATGTAAAGCTTTAGATTTATAACTAGAATTCTATTGGATTGGATAAATATCATGTTAGATTTAAGAACATGTCGAGACTTTATTGGATAAATATCAAACGATGTTAAAAGTTAAAACCAAAGTCCACTAAGTGTTTTTTAATTTAGACAAAGGATCTCTAGTCCTTACTGTCCGAATTAATCTTCTAGATCGACCTACATTCATCCTAACGACTTGAATCCATGTTCGAGTTGACGCTTCACCTTCTCGATAATAGGATATGTAACTCTACCAACAAACAATTATCCAAATTTAACGAGATTAGATAAAATCTTTTCATGTCACTAAACAAAAAAAAAAACTTATTTGGTTCTTTTGGAGTCGCGTGTGATATCATTTGGCCTCACCATATGTTTAAATATTCGAGTGTTGTGTTTAACCCAGACGATAAAAACTGCCTAGTTTTGAATATATATTATATATATTATATACACTATTGTAAACATTTTGTAACAGAAAAAAAAACAAAAAACACACCAAAACTGCTTGAATAATATAGTTTATAGATCTTAGAGGGTTTACAATATGATACAGAAGGGAAGAATTAGGAATAAACGAATGAAATAGGAAAGCAAATGCAATTTGTGTAAAGTAAACGACTGGGGTCCTAATTTCGCAAATAATTGGCAACCATGTTCGTAATCTTAAGGTTTCTTTTTTTTTTTTTTTTGAACATGGGATAACTTTTCCATTAAAATTAGCTTATCGAACTTCTGAAAGTTCTCAAAGCGTGTTTGGCTACAAGGTCAGCCTTAACATTAGACAGACGAGGAATAAACTTAAACTTAAGAAAAGAAAACGCATTTTCGATTATTCTGATGTCTTCCAGAATTTCATGGACTTCCAAAATCTGAGCCTTCGAATTGATCGCCTTGATCAAGATAATTGAGTCCGATTGCAGAGTTAAAGATCTGATATTCTTTTCTACTGCCATGAAAAGCGCTTCACGAATAGCTAGGGCTTCTGCAATTTGCAGTGCAGAGGGAACGGAAGATAATGCCGCGGAGTGAGAAGAGACTAGCTCTTTGCCGGAGGAGTAAATCCAACCGAGTCCTGCGGATCCAACTGAGCCTTGTTCAGTTAGCCAAGCTGCATCAGTGCAGCAAGTGATTGATCCTCTAATCTGATTTGAAGACGATGGACATCCCCGAGAGATGTTTCGACAAATCCCTGAGGTTTGAGCTCCCATCCATTCTCTTGCATCCCGAATTGCTTTAAGGACAGTTTCTTCCACTGTAAAAATCTTATTTTCAAAGATTTTTTGGTTTCTAGCAGTCCAAAGATTCCAGCAAATCCACGAATACAAGCATCCTTTATCCAAACCTGTCGGAGGGAGAGTGAAAAGTTTTTGGGCCATGGCTAGTCCTTCTCTAAAGGTCCCAACTGTCGATAGATTGATCGTCGTAGAGAAAGGAGCCGATGCCCATACATCTCGAGCAAATCTACACTGGAAGAAAAGATGTAGAATCGATTCAGGTTCTTCGCATCTGCAGCAAACTGGATTAACCGGAATACATCTTGCCTCTAGCTGAGTTCCCACTGGTAATGCTCCCTGTAGAGATTTCTATAAGAACACCTTAAGCTTTGGCGATGTTTTAACTTTCCAGACCTGATTATTCCAGTTTATTGTTGTGTTGAGTTCCAGTGCTCTGATATCTTCTGCTAGTTCAGACGCCACTAAATAACCGGACCGCGTAGAGTACTCGCCTGTCGGGTTCTTTAGCCACCGCCGTTCATCATTAGCTCCTAATTTGCTCGGTTTCAAGGTGAGAATTTGATCCTTGTACTCAGGGAGATAAAGATTCAACTTTTCAGTATCCCAATCTGAAGAGTTAGGGAGGAAGAGATCTGACACTTTTAAATGTTGCGCTTCTCTTGTAGGTGGACCCATTGGTTGGCAATGATGAGTTAGGGAGATCCAGGGTTCCTCCCAAACCTTGATCGAATGCCCGTTTCCCACTACCCATCCTAATTGCTGGATTAGAAGGTCTCTGCCTACACATAAGCTTCTCCAACCATGTGAAGCTACTCCCGGGACTCTACTTTCCAGAAACGAGGTACTGTGAAAATATTTTCCAGCAAGAGTTTTAGCTAGGAGACAGTTAGGATTATTAAGGATTCGCCAGCCCAGTTTAGTGAGAAGAGCCTCATTGAAATTATTGATATCTCGAAAACCCAATCCTCCTAGGTGCTTAGGTTTCGCCATTGTTTTCCACGCTATCCAAGACATTTTTCTCTTGTCTGGAGATGAGTCCCACCAAAATCTAGTAAACGCTGATTGGATTCTCTTGCAGAGAGACTGGGGGAGTTGAAAGCACGACATAGCATAAGAAGGCATAGCGGACAAAACACTCTTCAGTATAGTGAGCTTTCCACCTCCTGAGAGCCGGTTTGAAGTCCAGCTAGACGCTTTTTGTTTGATCCGATCAACAATTGCTGTGAAAAGATCTTTCTTCCTCCTTCCAAAGTGTTCAGGTAAGCCCAAATACTTTCCGGAGCCTCCTTCTTTGTCTATTAAAGTTAGACTCTTCACAAGATTGCGAGTTTCCTGTGGAGTTTTAGTAGAGAAGGTGATAGCCGATTTCTGAAGATTGATAACTTGTCCTGAGACTGCAGCATATTTATCCATGATCTTCTTTAGTTCCTGACAGCATTTCTTATTTGCTTTGCAGAAAAACATAGTGTCATCTGCAAAGAGGAGATGATTTATGCGTGGGCTTCCCCTGGCCACTCTGACTCCTTGTAATTTACCCGTGATCTGGGCTCTTCTACACAAACCAGACAGGACCTCGCTACACAGAATGAAGATATAGGGGGATAGAGGGTCACCTTGTCTTATTCCCCTAGTAGGTAAGATATTTCCTCTTGGCGCACCATTGAAGAGAATTGAGTATGAAACTGTAGTTATGCATTGCATTAGTCTTGTTACCAAGATTTCATGAAACCCTAGCTTCTTTAGAACTTATCTGATAAACTCCCATTCCAGTCTATCATACGCTTTACTCATGTCCGTTTTCACAGCCATAGAACATGAGATTTTTGCCTTTGAGATCTTTAGGAAGTGGAGCACTTCATGCGTAATTAGGACATTATCTGAAATAGCTCGTTTAGGCACAAACGTTGATTGATTTTCCGAAATTAACCCATCTAGGAGAGGTTGAAGCCTTCGGGCCATCAGTTTAGAGATGATCTTGTAACAGAATTACATAAAGCTATTGGTCTGTAATCTGCAACTCTTTTTGGTCCCAGGATCTTCGGGATTAGGCGGATGTGAGTGCTATTTGAGCTACGCGGCATAATACCGGAAATGAAGAAAGCTTGTACCTCTGCCACGATATCCTTGCCCACGGTGCTCCAGTTGGTCTGGAAGAAACTAGATGAAAAACCGTCTGGACCAGGGGCTTTGTCAGGATGGATTGCAAATAATGCCTCTTTAATCTCGTCAGGTGAAGGATCCTTTATTAGTTCTCTGTTATCGGCATCCGAGACCAATGGATTTAGTGCCAAATCTATAACCGATCTTCTCTGATCCTCCATGACAGGTTGCGCTGTGAAGAGATGTTGGAAATAGTCTGAGATAACTTGGATCATCTGGTCTTCTTCATACACTGTTATTCCTGTTTCATCTTCCACTACCGAGAATTTGTTGACAGCGAATCTGGCACGAGTGGCTGCGTGAAAGTAACTGGTATTGTGGTCACCAAGTTGAAGCCATTGTTGTCTACTCCTCTGCTTCCAAAACGCTTCCTCAGCCGCGTAAGCCTTTCTCAACTCCTCATTTAACTGAGTTAGAAGCACTTCATTGGGAGAACTACTACTCATTTCTACCTCAATGCCAGCTTTTAGCTTTTCAATACATTTTTGACTATTCAGCTGCTGGTTTTTGCTCCAAATCACTATTGCTTTGCGGCATTGAATGATTTTTTGGTTCAGGTTTGCCCCTGATGACTCTTCCCAAACTTTGGCAATAAGGGATGTGACTTCCTCATTATCTTTAAGCCTACGATCATATCTGAACATCCCTTTTTGTTTTAATCTGTTAGGATCAAAGTAGGAAACCACAGGGCGATGGTCAGAGCCTTCAAATCTTAGATATTCACATCTACCAGATGGAAACATCTCCGCCCATTCGCTGTTGGACAGGGATTTGTCAAGTCTGCAATGTACGAGATGATCATTTCTTTTGCCTCGCCAGGACAAGAAATTTCCAGAGTGTCTTAGATCAAACAAATCCCCTTCGGACAGGAAGGTCCGGAAATCCCCAAAGGTTCCTTCTGCTCTAATAACTCCTCCTTCTTTTTCGGAATTGTCTATTATATCGTTAAAATCTCCTGTGAGGAACCAAGGTGCTTCTCGTATTTGATTCAGGGTATTTAGATGTTTCCACATTCTCTTCCGAGTAGCTCTATCAGGATCACCATATACAAAGGTAGCATAGAAATTTTTGCCTTCAAAGCTAATACGAGTATCAAAGTAATTGATACAAGAAAATATAACATCAAGTTGGATATTTGGTTTCCAGATGAGAGCTAAACCTCCTCCGGCAATTCCATGCGGGGAAACAAAAGCGTGACTGTGGTATCCAAGAGATTCGACTTTACTTAGCACCACCACATCGGGGTTCTTCGTCTCAGATAAGAAAATAACATCAGGATCTAATCTTTTTTTCAATTCTTTGAGACGATGCTCTGTCCAAGGGTTTCCCACCCCTTGACAGTTCCAGCTTAGTATCTTTAAGGAAGAGGAGAAGACGGCTTGTGAAAATCCGCTGTCTTCTTTCTAATTGCTGGTATCATTTGTATCGTTGTAGGGAGCTGGGCTGATGAGGAAGAACCCGCTTGTCGTGAAGTCTTACTTTGACGTCCTCCAGTGGACTTTGAAGGTGGCGGGTATGAGATGCTTCTCAGAGCCTTTGGCGAGGCAGAAGAACCTCTCTTTCTTGGAGATCCTGCAGCATACACTTTCCGCTTCCGGGAAGAGGTTCCTTGAAGTAAGGTATTCGTTTTAATAGCCGTTTTTCTACCCACAGGTCTTCCACGTTTCCTTTTCCCTAGGTTAGAATCTTGATTAGCGTTTTCAATTTCAATGATGTCCCCTGTCGTGAGAAAAGTGGGACCAAGTCTTTGCGACGCAGGGATTCTATCATGGGATAAGGCCTCTGGGCTAGCTAGAGCTCGAGAAAGAACTGTAGCAGCGGCTTGGGAGGCTAAAGAAGCCCTAACCATCTGTGCCGCAGATTCCTCTAGTTGTCCTGTTTCTTCCGCTTGTCTGAGGCGTTCCTTATGTGCTGCACTTTCTGAAGGATCCGCACAAGAAGAATATTGGACCATAACCTCCCGTATCTCTCCCAGAGCCGAATTTAGAGCATCTCTAGGTAATCTTTCCGGGGATCTCTCCGGAGTGCGTTCCTTATCAAGAGGAGGCCTTCTCTGTCTTGCAATCTCCCTAATGGTGGGGTCGTGAGACTCGCTAGTTCGATCGTGAAGAGCAGGTCTTCCTTTTTCTATCCATCTCGGATAAGTTTGCTGAATTCCAAAGGATTCACTTCGACGTGAAGTAGGAGGTATATACGTTCTAGACGACTCCATTGAGTTTCGACCTTCTTCAGGAAAAGACTGTCGGGGCTCCTTACTTCGGGCCCTCGAATCTTTGTAAGATTGGTGGCGAGAGTCCCCTCTGTCCCGGGGAGGGAACCGGTTGTCAGGTACCTTCTGTCCGAATCTTGTCTATCGTATCTACCTCTTTCTCTAACTTTGCCTTTCCCCTTACCTTCATAGTATCTCTGATAGGGTTCATCTCTCTGGGTTGTATGTTTTTGTGCTCTTATCGGAACCTCCTCAGGAGCTAGAGGTTCAGTCAGAGAGCAGTCCTTTGCATCATGATCCAGACGATAGCAGCTGGTGCAGTGCTTTTCTAACTTTTCATACACCAGGGTCGCTTCCACTTCATCGCCGTTTTCGAATTCCACCATTGAAGACATGATTAGTGGTTTGAGGCCATCAACTTGCACTTTCATCTTCGCTGAGGTTGCTGTAATGACTGATCCTTCATAGTGGCCTATATCATTTGCAATACTCAGCATAGTTTCCTCTGAACACATATGGAGAGGGATACCCTGTACCCTAATCCAGAACGGGATTTGCAAGGGGAAAGAGCTAAGCGTGGTAGGTTCCCATCTTTCTACAATTATCATCCAGTAAGCGAAGTGGTAGGGTCTGTTATCCAGAACGTTTTGGAGATCCTTCTCCGTTGAGAATTGGAACTGAAAGAGGTCTCGTCCTAGGTCTGCTCCGATTGGGTTTGCTGAACCCTTCCAATGTTCCGTGAAGAAGGGGATGAGATTCCACATCCTCTGTATCTTTGGATTTGTAAGTCTTCCCATGAGGGTAAGCGAATGTTGTTTCAGAAGCTTGGAGTTATCGAAGGGTGGGACTTTTACTCTGGCTGTTCGGGGAGGCTCAGATGGGCCTTTTCCTTTCTCCGAGTAAGACAGTCTCCGACTCATAATGACCGAGAAGTTGCTTCTCTGAATGTCGAGATCGGAAAGATGACTTCTATTTAACGGTGAAACCGGTACTACACACAGCGGTGAGAAAGTTAACTTCAGATTTTTGATCTGAGAGAGGTATAACTGGATCCGACCAAAGGGGCTACTTAGAGTAGTGAAGGGTTTACTGCTTCCAACCGGGAACCAGATATACTGCAAATCTATCAGATCTGAGAAGATTACTGTTGGAACCTAACAGAAGCGCAATAAAGAGCCGTAATAACTTCAGGAGAAAAACCAAAACGTCAATGTTACTTCAAGTGTCATAACTGCACTTGAGAGAGAGAAGAGACAGGGTGGAGTTTAAGTACTTCCCTTTAAGGAGGTGTACATGGTACTGGAAGTAGCTGATACCGTAGACTTCTTAACATTCCGGTGGTGAGACTTTTAGACTGGCCGAAGGTTAAACAGATGAAATCCACCGGTAAAGATTGCTGGAAGCAAGAAGTTACAGGAGAGATCTGGTTTCAACCAGCAAGTGAGGAAGCTGAGCACGGTGGAGGAGCAACTCGCGAGGCAGGAGCGGCGAGCTTTGGGCTTGGTACCGGCGGAGAAGAGGATCCTCTGACTCCAAGTCGGGGGTGGAACCCGGGCCCTTGCAACCAGGATTCTAGGTAAATGAGAAAAGCACCTAAAACGGGAAAGAATTATTGGATAAAAGGAGGTTTGAAAAGGACAGTAGTTGACTCTAGGAGCTCTCTCGACAAACGTGTCTGGGAGAGAAAGAGGAGTCTTTGTTGTCTTATTGGAAGTCTAAGAAGAAAACTAATCTTAAGGTTTCTTTACACTTATCTTTGGGGACCTAAGATTTGATTTTTATTCGGTAGGGAAAATATTGTCCTAAACACGCATGTAGTCTAGTAGCAGAAGCTTTTAGGTCGCAAAGTATAAAGTCACATTCTTTCTGGATTCATATCTCACTGGAAACAAACACACATGTATACGTGCGTGGGTATAGCCGGAGATGGATCCAGTTGAAAATTTGGTGGGTAGGATGTTTCGACCGTCTTCTTTCTTTTGGGATTAATCAGATTTTATTTGATCACCTAATTTGGAAAAAGCAACAATTATATTTATGTGTGTTTGTTTAGATTTGTGATGTTTAGTAGTCTAATCATCAACAATAAGAGTGAGCGTGATAATCAGACTTTGCTTGTGTCTAACTAAACCAACAACCCAACATCTCCAAATAATATGAGAAGGCACCATTATTTGAAAAAGAACATTCTGTTAAGCTGTTAAACATGCATAATGAAATTAAAATTCTAGACCAAAAAATGGTTTGAGAAATAAGAGAAAAAAATACGCCCATAGTAGATAACCCGTAAATTAGCTGGAAAGAAAAAATATCATAACTAATTGGTCCTATATATGGTTGAACTAGCAACTTGGAGTCTTTTAATTAGGGGGGGTGTGGCAAATATTAGTTTTATGCATATCACGATATTCATTTTACTATGTTCAAAAGATACCAAATTATTTGTACTTAAGAAACAAAATATTTCTTGCCGTCAGACGGTTTGGACATGATTATTATAATTTGTTTTAAGATCTATGTTGGGGAAGAAAAAAACAATATTCTTTCCACAATCTTTCGCCACCGGCATGAAGTTTTTGATTTAGAACGGTTTAAGACAGTTTACATGGTGAATGGCTGAATACCATAGAAAGGAGATTAATGGGTTGGTATGGAAGTATGACAAGGTTTGAGCCTTTGTCACACAAAAAAAGAAGCAAGATTTTGAGCCTTAGTCACATAAAGAAGGCGCAATATTTGGGCCTTTAACTATATGGGTCTTCAGTAGTGTAAATAAAACCAGAGGAAAAACCTTCAAAACCGTTGCTTTGTTTTTCTTTCATTCAATTCAACAGCAAGAGTGACGACCACTTGTTGAAGTGTAACACGAGTAGAAAGTTAAAACACTTTTAATAGTATATGGTATGTGATTACAAGTTAGTTTTTCTTTGTGGTATGAATGTTTAAGCAAACAAAACTACGTATGACTTTTTTTATTTTGTAACTGAGAAACAAATTCATATCGTGTGTTTAAAAATCCACAACAACTATGATGTATGTCATATATAGAGGAAATTAACTTATATTGTTAGGACAACCATCTATTAGTATTTAGCATCATGAAACGATCATCCCGCACTAATATATCCAAGAGAGTTGAAATGTCAAATCGTTATCGAAATCTATACTTCTTATAGCATCAAGAAGAAGAGTTACTTATGGTCCTTTCTCTTGTCAACTAGTTAAGGTCCTTAAGAACAAAGCAAATGGATATAACCACATAACATTAACAAACCAATGGATCTAATAATTTGAGAACATGAAATCAAATATCACAGTATCACAACAAATTTCTCATATAGTAGTAGTACTGTAGTAGTAGTCAGTATATGAAACACACAAAACGACAAAAACGAAACTCGAATTTTGTTTTAAATGATTTATCAACCAAAAGAAAAGTTACACAAGTAATGAAGAGGAGGATACACGTGGCGAGTATCAAGCAAAAGAGATCAAATCAATCGTCCTCGCATAGTACACACGTAGGCCCCACCTATCCCTTCTACATTTTAAAAATCTTAATTTCATCCTCTGCGAGAAAACCAAAACTTCTCCTTCTTTCTTCTTTTCGCCATTAACACCTGAAAAAAAATTCTCAAAAGCATAAAACAACAAGAAGAAGAAGATTAGATAATGAGATAAAAAGAGAGCAAAAATGGTGGGTCTAAGTATTGTTCTGGAGACGTCTAACAACACTCTCCGTGACGGCGTTACCAGTCCCAAACCGCATCAAGTCGTCAACAAATCCTCCGTCATGGTCACCGCCTCCGATCTCTGCCGTGAAACTAATTATCCGGATTCTGGATTTCTCGAACGTTGCTTTCTCTGCAGAAGGAAACTTCTTCCAGCCAAGGATATCTACATGTATAAGTAAGTAATCGATGTGAAAAAAACTTTTATCATTAACGAAATCATTATCTCGTGATTATAATGGCGAAAATCTGGATTCTTTTTCTGATGGTTTGTGTTAATTTTCTGGGATGTTTTTTGTGTTGAATCTGTCAGAGGAGATAGAGCGTTTTGTAGCGTGGAGTGTAGATCGAAGCAGATGATCATGGACGAAGAAGAAAGCTTGAGGAGAGAGAACTGCTCGTTTACGTCTGTCAAAACGACGAGGTCTGATTCTCCGGCGACGGCGACGTCACCTTCAGGCGGCCATCACCGTCAACGCCGGGATCCGAGAAACCGAGCAGGCGGTTTCACGTACTGAAAGCAGAGAGAGATACCGAGAGAGAGCATCGCAAACTGAAACCGTGATTTGACTTTCTCACCCTTGGGCTAATTTTTGTCGTTTTGTCATATGAGATGTAAAGCCAAAAGGGTGTTTTGGGTATTTTGAGTCTTCTTGCATATCTCTATGGGCTTAGTTTTATTTAATTTAGTAGGTTCCGGAAAATATTTAATTAAAAGTTACTAGTAGTATTTAATTTTCTGATCAGGCTTCTTTACCTTTTTGCCAACATTAACAACGTATTGTCACTACAGTTAATGTTGATGGAACTGAGTAGAGTTTTTATTAATTTCGTTTAAAGTTACATAATATCCCGCCAACATGCAACTCTAGTATACTGTATAGTTTTTAAGGAAGTGGGGGGATTTGGAGTATTTTAAACGGATTTTGTAAGCTCAAATAGTGGTTAGTGATTGACTATCTTGATCTAATCCACAAAGAGACAACGAAAAGGACACGTCACACGTAACAAACAAACTATATAGTTTTCTTATATTATATAGATAAAAATATTCTCTTTGGTTTCATGCGAATTAGCTTCAAGGTGTTGGAGAATCTTTAGCTTTAACCGACATAAGTTTCTATATACTATTTATATTTCAACGAAACTATGTAATGTTCGTTCTGTACATGATAAAACAATTACCAACAACTCACATACTTTTTCTTTATAGTTGATTGTGAATCATATTTATGCATCATATGACAGGAGAAGTGGACTATGTGTATAGAACAATTTCTGATATCACTTACGTTGTTTTATTCGTAAAGGAAAAAGCATCATTTCTTATCGTGCCCAAAGTAACACTATACACAACATTAGCATGTTATTGTAACTACTGTACCTTTCAGTCAACACAAATATTTTATCTGTTTTCTCCATCACAATCAAGAAAAAGATTTTATGGTTCTCGTATCAAAAAGTACGTGAGAGATTTTCGGATTATATGTAATTTTCTGATTGAATGAAATGGAAAGGATATTACCGATCACTAGAATACAAATATCACTCAGTACATGAAAGTCTTTCTTTTTTTTTTCTTTTGTCAGCACTCAGCAAGTATGAAAATTGGTGATTTTCAAAATCTTTGCCAAATAAAATTTGCAGAAGAAAAAGTAAAAGTTCCTCCAGCAATTTTGTTTTGTTTTTTTCTTTTAAGTGTTGACCAACACGATTGTGAGCTTTGGAGTATTATTATCAGTTGGTCAAGAAGACTAACTAGATTCTTTAGTTTTCTTAGTTTTTGGAATAATGTGGGCCAAAACCAAAAATGTATTTTGACATTTTACTTTGTCTTTCTGTGGAGATATTATGTCCCATGAAATGTAATTGATTAGTACTCCATATTCATAGGATCCGACTGTAAAGACACAGTGAGGTCCCTTACCTGTCTGTCTCTTTTCAAAGTGGGTTAATATTATTGGTGGGGTTTGATATTTTTGTATGATCGGTTAATTTAATGCCAAAACGATTAGAGAGAATCTCTCGTCTTTAGTTGCACAAATCACTAATGCCCTTAAATTAAATGCAATAGGACTGCCATTTCCCATATCACCTGGCTCATTCATTAACAATGGCTCTTATTGCATGCCTGACTTTTTAAAATACTGGAAAAATAATCAAACTATTTTATACAGCCTGTAAAAAAGCTGATGAACTCATAGATACGTCAGATACATACTTTCAATGCAGATATAAATATATTTTAAAATGTTTATCTTAGGAAATTGTGAATTTGATAACCAATTTATATATTACCTAGTTTGCTTAGTTATTAACTTATTTATAATCCCAACTATGCATTTACAAACATTAAAACTTCTTACTATTGTAAAATCGGATAAGGCTATGTCGATATTCTAGTGAAAGTGGGATTTTAAATTCATTCTTAACTTACAGTCTTACCTTTTTGTTGAGTGTTCTGTTGTGCCTCTGAGAAAAAGTGGATTTTGCATTTAAGAATGATTGGTTTACAAGGAACATGTGGCCTGACCTCCATTATGTTTTTAAAAACCCACTTTCACTAAAATAACGACATAGCCTTATCCGATTTTACAATCATAAGAAGTTCTAACGTTTTGTAAATGCATAGTCTATGTTTTGTAAGCATATATATTCCACAATGAATAGCAAATCAACTATAAAGTAAAAACGGTGTCCGATTATAATACTCACAGAAATTATCGACAGTGTTAACATAGAATGTGTGTAATGTGTCCATAAGCAGTAGAAACCGTTCACCTTTGTAGAGATGAAGAGTAAGCTGACCTGCCATGAAAACTTGCTGTTCAAGGAAACCTAAGAGCTATTAGTGTTCCTTCTCTTAGCTTGCAAGTGTTCTTATATAAACATGAATCTAAAATGTTTCAGAATCGTCTTCAGAATCCTCCACAACCCAACTCTTCTTCGCTATCTTCTTAGGACGACTAAAGCCACTTCCTTCTCCTTCATCTTCTTCATCTGCTTCTTCTTCTTCTTCTTTTTCTTCTTCATCGTCCCCTTCTGTTGGTGGTGCTTTATCAGAATCTAAGCCCCGTGATGATCCGGGACTAGCAGTTCGGGGGGACAACATTTTCTCTGAATCATCTTCTGACTCTTCTCTTACATCATCATCGTTAACGCCAATGTTATTGTTATGTGTCTCTGTCTCTGCTTGGTTTTCTCCATCTTCGCCTCCTTCAGGGGTTTCTGCATCTTCAATTATTTTAAAGTCTCTGGCAGTGCTGCGCTTGGCATGCCTCAACAAATTGAATTTAGTAACTTTGCTCAGCTGAATAAGATATCTTTCATAGTCTTCTATCTGGAATATCAAATCAGGGATGCATTTGTTCTCCTGTTTGATCTTGTTGATTATGCCCTTGGAACTGGAACTCACAGTTTCCTGTTGGTCCTGCATTTGGAAGAAGCCACACAGTTAAGATCGATGACGAAGAAACATCAACCTATGAGTGCTTACACAAATATTACCTTTTGCATTTCACTTAAAAAGGGATATAAAGGGACCGTGAGAGACTTGCAAGTTAGTTCCACGAGTTTCTGAAATTTAAGGGTAGGAACAGTTTGCTTGCAACCCTTGGGAGCAATCCTCTGTTTCACAATCTGTGCTAACTGTTTGTAAAACCGAACTGCTAATCTGAGAAACTGTGCTGCTTGCGAGTCTGCAAATCATTAAACCACATATTAATTAACAAATAATAAGCTGATTAACTCTAGTGAGGATCAGATTAGGCAAAGTTTTGAAAAAGTGAAAACTCACCTTTAAGGTTCATTAAAACAAAGGAAGAAAGTATCCTGATTGTTGACTCAGCCATTGAGTAAAGCGCTTCCTCGAGAGACAGTCCAAATGTGCTCTCAGCGTCATGGTTGAGATGGAGGTTCTTCTGAGAGACTATTTGGAAATTCTTTAGCTTCTTTGTGGCCCAGTCCATGTCAACTATTGCTGAATCAATTGATTGCAACAGGCAAGAATTTACAGAAGCACTTGTTGACTGGTTTATGATCATGTATGATGATTCAGACACTTCTAAAGTATCAGATTTTTCTAAACCGATGACATTTTGCAACTCCTTGGCCACTTCCACTGCTATGCATAGATCATCAGGGGATGTGGTAAAAGAGATGGCAAGTTTCAGAATGCTCTTTGCCACGGTGGTATTAGATGTTTCACAGCTTCTGCAGATTTGATGGGACCATGATCCATGCCGTTGTTTGAATTTGTCAGGTAGAGTGTTCCCAAGCATCAACATTATGTCACAAAGAATCTGAACAGTGCAATTATATATTATAGCATTAGCTTCATGCACCTTAAAGAAAGTGCTCAAGAGAAACTGCAGACACTTTATTTTGAAGTTTAAAGGAATTTACCTCTACATCATTAGAGTTTTGTGCGATAAGGTCCGTGAAAATGGGCTTCATGACTTTCTCCATGAATATTTCGATGCTCTTTACAAGTGGATCTTCAATTTTGGAAGCTTCGCTGAACTCTTCTAGAATAGCATCCTCGGATGCAGGCACTGCCAACAAATCTTCAAGCAAGCCACTCAAACCAGATCCTTTTGAATATATACTGAACAGCTCTTTCAGGCTAAGTAAGGCCAGATGTAGACACTGTTTCCTTCCTTCAGCATCCTTCTTTCCTTTCTTCTCCTTATTCGTCTGTCCGGTAACTACAGGTGGCCCTGGCTTTAGTAGGTAAACTACTTTTAGCAGTGGAGGACCCAGCAATTTCATGTCACCGTAGACCAACGGTTTAAGTGGATTTTCCTCCTTCATGCAAAGAGATGATCTTATGTGTGCAACACAAACATGCAGAGGGAAGGAGAAAACTCCAGAAACTGATTTTTCTGTCTTGGCTGATGATGACTGGATGTGATCTTGCGAGCCTGGAAGATTACCAACGGATTTGCTGCTATAGAGTTTGAAGGTGACCAGAAATAGCTGGTAGATACTTGAAGTAGCCAAAAAGGGAGCTTTTTCTGGCTCTTCGTTGCTACTTGCGTTTCCCATATCAGTATCATCAGATTTACTACGGGAGCTAAATCGTACTCTCTTGGAGATATTGCTCTGTTTCGATTTCCCCATATCCTTTTCCAATGATTCATAAAGATCAATCAAATCGACAATCTCCTTTTCGATATCAACCTTTTTCTCTTCTGGCTGTTTCTCTAGATCCGTTATAATATAATTTAGCAGCACTTGAATGATTCCTAGTAAAATCAAGCAATAGGACTTTCTTTTATCTTCTTCTAGAGATGCAGAAACTGTCTCCTGAGACTGCCCAACAATATCTGTAAAAAGTGCAAACTTGAAGATCAGCAGCTAAGGCTTAAGTAATTAGAAAAATTTAAAGACTCAAATGCTCTTTTCGGTATTAACTGTCACTATCTCCAGCTTATATTGCGCTTCTGATACTAGACTAAGCCTAACACACAATCTATACGTATCCGACATGAAAGAAAACAAATGTAACTGCAGATCAACGATTTCAACAATGATGATTGGTCAAGTACCTTCTAATTTCTTGCCTAGTAGGAAGCTTCCTATCTTCACCAAAGTACTGGAGTACACTTCATGAGATACTGTTCTTCCTACCTGCTGCTGCCATACGAGATTCAAATGAACGCACATATTAATATTTACAACGACGCTCTGTTAGGTAACACAAAACCAGCTCTGCTACAGCAATACCTCAGTGTCTTGTGAAAGAGAGAAACCAAAGCCTGGCCACGCTGCATCGGAAGGCCGATCAGAGCTGTTGTGCGGCTGGAGGAGTAAAATCCAAGAGATACATAAGAGAAGCCTATCCAAGGGCTCTTCAATGATAAATTTGCCACCTTCTACTTTAATGCATGAAGTGATTTCAAGCTGAAAATCTGTGTCCTGCCAGCATAATCATAAAAACATGTGTGAAGTTGTGTCTATTAACAATCAATTTTTCAAGAATCTCGCAACAGCTCCTCCGTATAAAAAAAAGTCAAAAGATATAGCAACTTTTGTTTGTTTTAAAACGCCAGACGGCAGAGTCATTCTCAGTGTGGAGAGAGGATGAAGCATTTGACAGTTACCTGTTTGAGGAAACGAAGAAAGTGAGGCATAAGAAAATCCAACACATGTCCTCCACTTGATGGATCAATCAGGACTAACTTCACAAGCCCATCATAAACTACTTCCTTCACATTTGCCTACATAAGGAACCAAATAGGTCTAAGAAGATCTTCAAATTCCTGAAAGAACAGTTCCATGAACAAGGACGAGAAAATACACCTGCTGGTAAAGACATCTTTGAAGCAACCCATTCAGTTCAGTAAAGAGGTTTCCCCTCACAATACAGCTCATCTCAGTTTGCTGACTGGAACTCGCTTGGCTTAATGATTCTTGGAACGTAAATGAGCTGTCTCTCTTAGCTTTTTTCTCTGCAAGTATAAGATCAGTTATTACCTTTGTCGCTGCAACACGAACTGAATCTTCCCGTCTAAACATAGCCTTGCGAATCACCAAGATGGTATAGTCCTACATCATCAATTTAAATTTAATCTGAGGTCTTCTTTTTCCCAATTCCATAGATCAGAAAATGGATATGAATAGACGAGTATTATCAGCAGTAGATGAGCACAAAAGAGAATGTGCAACACATATATTTCACCTGGAGATCACGGCTGAATTTGATGAGCGGGATAACAGCAGAAACAAGAAAACAGCTGATATTTCCCTCCATGAAAGTGAAATAATCCAATAACTCTTTGAGATGGTGGACAAATTCCAACATGATAAGTGAGTATCTCTGGACAAGGTACCCTAACAACCTACAAACTCAACCTTCTCAGCACATGGAAAAAGGGTTGACAACCATATCCATTAGTTAAGCGTTACTGACCTTACTATTGGCTTGCTCTTTGCGCATTTCAAAGAAAGAATGCGAAACTTGCATTGCTCAATTATCTGCAAAATATGTATGACACTCAACTAAGTTTAGTGAAGTTACGGATGCAAAGAATTAGCATAAAACTTTGAATGTCAGTCTTAAAACAGTGAATGAAAATGAAGGCATCAGTAATCAACAACAGTTAATCAACCTCATTTCTTGTCATATCATGGACTTCAAATAGGGTTCCCAGAATCTTAATGCTAAGCTTCTCAATACCCAGTACTCCATTAGAATCACCAAACTCGTTGGATCTACCTTCTTCAACAGATTCTAGCAACATAAAGCCAAACTGTATCACACTTGGAACCACATGCTCCCTCCCATATCTGCACTCACTAACCTAATAGAACATCAGAAAATATGTATCACTTCATCGTCTTACAATAGTGTCCCGGTTTGAAAGACAGGACTCAAAGCCCAGAAGAAAAAAAGAAAGGGAAAATACCGCTCTTAGCAAAGACTTTTCAACCAATTTGGCATGCAGGAAACTCTGTTCCTTAAGCTCCTCAGGTAGCCACTTGCAATCTCTGTATATCATTAACGAAAACATTGGTAAAATGTATTCTACATGGAGAAAGGTCACAGAAATTCCCCCTACAGCACATACTTATTTTCCAGTAATTCTACTCACATGAAAGCATATGTTCATCCAAATGTGAGTACAGACAAGTTTGCTACTACTTACTTGGAGAGTCTATAATCATTGTACGCAGTAATCAAAGCCGTTCTCAATATCCCCAAGGAGTTCTCACCAAACTTTCTGACCCTAGCAACCGAAAACAGAACCGCCACTGTGAAATGATTGAAAGCCCTAAGATCGGATTTGACTAACGCCACAACCGCTTGCCCCAGTGAAGGATCCTGCTTCACTGCGAAATTCACATGAAGAAGAACGGTTCCCTCTATCTGTCTAAGGACGGAAGCTACTCTAGTCTCAGCTTTGGACCCAAAAAAACCAACAACTCCTCCAATCACCTCCCTCTTGCAAAATCCTTTCGAAGCAAGAACCAGCAATTGATACACAAGCGAAGGCAAATCCTGCAAGTCAATACCCTTAATACCAATAAACACTTTCTCCAGCAATTCACTCTTCCTCCCTTTATCCAGAAATGGCAACTCCTTTGCAAGAGAAACCATTTTAGTCAACATCCCTTTCTGCCATTCACAGCTAATAACACTATCTATCGCCGAATTGACGAAATCGGTTTCGCTAGCTTTAGCTTCTCTCGGATTCCGCAATAAATCGAAGCACACAGGCAATAGATCAAACAACTGGGCGTCATCGACAGTGACAACTCTAGAAACATCCGATAAAATGGAATCGACGACAGATTTCAGCTCCTTGATGTGTAAGTACCGTAAGAGAGTGCCGAAGAGCTGAATCGTCTTGAGGGAATCCGAATCGCTCGGGATTTTGCCGGCGTTGAAGATTTGGGTGTAGGAGATGAGAAGCGAGGCGAGGAGAGACGAGAGAGGCGGAGTAGTCGGGGAGAGATGAATTAGAGATAAGAGAGCGATTACGTACTCAGAAACGGGTTTCGACGGCGAGGGTGAAGAAGAGCGGGATTGGAGGTATGAGAGAAGAGAGTCGTGGGAAGCCGGAGAGAGAAGGTAAGGAGGGAGAGAGAAGCCGGTCTGGCAATGGTGGTACTGCGCTAAACGAACGATGTCGTTGTCAGTGAGAGGTCTCTGAGAATGGTGACTCGGTTCTTCGGCGGCGACGGTCATTTTTCCCGGCGGGATAACTCAATTTTCGAAACTTCTCAGGGACGATAGTTTTGGAGGCTCTTATTTTCCTTTACGCGGGAGAAATCATGTGGGCCTTAATTTATATGGTTATATGGGCCTAAGGCCTAAGGAATATGGACAGTGGTCGATCATTCAAAACTGTGAGAGACCGAAAACATACACAGAATCAGATAGAACAAAATTGTGAAAAAATATCGATGGGGACAACAAATATAAAACGTGTATATGAGAGAGACGAGACAATGGTCAATGGTGTAATAAGCTCAAAAAGACATGAAAATTCAATGATGTTTTGGACCACTCCTTTCTTTTTCTCTATATCTCCTCACCTTTTAGTCGTTTACAAATTACAACCAAGATTTTATTGGATTAACCGATGCGTTTTATTGAATGTTGGTTGCTGTTGAATCAATTACAACCAACATTCAATAAGAGTGATTGGCTAATCCGATAAAATGTCGTCTTTTTGGTAGTATCTGAAGGTCCGGTAAAATATTCGTTCCAATGTCCGTTTGCTTCGTTCTGAATGATCTATTTTAGAATTTGTGACATATCAAATTGTAAGATTCGTTTTCGTGAACTCATAGGAGTGTACGTACCAGTACCACTAAATTTTAAGTTTCAGTGTAACCAAACACTAATACGAGTGTCTCTATGTTTTCATAAATATTTAATTGATGCGTCATGGTAAGTGTTTCTTTCAATAATTTTATTTTACCTAACGGATGCACATTTATTAGTCATCTAGTACATAGTGGTAAATTTGTTTGTAATGTAGCTAGTTGGCTTTAACCAGAAGTTGCGAGTGGTTAAAGCAACAAAGTAGCTGGATTTAGTTAATGGTAATGGGAAAGAGTAAAAAAGCCACGTGGATGTGGGGATCCATTATGGACCAGTAAACATTTTAGTCCTAAATGTGATTATTATTAAGAAAAAAAGATTAGAGTTGAGAGAGCTTTTGGAAGATTTGAAGAGCTAAATACTTGCTTGATCTTATACCAATTAACCAAACTAACAAATTAATAAATAAATAAAGAGAAAGAGAGAGAGGCCACAAAGAAGTCAGGATCCCACGTGCACCTGGGAACTCTACCCCTCCTCTCTGCACAAAGCCACTCTTCTCAGTTCTCTCTCTCTCTCTCTCCTTTCATTTCCTCCATTTTCTTTCTCAAGCAATCTCTCTCTCTCTCTCTCTCTCTCTCAAAAGAAGAGAAAATATTAAAACTTGAAGGTCATTTTAGATGCCGTGAATCTAACACACACACAGAAACAGAGGAAAGAAGAAGCTTCACCAGAATCTCAAAAACCCACAAAACAAGAGAAACTATTAAAAGAGAAAGTCGAAGAAGAAGGAAGCTTTGTTCATTCATCAATGGTGGAAGCAAAGGATCAAGACATGGGTGATGGGATGCAATGCATAAACCATCCATTCACCAAGAACCCAGGTGGGATCTGTGCTTTCTGTCTCCAAGAAAAGCTCGGAAAGCTCGTCACTTCCTCTTTCCCTCTCCCGAAACATCTCTCTTCCTCTTCCACTTCCTCCTCTCCTTCCTTCAGATCTGACTCCGTCGGCTCCACCACTTCCTCCGCCGCTAATCTCTCCGCCTCTCTCTCCCTCTCCGTTGCCGGAGCTAGAAACGTCCCAAACAACAACAACAGCAACAAGCTTCCGTTTTTGCTGGCGAAGAAGAAGAAGAAGATGCTTACAGCTTCCTCCTCCGCCACGACGGCGAATATCGTCTACAAGAGAAGCCAGTCGACGACGACGGCGACGTACGGTGGTTCCGACTTCAGCCCGAGGAAGCGAAACGGGTTTTGGTCGTTTCTACATCTCCACTCTTACAAACACCATAGCAGCAGTAAGAAAGTCGGAAACTTTCATGAATCTTCGAAGCCGGCGAGACCACAACAACCCACTGAAACCGCTTTGACGAAAACCGATTTGACGGAGACGACGACGGTGGGATCTTCGTCGTCTTCGTCGTCATCATCTTCTTCTTCGATGACGAAGAGAGTGAACGGAGGTGGTGGGAGCAGTCACAGGAACGGCATTGAAGTGATAGTTGAAGAAGATGGAAGCCCTAACGTTGTGGTTGCGGCGGTGACACCGAGCGAGAGGAAAGTGTCGAGATCCAGATCTGTTGGGTGTGGAAGCAGAAGCTTCTCCGGAGATTTCTTCGAGAGGATCACAAACGGGTTTGGAGATTGCACTTTGAGAAGAGTGGAGTCACAGAGAGAAGGTCACAACAACAAAGGTAAAGTCAGTAACCCTAGTAGCAATGGTGGTGTGAGGGAAATGGTGAGATGTGGTGGGATCTTTGGTGGGTTTATGATAATGACGTCATCGTCGTCTTCGTCTTCTTCATCGTCGTGGGTGTCATCGTCATCAGCTGAACAGCATCATCAGCATCATCAGAATGTGTCTCATGGTGGAAGGAACAGGAGCTGGGGATGGGCGTTTGCAAGTCCAATGAGAGCTTTCACTTCTTCTTCTTCCTCTGGCAAAAGAGGAAGAACGATTTCAGATTCTACAGGCAAGAACACAACTCCAAACTTGGATGCAATTCCTTCATTGTTGGCTGTCAGAAGTTAAATTAAACAAAAATAAGAACTTTAATCTTGCGTTGGAATAAGTGTTTTTCTAATGTTAAACAAGAAAAAATACGTTAGTTTTATGTTTTTGAGATCGTATTAGTATTGTAATGTCACATTGTCACAGGACTCTTCTATGTTAATTATCATCTTTTTGTCAAAACAAGAAACTTAGGATACTTGGCTACTACTATTTGTCTTTTTCTATGATTATATTAATCTTTGTTATGTTTCGCTAATCTCTCTTAGAAGAACCATCCATCTCTTGCTTTATGTTTGTGATTATGATGTGTTTCTTAGAAGTATTAATTAAATGGAATTAGTAACAAAAGAACCTCTGGAAAAGCTAGTCAAAGGTGAGGCTTTGGGGGGGGTTTGACTGGCTTTTAAGTGTGAGTTTTGTGATAGATGAGTGAATCAAAAGGCACATGCCTTTGCACATGCATTATGATTCCATGGTCCCAAAAAAAATTTGTTTTATTTCTATCTTTTTGTGACCCACACAAATTAAGGCGTTAACAACGGTTGTACTGGTGCATACATCACTGATAGTGATCACCTAATACCTTTAAAAATCAGAACAGTGCAAATTTGGTTTCACATCGATATTGTTAAGTGGATCAACGACACAATAAACAGAAGGTTTTGTTATTATATAACGTGTAGAAGAGGACATAAATGGGGTCCTTGAGATGAAATTACATATGAGGGATTCTGCAAAGCCAAAGAGACAGGAAAAAAGGCCTCCTTTTCATTTACTCTTTTTAATTTGCATTTATTTGTATTTTTCCATGTGGACTTATACATGTTCCAGTGAGGGAACAAAAGGTCCAAAACTATCTATAATAGATTATTTAAAAGCTGATCATGTGTCATTAGTAGGATCGTTCAAGAGATGTGGAGATCAAGATCTCCACGAAAAAAATGCTAGGCATGTTCTTAACTTGCTGTCTTGCTCCATCTTGCTAAAGCCTAGACATCGCCACACACACACTACCATGAAAATGTTATAACCAGATTAGAATCGTAACATGGAAATGCAACCGTAACAAAAAAAGAAAATTCGGGCTACATCTATAAAACGAATCGGAAAAACATGTCATTACTGTTTAGTTTACAGGTTGTAATCAGTTTATGTTTTGTGGAAATATTATAAATGTGAAATAGTGATAAAAATGTAGGCTACTATTTTTTTTTCCCTAATGCAAATTTACATTTCAAGAAAAATCTAATCTTTTCAACATTTTTTTTTGTAAATATGTTTTTCTTAAATTTTCTAAAAAACTATATTCATTATAATATGTTACTAACGCATAACAAACACATTAAAACAATAGAAGTCGTAATCTGCAGAATGAATAACCATGGTCCACTACAGCACTACTCGACACTCTCTAGAATGATTGATTAACACTCGGAAGATGAGTGTAATTAACCTCATACCAATTAACAAACTTACAAGTATTTCAAGTCCATAGCTTTGAGAATCTCCACCCCGAGAATTTAATGGTATTGCCGACCCATCTGATTCAATCATGTTGTGACAAGAACATGTTGGGTCTATAAATACTATTCATGATGGGTCAAACCCGTCCATTTATTACCTCTATGACTTCATGCTCATGTGTTGCGCTGTGAGTTCGGTCTTTCACTTTCATAGTTATTGCCAAAGCTAACCACAGAATCTAAATTGTCTGTAATTGCCGAAACCTACTTTACTTGTCATTAATGAAGGCCAAGCGCCTGAAAAGCAGCAATGATCTTCTGCTACGTTTCTTAGAACGGCATGCAGTTTACCCCCTGAAAAAACACCGTGTCATTCCCATCAGTGTGGTTATTAAAGAATGTTTAACGAAGTTTTTGGCCTGAATGAATTCTAAGTTTTTCTCTTATTTCAAGTCACTAGTACTCGAACTTGGATCATTGTGTTTCTCCTGGTGGTCATGTTTTCTCATTCGTGTCACAAATTCACCCATATAATTCCATCTTTTGGAGCGTAATGATTCGGAAAAGTAACACAAAATTACAAAAATATAATAATGTACGATACTTTTCTGATTTTTGGTTTTTGGACCCCTTGGCTTGTCAGATTTTGCATAAATATCTTCATGAAAATTTTGCATTTTTGTTCCAAAGCACAAGAAGAAAACTACAAACCATTTGGCTCTATCCTCCTCCCTTTGATGGTACATAGAAGATAAGAGATGATTTGATATTACCTAAACTGTAAATGGTCCATGCTGGATATAATTAAAACGACAATTGTTGATTGGATAGTTTGGATTGATGCAAACAAAACGGATTACAACGAACCAGGCTGGAAAACACACAAAAACTATATTAAGTGAAAGACAAAGAACAATCTCCCAAAACATTCTTAAAATATCAATCAACACATCGTTGGTTAAACTTTAACCCTCTTGCGGTCTTATCACATGACCCCTAGTTAGAACCTAACTATACAGAGAAGCAAGAAGACGTGTTGAGACTAATTGTTAACAAAAGCACACAAAGAATGCTGAAAACATTCGCATTACCTTACGCAGTGAAATCCTCTGAAACAACTTCCACATGATGATTTCATTTTCTTCTTATATCTTCATGTAAATCACTACAGCTGGGCAAATCAATAATCCATGAAAAACTTAAGAGAAATGAACCAAACAATACACAGATCAGTTTCACCAATCTCCTTGACCATGCCAGAGCTGACGACGCTTATCAGCTCAGGTGGTTCCATCTTTGAGATCATTGCCGGTTTGCTAGTATTGCATATGATCTACCAAATAATTACGAGAAGAGCCACAGTCTACTTACTTGACTTCACTTGTTACCGAGCACCTGATTCAAACCGTGTCCCAATGTCTACTCTTCTCGAGACAATCTTCCTCGATGACAATCTTGATCAAGAGAGCATCGATTTCCAAGCCAGGGTTCTTGAGAGGTCCTGGTTAAGCAACCAAACCAGCATCCCTCCTTCGCTGATGGAAATACCCCTCAAGAAATGTCTCTCAGCGGTCCAAACCGAAACCATGACCACTCTCTTCACCTCTGTTGAAGATCTCCTGATGAAAAACAAACTAAGCCCAAGAAGCATAGACATACTGATAACAAACTGCAGTTTGCACGCGCCCACACCGTCTCTTAGTGCAATGCTCATCAACAGATTCCATATGAGAAGCAATATCATGAGCTTTAACCTCTCCGGGATGGGTTGTTCGGCCGGGATTCTATCGGTCGGTTTGGCTAACGACTTGCTAAATGTTCACCGAGGCTCTTTGGCTCTTATTGTCAGCACCGAAGCGCTCAATACGCATTGGTATATAGGCAAAGACAGATCTATGCTTCTTACAAACTGTCTCTTCCGAATGGGAGCAGCTGCGGTGTTGATGTCTAGCAATGATCATGACAGAGGAAATGCAAAGTATGAGCTCTTGCATGTTGTTAGGACGAATAAAGCAAAAGATGATCGAGCATACCGATGTATCTATCAGGACATAGACCTTGAGGAGAAGCAAGGTGTGTCGATAACCAAAGATGTAATCAGCGTAGCTGGAGATATGTTGAAGATTAATCTAACTTCGTTGGGACCTTTGGTACTACCTTACGTAGAGCAACTGCAATATGTGATACAGAACATTATTTGCAAGAAACTAAAGAGTTCTTCGTATACACCGAACTTCAAGACGGCGTTTGAGCATTTCTGCATTCATACAGGAGGAAGAGCTGTGATTCAAGCAATGGAGATGAACCTGAACTTGACAAAAGAAGACGTCGAGCCATCCAAGATGACTCTTCATAGGTTTGGGAATACTTCTTCGTCGTCCATTTGGTACGCACTCTCATACTTGGAAGCGAAACGGAGGATGAAAAAAGGCGATAGGGTGTTGCAGATTGCGTTTGGAAGTGGGTTCAAGTGTAACAGTGCGGTGTGGAGATGTATCCGAGATGTGGAGCCCGGTACAGAAAACAAATGGCTCGACTTTATTGAATCGTACCCTGTAGACGTACCTGACTCGATAAAAATCAGACCGGGCTAAGCATGTGCAAGCAACATAACCTTGAAGATAGAACTTAGGAGGGCTACGAGTTATTTGTTCAATTCATTCTCAATGAGCACAACACAAATACCACTTTTCACAGGTTTTGGAATGTAGTTTGGTCTCATTTTCACCCACTAAGACATCGAAATTTGATATCTTTACATGATTCCTGGAATTTCATTCCTTCTTGAGTTTCTCAGTGGAAAGTAAAACAAAAGTTATTTGCTGCATCTTCTAGAGAGAATTGTAAGTGGTACCTCTGTTGTCAGATGTCAGTACTTTCTTCTCTGTTGTTCTCAATATTCTCCTATGATTTACTATCTCCAAATCCATATGCAAAAAAGAAAAAAAGAAGAAAAGTGATTATATTTATCCTCCCTAGACATTACGGTTTACACATTCAAGTTCCAAGAACCTCTGAAACATCAAAATCTGGCAGTCTTCACGAAATGTTGGACGGCTCTCAGCTGATATATCATATCGGTATTCGCCTGCTTTGTGTCAAACAAACAAAGCATTAACCATCAATATTTGTTCCCTGACCATAAAAACAACCTAAAAAACTAGCATTTGCCAAAACAAATGTATATGTTCTCAGGTTGGATTTGTGCTAGGGACATTTGTTTCCATGCTTATGGCCATCTTTAAGATCCTCACTAGTCAAAAGCGAGCTTCGTAAACATAAACGTAGAGGAAAAAAAAAGAAAACTGTTACCTATCAACAAATCCACGTTCATGAAGTTCATTACAGTTAGGCGCAGGGATCTTCTTGTTCCACCGCCGTTTCTGGATCTCAATGCGACATGACTGGAAAAGAGAGCTTCTATACTCTCTGATCACGTTGCCCTCAAGGTTAGCTCGAGCAGAGCTCCCAGGCGGAAACTTCTCATCAAACGCTAACGATGATTTTACAAAAAAGCTAATCTCCATATTCTCTGTAGTCTTTGGCACCGAATACGTCTGGTTCTTGTTCAGAGAAAAGTCAGGCTCAGAAAACGGCAGATAAGCAAGCAACAAAAGCAGCAAGAACGGTAGGATCTGAACAATCGTCAACCAACTTGGTCCACCAGCCACATTAACCTCCTCTTCTCGAGGCTGGTTACGTGCTTGTCTCGTTCTATATGTATGAGAAGCACGAAACATCTCTCGTTGCTGACCAAAAAACGCTCTGAATATCTCGTCAGGATCAAACTCATCCTCGAAAAAACCATTCCTCGGATTGTTATATCTCCTCCTCCTCGGCCTACTACGAGTGTTTTGCCTCTCATCAACGAATCCCACTTGATCATATTGGCTTCTCGAGTCTCCATCGCTCAAACAAGTAAACGCTTTTGAAACTTTCTTGAAAGCTTCCTCTGATCCCGGTGCCTTGTTCTTATCAGGGTGAACTTTCAAGGATAGCTTCCTATAAGCTTTTCTGATCTCTTCCACCGAGCAATTCTTCTCTAAACCCAGAATTTTGTAGTAGTCGTTGTTCCTTTTGATATTCATAACCAGCTCCACGTTTTCCTCTGTATATTGCTTCTTCTCGTTACTCTTCTCACCATCCGCTTTGTTGAGATTTTCACTGAGAGACGGATTCCTTGAAACCGAATCCGGATTTTCACAAGCGGAAGTGATTTCATCAGCAGAGAGGGTTGGATTTAGCCGTTTCGCCATTCTGATGAATTTCAATGCTCGTTCCTTGTCACCGGAAGCAATGGCGTCTCCGGCGATCCTCAGACACCTCAACGCGTCGTCCTTATTACTATCCATAACTAGTCGAACCTCTAATTCCCAGAAAATCTTCCGCACTAACCTACGCGAATTCAACAAAAAAGAGAGGCTAAATCAGAACTGCGATAACAAAATCCTAAACACATCGAATCAAATCCGAAATAGAGCTTCAGCTATTAAAAAAAAATCCCTAATCTAGGTCAAGACGATCAAAACAAGGATCGGAGATCGTTGGATACACAAATTAACACTTACCAAATAAGAGCTAATTCGGCGTAACTCAACAAGATGTAGAAGAAGACTGGAAAAAGGAGCCAATTCAGAAGACGATAGTTGCCGTGGAAGAAGGAAGGAGAAGCTGATCAGAAACAGGCGTAACGGTTTTTAATTATAGATTGTTTGCCGTCGGGAAGAAAGGTAGTCAAGTAGACGACGAACCAGGAAAGCTCAATGAAAGAAGAGTTCTCATGGCATCGAAGAAAGATAACTAAAAACCCCCAAAAAAGGCGATAGTAGCTTAAACCATACAAAAAGCTTGTATTTGTATTTCCTAATTCCTAACCACACGGAAAGAAATTTTGCACCTAATAATCAAATTTCAATCAATAAGGGACTTTGGATGTTTCTAATTGTGTGAGTATATGGAAGTCAGAGATAAACACATGGCAGATATTTTCCAAAATGGGGAGATGCTGCTACCACCTGAAGGACCGATTCGGAAACCTTGTTTCAGGTTTTTACGAGTTTGATGCTGATGTGGTGGAGAAAGAGACCGGTTTGTCTATACCGGTAGCTGATTTCCGGTTTAAGTATGTAGAGCCAGGGATCCAGTTGATGTCTTTTACAGTTTTACCCTGTCTGAGCCAGGAAATTTCTTGCTAACGCTTTCTGACATGGAGCACAATAAGAGCATCTCTGGTATGCCGTATGAGTATACAGTGTATATAGGTCAGTGTTTGATGCTACATTTTGCTTCTATTGGTGAATGTTCTTTGCAACACTCTCCTCATTTCTTTTTTTCTTGATAGGTTATTGTGATGGATCAAGAAGTATAGTGAACGGTTCAGGGATCAATGCTTCTGTTGCTGGGGAGGCTCTTGGCTTCTCTATTTACTTGAAAGATGCTTATGGTTATCCCTCATCAGTCCTAGTGAATAGACTTCAGGTCCGAATTATACTAGAGACTGATTCGTCGTCTATTCTTCCAACCATACAGCCGAGAGAGAGCCTTAACCGTACAAGATATGGGGAACTACGGGTGCTTCCTTGACTGCACCGAGAGAATTTCACTGCCTCTACACGCAAAGGCTCACGTGAACCTCATCAGAAAGAGGACCTTAAGTTCCCTTGCAGCTCAGGGTACGTGTATGAAATACTTGGAGTGGTTCCGATTCGGTTTGGGTTACTCTATTTTCAAAAAATCTTGCCAAATTATAACCTAAGAAGTAAGAACTATGGTTTGACTTTGGATTGGTTCCACTGCTATTCATTATGAACATGAAGATCATATTAAACACATATCTGAATGGAAGTTATGTAATTTAAAGAGATGGAATGGATTTGTTTAGTTTCAAACATAATATTGGTTTCTCAAATAGTAATAAACTTTTGTCACTTGGTCGCAGTTCTTGGATCTGTGATTGTGGTGGAGTCCCTCATTGTATTCTCCCTCGCTACTGTGCTTCTGTTCTTCACTTGCAAATGTGCATTCCTACTCGTACACGAGAAAAGAAACGAGCAGAAGAATTCGCAGAAACCAACGGTAATTAAAAGACTCATTTCTCTTGTGTTTTTTGTTTACAGCAATCTATGACCAAACCATAAGAAAACGGTAATTCTCTTACATCCTAACCCAAATCGAATGTTTGTTATTATTGTACATTGATTTGCTTTCTCTTGTATAACAGAACTGAATAAAAAGAACCGGAATTGATACATAAGAAATTGGTTTAGTGAATAGAAATTACAATGAAGAGATACATTGACGTTTGGAAATGAAGATGTTGGAAGGAGAAGAGTATACAAAGTTGTGATGGATATGATCTTGGTTAACAAAACAGAATGGTAACATTATAGATAACAATAAAAAGAAACGTCTTGTTTGTTCCCTCTCATCACTGTTTATCGGTAGAAGTTTGTTTAGGCGCCTTAGGCTTCTTCACGATCATAACGGAGCAATGAGCGTGATGAGCTAAATAGTCACTCACACTCCCCAAGAACACTCTCTTCACGGCTCCATAACCATGGCTTCCAAGAACAAGCACCGATGCATGATGTCTCTCCGCTGCTTCCAACATTATATTCCTCGGATCTCCTTCGATCACCTCCGTCGACGAGATCTCGACAGATTTAGCCGAGCACACGTCGGTACACTTCTTCTTAACCAGTTCCGCAGTCTTGTTCAAATCTTGTTCCACCATCGGTATTATATCGACCGTTCCGGGACCGGCAAAGCCTAGGACGGAAGTCGCGGTGGGACGGGCGTGAATGATGACGAGTTTGAATTGTGGGTTTGATTTGAAAGGTGTGAAGAAGAGATCGAGAGCCGTCTCGAGTGCATGGTAGCTGTGAGCTGAATCATCTACTCCTACGACCACGACACGCTCACTTTCACTAGCCATTTCGATATTTTTTCTTTTACTTTCTCTTTTGGTTGTAATTAAGTCTCTTTGATTATAATGAGTTGAGAGAAAGTGGTCTCTATTTGAATGATAATGGTCTGGCTATGATGTGGTCGAGCGTTGTTGCTGGGACCGATACTCACGCTAGGCCTCTTGTTCCAACTAAAACGGGTCTGTTTTAATAGTGTGTGTGTTTTTTTTTTTTTTTTTTTTCTCACTAACGAAAATTGTGATTAGTTAGGTTTGTTTTTCCAATTATACATTGGTCTTTTTAGTTTACAAAGAGTTTGACCAAAGTGTTTTTTTTCTTTTCGGTTTCGTTTGCTTCCAGTCAATTTAGTTTCATATGAATCAACAAACCAATGTCTAGAACAATACCTCTAATACTACTAAGAGCAAGTCCAGCGGTGGTATCAGCCGTCGTCTCTATGTATTAAAAAAATAAAAACAAATCAAAAAGGAGGAAAGAGAATATGAAAAAGTGTGATACGTATGCAAGTAAGGAGACCGTATCAGAAGAAATGAGAGACTATACTAATAGGTGGCACAATATACTTGGTTGGCATTTTTTATTTATTTTAAGTTTAATTGTTATTTAAAATTATATTAATTTAATAAATGTGAGAGACTCTAAATAGAGTATCACCGATGGACATGCCCTAATATTTTAACATTTAATATTAATAGCTATATTTAGCGTTGGGATAAATTCAAGCGTACAGAGAAATTGATCCCCTTTGAAAGTGAATGTTTGTTTACGTATAAGTTACTATGCGTTACTGAGCTAAGCATGCACAATGACTTTTGGAGTCCACATTAAAAAACGTATATGCTTTTAGAGCCAATTGAGATTAAGAAGAAGATAATTTTATCAAAAGAGAAAGAAGCAAATTTATTAAAAGAGATGATGAGATTATAACATGACAAGTCGTAGATTCAAATAAGAAACTTTGAGTTCAAGAAGAATCTTGCCAAAGCAATATGCCAATCTACAAGAATTCCACCTAATGTTGTGTAATTTTTGCCATCTCTTGCTCTTCTGAAAAACACATACAAATACAATCTTCTCTTCTTTACTTATTTATCATCCACATATACTTTTTATTAAAGAATTTGGTAAAGTATTATCAAGTTTTGTGGCCTGTGGGAAAAAGAAAGATATGATAATTTTTCTAGTAGTGATTTTAATTTTTGGTACAAATTTAATCGTTGTCATATATTGCAAGTTTTCCTTGTTTATCATTCACACTAAAAGGGTCATTCACAGTCAATTGTGAAAAAGAGGATTTTGTGGGAAAAACAAGATAGTTTAGGGATTTAACGGATAAAACCGGAAAGTATAGAGAAGCGAGTTCTGAGGTTTGGTTTTAGTTTCAAAGTTTTAGTTATCCACACACTCACACACGCACATAGGCTTCCTGAGTTTTGTCAACGTTTCTCTTCCTTTCTCTCGCTCTTATTTCGCCGATGGCGTGGAAATGAGCTGACAAACAGAAGCGACAGATAAAAAAGTGGAAAAAAGATGTCGTCTTTCTTCAAATCTTTTGCTGGAAATCCCAGGGAGGCGGCTGCCATGGCGATGGTGCAATCATCATCTTACAGAGTATGTGAAATCACTAAGCTTTAATCTGAATCCGTATGCTCCGTTTATTGCCTCTGTTTCCGAGTACTGAGAAAGTGATAGCCTTTCTTTCAAGTTCAATTTGTAGAGTACACTTGTCTCCGTCCGAATTGGTCAATCATATCAATGCAATTGCATTTTCGATTTGTGGGATTCGTTAAAGTAGTTCGCCTTTGTTACAACTTAGAAGGTAGTTAAATTGATCCGTATGTAGTTCCAGTGTTGGTGTTCTTAAGGTTTTACCATTGCACACCACTTGTTCGATAAAATTACTATTGAACTATCTTCAATTCAAATAATGAAAATGTAATAATTAACAAGAATAATGAAAGTTCATTGAGTTATGATTTAGTGAATCATTGGAGCCACTCATTAACCAAACCAAAACTTTTATTGAAAAAACGTGTGGTTATGGAGCTTGATTGGAAAAACTACTTCACCTCTCATTCTGACAGAAATTCTGTGTCTTGCTAAAAATTTGCGTTGGAAATAGTTTTGAGATGTGGTTTGTGCTCGTTCAGGTATTGTCAGGTGGAAATTATTCAAATTTAAGGAGAAACACACCGTTGGACTCCTTTCTTGCCAAGGGAAGGTCTTCTGTCAGGGCCTTCTCTTTCCTATATGTCTCACGGTATTCAACTCAACCAAACAATGAGTTTGGTCACTCATCAAAGCGACGGTCTCGTGGGCCTGTTATGGCGGCAAAGAAAGCTTCTGAAGGTTTGCATCTCACTGCTTGTACTTCTTTTCCAATACTGTTAATGCAATGTGGCACTCATTTACACTATCGTGTTTGGTTAGGGGAAAAGCAAGAAGATGGAAAGTACAAGCACACTGTTGATTTGCCAAAGACAGGTTTTGGTATGAGAGCGAATTCTTTGACGAGGGAGCCTGAACTCCAGAAGTTGTGGGAGGAGCACCAGGTTTTCAAGAGAGTTTCTGATAATAACAATGGAGTGAGTTTCTCAAGATCATCGGTCATCAACTTTGCTTTCAAAAACTTGTGTCTGATAGTTAGTTGGAATTTCAGGGGAGTTTCATTCTTCATGATGGTCCTCCTTATGCCAATGGTGACCTGCATATGGGCCATGCTCTTAACAAGATACTGAAGGATATCATTAATCGCTATAAGGTACCTCTCCTTACTTAGAGATGCATTTACTCTCTATTTTTCCTTACATTGAGTAGAGGAGTTTCTTATTATCACATCCTCTGCTTCTTCATGCAGCTGCTCCAAAACTATAAAGTTCAGTACGTTCCTGGGTGGGATTGCCATGGCCTTCCAATTGAGTTGAAAGGCAAGTACAACTATAGGTTATTAACCTTTGAGTCGCTACATTGAGAAAGTAATGCTGCTTTTGTTATTTTCCAGTTTATTACTTGCCTGAGTAATTTGGATGTAACTGTCAAACATTTCAGTTCTGCAGTCCCTGGATCAGGAAGTGAGAAAGGAACTTACACCACTAAAATTAAGGGCAAAGGCGGCAAAATTTGCGAAAGCAACAGTCAAAACACAGATGGAATCATTTAAGGTGGCTATCAAGCGTCATTTCCATATCTTAGTTCTTGTTTTGAATGCATCAGTCATTATGATTTTTAGATCTCTCAGTACATTATAGCTATGAAAGATCTTATTTAGTCATTCAGTCGACAATTAGCACGTCTGACTTAATACTTGGTGTTTACAGCGGTTTGGAGTATGGGCAGACTGGAACAATCCTTATCTAACTCTTGATCCGGAATATGAAGCGGCCCAGGTAATGGTCTCACCTCCTGCATTATGTATTGGCATTGAATAACCATGCAGGAGATGTCAATTATTAGATTTCTATAAGGTTTTAAAAGCTGATAAAGTCTACATATCATTTTATGGGATATCAATTGTAGATTGAAGTATTTGGCCAGATGGCCTTGCAAGGGTACATCTATAGAGGTAGAAAACCAGTTCACTGGAGCCCTTCATCTCGTACTGCTCTTGCAGAAGCTGAGCTAGAGGTAAACTTCCCGTTTTCATCTCAAATAGTCTTAGAAGAAATATAATAAGGACAGCTCAGAGCAAAACTAAAGTCATCTAGCTAAACCATACCAGTCTTGCTATTATTTTTGCTACTTCTGTTGAAATTTTACCATAATGTGATCTCTAGTTATCTATTCCCCTTAATGAATAAATGTTTCGACGATTCCACACTTTACCTTGGTTATCTTATATCAGTCCCACCGGTATCTGCCTTTATTTGTAGTATCCGGAGGGTCATATTTCAAGAAGCATATATGTTATTTTCAAATTGATTGGTGGAGCGAAAACAAGCCTTTTAGAAGAGTTTATTCCTAATATATGCTTGGCAGTATGGACAACTACACCTTGGACTATGCCGGCCAATGCTGGTAAGTGCCCATTAGTATATTGTACTCTCAGCTGGCGAAATACATCCTACCTTACTTTGTTTCTGTTCTTTTCCAACCTTTTGTCCACTTAGATGGAAGGATAAATAGTTATTTTTTTTTTGTTTTCCAGTTTTCTGTATTTGAGTGATATATAGGCACATTTAGTGACTCTTCTTCCTTTCCTTGTTGTCTGACTTTCAGCTGTCGCTGTGAATGCAAAACTTCAGTACTCTGTTGTTGAAGTGCAGTCATCCTCCGAAGATGAATTTGCGTCAACAGGCAATAAAAAGAAAATGCCCGGGAAGGTTCTGAAGAATCAACAAAAGCTATTTGTGATTGTAGCAACCGACCTTGTGCCAGCATTAGAAGCGAAGTGGGGTGTGAAGCTTATCATACGTAAAACATTCCTTGGTGCAGATCTTGAAAACTGCAGGTTACATTTTAAATTAAAGAGTAGAAGGAACCTCATGCACGTGATTCTAAAAATTCAATCCCTTGGTTTATGGTGTGTCATCATGGTTGTAGGTACACACATCCTATTGATAACCGGGAGTGTCCAGTCGTTATAGGGGGTGATTACATAACCACGGAATCAGGAACAGGGTTGGTCCACACTGCCCCTGGTCATGGTCAGGAGGATTATGTAACCGGCCTGAAGTATGGGCTTCCTCTTGTCTCTCCTGTGGATGATGGGGGAAATTTCACTGAAGAAGCTGGACAGTTTAAAGGGCTCTCTGTCCTTGGAGAAGGCAATAGTGCTGTTGTCAGTTACCTGGATGAAAATATGTCTCTGGTCATGGAAGAATCTTATGGTGAGTTTGATTCAGATGCTTTCTTGTCAACCATCTGAGCAAACATTAGTCATCCCCTTTATTTCAGATGAAAAGTGTCTTACGATTTAATTTCCTTATTTTGTATGCAGCTCATAAATACCCGTATGATTGGCGAACTAAGAAACCAACGATATTTAGAGCGACTGAGCAGTGGTTTGCAT